GCTAACTAATATACCGTACATTTTTAATAATTATTTTTTAAACCCGGTTTTAATTTTAAATAACGACGTTTCGAGTAACTCGTTTTATAATTTAATTATATTAAATTAAGTTTATACGAGTTTCGTACGATATTATTAACGTTCGTTAAAAAATAAACGTTTTAAAAAACCGGTAAAACTTAAACGTTTTTTTTACTTATTACTTCGTATAAATAAAACTCGTTCCTTTATTATATATATTAAAACTTTCTTTTTTTTATTACTTTATACGAATAAACTCGTTCCCGTAGTATATACGTTAATACTTTTATTATTTATTACTCTATACGAGTAGAATTTATTTTAATATTATATACGTTAATACTTTTTTTCTTCGTTATTTAATATAAATAAAACTCGTTTTTCGAACTATACGTATCGTTCGTTATTTACTTTTTACTTTTACTTAGTCCCGTCTTTTTTAAAAAAGTCTTTTTTTATACTATCGTATACGGTACGTTATTAATAAATAAAAACGAAGAATACTCTTTTAATACGTCGTACGAAACGTTAAAGTAAAAACGACGGGTCGGTTTAAAAAAAAAAAAAAAAAGAAAAAAAAAAAAAGAAAAAGAAAAGAAGAAAAGAAACGATAAAAAAAAAGAATTAAAAAAAAAACTTTAATTAAAATCGAACACCGGTTTTATCTTTTTATTCCTTTTTATAAAAAACACGATATAATATATAATTATTAAGTTATATATTAAGTCGTATATAAAAGAACTAGTTCGTATTATAAAAAATATATACCGGTTTATTCTTAATTTTTATTTAACGTTATTTTATTTATTATACGAACGGAACTTTTTTCCGTACGATTTAATACGACGTTTAACACTTAATACGTTTTTTTTATATTTAAACGTATTTTTTATACGAATTAACCTAGTCTTTTTACTACTCTTACTTTTCTTTTTTATTATTTTAAATATCCTTTATTCTTTTCTTTTACACCGTACGGTCTTTATCTCGTTCGTTCTATTAATATTATTATCGTTTAATATATTCTTATCGTTATCTTATCGTTATCTTATTATAATAACGACGTCGTCGCCCACTCTACTTTTTAACCCTAACCTTTATAAATTACAATCCGTTATTACTTAACAATAACTTATCGTACGACATCGTCAATTAACAGACAGTGTCACGCCGTTGTTCTCTTTATTTTCCCGTCGACTGTATTCTCGTACGACGTCTCGTCGTCGCTGTATTTCTCATCCGATTTAATTAAATCAGATTAGAATGGACCCCCCCGTTTTGTGGGGCACATGTAAATCCGACAGACCCCTGTCTCCTCATAAAAAAATTCTTATCCGGTTTGTCTTGTAGGGTAGGATAGGTCTTCACGATAAATTAGTTGATAAAAGCGCTAGTTTCGAGGGCGAAGGTAGGTATATATTATAACAGAGACTAATTCTTACCCCTTCTTCCTTTTAGGAAGAAGGGAGTCTTATTATTTAAGGAGAATGGCCTTTCGTAAGCGTGGCGCCAACGTGTGGCTGGGGACCAGCCACACCTCGCTTTATTATGTAAGCCTAGTCACCTGATTCGTGGCCTTCGGCCTCGAATCGATCATGACAGTACCCTACGTTTTGTAGGGAACATTTAAATTAGACAGACCCTTGTCTACTAATAAAAAAATTCTGAACCGGTTTATCTTGTATGTTAGGTTAGAGAGCATTCGTGAAAGGATTTAGTCATTGGATTAGGGATTCGGAGGGTATATAATTTATTTGGTGGTTTATACTACGTTTTATTTACTTTTGGCGATGCTTTTGGCGATGCTTTTGGCGATGTTTTGCGATTACATAAGGTTTTTTATTGACACGCTCTTGCGGGCCAATCAGAGGCCGTATTTCATATTACATAATATTTGCTTAGGCGCACGGGACCCGTGTGTCTATAGGGAGCCCGTGGGTCGGAAGTAAAAAAGTTTCGCTAAACGTTGAAAATAAATAAGTAATATGACGTCTGCTTGTTATGAAGTAGGTATTATTAGACCCTTCTCACATTAGATCATGTATTTACTACACACTTTTCGGCTGTTCGCTGTCTCGATCTCAATTTCATAGCCCACCCGTAGCCTTACACTTTGGCATCGTCCGACGAGATATAGGTTACCGGCCCCTTGCTAAATTCGTGCAGGCCATCATTCACTGTCTCCTGGCCGTTGATGACGATCGTTTCCTCGTGAATGGCCGCGGGAATGACGGTGCCCGCATCCGGGAACAGCTTGTTAAGCACCAGGTACAGCGCAAACGTCGCAATGAATCCGTACAGATAAAAGATGTCGTACACGTACTTGGCACCGCCGATCTTCACTTTGGGATTCACAGCTGCCGCCATCCCCGGTAGGTTGGGAACAAAGCCCACGATCAGCGCCACGGCTGCGCGCCAGTTGGTGCCCCACTTGCTGCCGTAGTTGTAGCGGCCGTGGCGCCGGTACAGCGCCGGCACGTCAATGGCCTTGTGTTTCACAAACCAGTAGTCGCAGCCAAGGATGGCGGCAATGGGCGCCAGAAAGATGCCGAGGGCGCCCATGAAATTTAGCAGGGACTGCGCCGAATTAACAATCTTCCAGGGCACCATGATCCAGCCTGCGATTACCGTCGTGATGATGGCGCCCCGGCGCAGGTTGATGTACTTGGGAAAAAGGCTGGTCATGTCGTTGGAGCACGAGATGACGTTGGCCGACAGGTTGGTGCCGATCTGTGCGATCACCCAAGCGACACCCACAAAGAAGGCCGCCGTGCGGCCCGTGGGGCCGTTCCAGTGGCTGGCCAGCTCGAGAGGGTCCCAGATGTACTCGCCGTACACCACTTTGGAGCAGGACGTGGCGATGATTCCAAAGAGACCCAGAAGCGTGCACACAAAGGGCACCAAAAAAATCTGCCAGTAGACAGCGCTGGGCTTCTTGAGATAGCGCGTGAAGTCGGCCACGTTCGTGGCCATGGTGGCCCAGCCGCCCGTCAGAGAGCTCATAGACGTGAGGATCAGCCAGGCACGTGTCGATCCGTGCACGGTGGGCTGCTGGTCCCAGATGGCACCTGTGCCACCGGCCAGGTGGGTCATGCCAATGATAGTGCCTATGCCGGCGGCGAGCACGATGACGGCCTTGGCGACGAAGAACCAGCGCAGCTTGTGGGGTGGGATAAGCAAGATGGGAAATTGCACAGACCAGAAAAGTAGGTGTGAGACGAGTTGTTGGCTGGTGATGCCTGCGGACGCTGGCAGGCGGTTGGGGATGTCGAGATAAGAGGGCCAGATGGCGCGGATGACCTGGGTCATAGCTGTGGAACCAGAGTAGGTTTGGATAGCTGTGGAAGCGTGGCCATTGTTAATGATAGCAAGACATAGTTGGAGTCTGACATTGCATGGGAGAAAGATGTGACTTGCCATGCCAGAACAATGCGGTCACCATGCGGATGACAATGGCAAAGCGACTAAACAGAAAGCCGAAACTTGACCGGGCTACAATCGGGAACGGCACGTGGAGCTCGGCGCCGGCGGCACCGTTGAGGCACAGTGGTGCTGCTAGCGTGAGCGTGCCCAGAATCAAGCAATATGTAGCCTCGCGCCATGTCAGGCCGACCGCGATAATAGCCGACGCGCCACTCCAGCTTTGCGCGCACAGCACATCACTGAACCAGTAGCCCACAATCGTCCACGCGGTCCACGTGCGCTGGTCGAGGGGCGTGACGTCCGAGTCGCGGTTGCTCCAGGTGGTGTTGTCGGCAAACGTCATCGGCTGGCGCGCGAGGATCCATCCCTCTTTGTGGCGCTTGGCCTGGACGTCAGCTTTGGCGGCGCGCACACGGCGCCGAACAGCATTCATGGTCAGGATTAAGAGAAAGGAAAACGACAGCGGAAGAAAGCAAATAAACGAAATTAGAAATAGCGGGCAGAAACCGTATTGGTTTTTATTTGGAGTTAAATTCTCTGTGCGAAACTGGCTGGCTGTTTTTGGCTTCCTGTCTCCATCTTGCTGCTGCCTCTTTGATTTATATATACAACACAAGGCTGTGTCTCTCTTGTGTAAGTTGTCCACCATAAAAATCAGAAACAGCCAATCGTGGAAAACAATATCGAAAATATGCATCTTGATCAAATTTGGTACACAGCGATAAGATTGCGCTAACAGCGTGATATGAGGCTATACGACTGTGCTTGTACATACTACTTTGAGTTCCGCTGGGGTTCATGCAGCTTAAGTGCTTATCTGAGTTTAGTTCCGGCGGAAGTTACAAACAGTCGCAGATATCACTAACTTTCACTGGATAGCTCCCATGTTATCTCCAGGCTAGACTGCATTAGGCAGCAAGGTGGCGTTCCTGGCTCTGCCGGCGAGTACAACATTAACGCCTCTTTTTGTCCTTTCTTATCTTTGTCGTCGCCGTTCAGTTTTTCAATACATTCGTGGTCCAACTGCACGGTACACCGTAGTGGTCACGCGATAACAGTACTAAGATAAGTACGTAGGCAGTGTAAGATAAGTACGTAGGCAGTGGGCTGTTTCTTGTCTTTTGAATTAGAAAAGAGAACCCGGCGGAAACCTTCTTTTAGAACGCTACCCAGATTCCCCACGGCCGTTGCATCGATGAGCTTCCCCGCACGAGGGCAAGTGCCGATAAGACACCATCGTTCTCGCCAGCGTAGGTGAACACGAAGACGGACTGAGGACGGAGATAGCAGAGGAGTCCCGCCGGAAGCAGGATCACGTTCCACACTACCTAACCACAACACGTAGTTTCCGCCGGATACTCCATTCACATCTTCAAGATAGGCTTGTACGTGGTGCATCGTATGTTGTCGGCTGCCGGGAAAGTGCTATCTTTAGCCGGGTGTTTCTACGATGTACTCTGTTGTTTTAGTTACATAGTTTATTCGTTTCTGCTTTTTTACGGCTTAACCACACTGACATCTTAATTCTTGCTTTCCTTGCCACATCCATTTCCTTCCATTTTCAGATCATTTAAATGGAAATGTAATAAGTGTGCATGTGGAAACATAGTTTTGATACTGTAGTGCTTAACTACTATATCCTCGATCTCTTCTCCAACTCTTGTTTGTCCATCTCACCTCTCATACCCCCCATTCAATATTCTCCCTCTACATCCCACACAATGGATGAGCTCACATTTGCCACCGCCCGGCCATACGCCTTCTCTTTCGTACGTGCTCACACTGCCCTCGTCCTCATCGACCTCCAACGCGACTTTGTCGATCCAGGCGGCTTCGGCGCCATCCAGTGCGGCTCTTCGGAAATCTTTGCGGGCGTCCGTAAGGTCGTCCCCGCCACCTTGCCCGTACTCGCTGCTGCGCGAAAACTGGGCCTGCACATTGTCCACACCCGCGAGGGTCACCGCCCAGACCTGGCTGACCTGAGCGCCGCCAAGCGCAACCGCCAGCTTGATGCACCTGGCACACAACACACGGCGGGCATCGGTGACAAGGGTCCCATGGGCCGTCTGCTGGTACGCGGCGAGCACGGCCACGACTTTGTGGACGAGCTGCGGCCGCGGCCTGACGAGATTGTAGTGGACAAACCGGGCAAAGGCGCCTTTTGGGCAACGAGCATGCACCGACAGCTGATGGCGCGTGGTGTGACGCATTTGCTGTTTTGTGGAGTGACGACCGAATGCTGCGTGGCGTCGACAGCGCGTGAGGCTAGCGACCGCGGGTTCCAGTGCTGTATCCTGGAGGATTGCACAGGCGGGTTTGAGGCGTCCTTTGCGACAGCGTCGGTGGACATGTACGTGTCGTTTGGGGGCCTGTTTGGGTTTGCCGCGCCCAGTACGGAGCTGGTGGTATATGCCAAGGCAGAAACAGGCAAAACCGAGTCGCTATCTACGCCGCAGGTGCCGTGGGACGGCAAGTCCCTCGACCTGACGACGTTGCAGGCGTACTACAAGCGGAGCGCACTGTCGCCGATTGAAATAGTCAATGCTGTGTACGACCACATCGAAGCTTACGAGAAGGAAAACCCGCACGTCTGGATCTTGCTGCGGCCGCGGGGGGACGTTATTGAAGATGCTCAGGCCCTGCAAGACAAGTACGCCGCGATCGGCCGTGACAGCCTGCCACCACTCTACGGCGTGCCGTTTGCCGTCAAGGATAGTTTCGACATCAAAGGAATGAACACCACGGCCGCTTGCCCCGACTTTGCTTATCTGGCGACGGAAACTGCGCCCACTGTCACGTCTATCCTCGATGCCGGCGCTCTGCTCATCGGGAAGACCAATATGGACCAGCTAGCGACAGGATTGAGCGGGTGCCGGTCGCCGTACGGCGTGTCATCGAGTGTCTTTAGTCCAGCAGATATGAAGTACTGTTCAGGCGGTTCTTCGTCCGGGTCGGCCGTGGCCGTCGGTGCACACCTCGTCACATTCTCGCTGGCCACTGACACTGCGGGTAGTGGTCGCGTACCCGCGAGCTTCAACGGTATTGTCGGCTACAAGCCTACGAAAGGCACACTGTCGTACCGCGGCATCGTGCCCTGCTGCCGCAGCATTGACACGGCGACCATCTTGGCGCAGTCCGTCGCGGACGCCCGCCGCATCTGGCACATCGTCGACCAATACGACGATCAGGACATCTTTGCCAAGGACCCACAATCGCTGCCGCTGACTCTGGCCGACTACCGCGGTATACAGAAGGCTGGGTTCACGTGTGCTGTGCCACCCAACTCCGCACTGGCGGTCGCATCGTGCTCACCAGCGTACCAGGCGGCCTTTACGGCAGCGCTGCAGGTCGTCAGGCGCATCGGCGGCAGACTGCGCACGCTGAGTGACACCGCGTACCAGCCATTTATGACCGCCACGGACCTGCTGTACAACGGCACGCTGGTCAACGAGCGCATCGCCTGCATGGGCGTCGATTTTGTGCGCGATCACATTACGAATTTTCATCCGACGACCAAGACGCTCTTTGAGCAGGTACTCGAGCGCGACTCGAAACCCTGGGATGTCTACGGGGACCAACTGGTGCAAGCCACGGCGACACAACAAGCGGGGCGGCTTCTGTCAGGCGGCCAGGGTAGCCTGGGTGGTGTGGGTGCGGGCAGCGGCGGTGAGAGCAGTGTGGTGGACGTCCTCGTCGTGCCTACGGCACCCTTCCACCCGACTATTGCCGAGATGCAGGCAGACCCGATCGCGCTCAACGCCAAGCTGGGCGTGTTTACGCACTTTGGCAATGTGCTTGACCTGTGTGCCATGAGCGTTAACGCAGGCTTTGTCGAGGACGGGATGCCGTTCGGTGTGTGCTTTGTGTGTGCCAGGGGTATGGATGGACGGTTGTTTGACATTGCCTCCGAGTTTGAGCGGGCCGTGGCCGCCACAAAGTAAGAGAGGTAGATGTTACATTTTTGCATATTGTGACCATCAGACATGGCAGAAGAAATTCCAAACGATGTTTACAACAAATCTCACCTGCTTCAAGAACGTTCTATGGCCAGTAAGCTCCTGGAAGCAGTATACAATCCAATAGCTAGCGCTTGTAGTGGTTTGTAATGTGGCTACTGGAAACGTGTTGGTGAAAGAGAGGAGAGGACTGGGGGTGATTGGGCAAGTGTACACCAAAATGACAAGTAAGATAAAGATGTAGCTGATGTGAGACGACTGCGGGAAAAGAGGCAAAAAGAAAGAAGCAGTGACCTTTAATTCTGGGGTATTACTTTGAAGCAAGAGCATCGGATAATATTATGCGGGGTTTTATTTATTTATTCTACTCTTAACGGCCGATAACTGCCAGCCGTCGTTTTACGATGTGAATAGCTCGCATGATAAAAACCCGAGGAACCTATTTCCCCCTAGAGCAGCGCATGCGCATCATCCATCGGGTACAGTTGCAGGTGCAAGCTCTTGATGTCAGCAAATAGAGTCTCGCTGGCTGACACGCCAAAGTCAGCTAGGAACTCGGGCGTCGTCTGTAGGGCCATATCGTCCAGGTCGTTGCCATCGGCCAAGAGAGGATCTACGGCGACGGCAGCCAATGTATCGGCGACCGTACCACCGACAGGCATGGACTCCACCGCGTGTGTCACCTCTGTACTACCCACTGCGTCCATTGTGTCTCCCATTGACGGTATCCGCACCTGCATCTGCATGGACCTCGCTGCTCTTTCTGCCGCTAGCCTCTGCACAAACGGTGACCGGCTCATGTCAATATCCTCGAGGCTCTCGCCCATCTCGCGCAGCGCCGCTGTCACAAATGCCACGCCGCGCGCCCGCACGCGCAGGCTCCACCGGAACTCATCCAGCTTCTGGCGGTAGAACTCGGCCTCAGCATCCCCTGAGCTCGTCGCCCACAGGATCGATACATATGTGCGGATGTACGCCAGCGACTTGGCCGACGCGAACCACCAAAACGCCTGTAGGTGCTCGGGCCGCAGGCCCTCAACAAAGCGCATGACGTGCAGAAGGCGCGTTTTCGCGGCCTCGCGGCAAAGTAGGAGGAGGGCGGCGTTTCCGGATACATTATCTGTCCTTTGTGGAGGTGATCTGGCCAGGCTGCGCACGATGCACCGGTAGATCATAATCTCAGTAACAAAGTACGACAGGTGCAGGTACCCGTTTGAGCACAGCTTCCGCGGTCTCACAGCCTCCATACGCAAGCACGCCGGCAGGCCTGTCGCCCACGCCCGTAGCTGCAGCGCCACAGACTTGACGAGCTCGATTGTGTGCATTGCGTCGGACGCGGAAAATTCTGCGTGGCGCTGGCTGTCATGGCTGTAAAACGTGGCCAGGGCGCCGGCCATGACCTCGGTGAGGCGCGCCAAGTGGATGAACAACAGGCGGCCCTTGTCGACCTCGGTGCTGTCGTTAGTCCCGTCGCTGTCATCGGTATCGTTGTCGCCCCAAAAATCGACTATGGTCAGCGGCGGGATCCGCCAGTGTGATGCTTGCACATGCGACGGCCGCCCGTAGATCAGCGAGCTCCACTTATCTTGCATCAGAGCCGCCCACGCCAGCCGCCGCCGCAACCCCTTTTCCCACGCTGGGATGTTCCAGAAGCCGCAGTCCACGTGCAGGCCCAGCTCCTCGGCCACGGCCACCAGCTGGCTTGTCAACACCCATGAGTCGCCGCTGTTACCAGTGTGGTCCGATGACGGAGCTCGCTGTAGTAGTAGGAGGCAAGCCTGGACCGTCGACAGCTTTGGCCGGTGTACAACTTCGGCCATTAATGCACGCGACGCGATTCGTGCCAAGGCATCACCGTCAGGCTTAGACATGTTGTTGTTGTTGCTGCCTGTCTTGGTCAGACTCAGCTGGGGAACCGGGCCCACCAGCGGTGCCTGGTCGTACTCCCACCAGTCCATCGCCAGCAGGTACACGGCCGCCAGCAACGGCGCCGGCAGGAAGGTCGCTCGATCCATGCGCCGGTACCGCTCCAGGAACACGCCCTTGTGCAGGATCGGGTAGCTCGGGTGCACGATGCGAAAGTACAGATCCACCAACCCGGGTCCGTGCGGCCGCACCAACCGCTCGACGGCTTCGGCATCACTATTTTCACTTTCTCCGCCGCCCGCACTGTCGAGACGCGCCAAGAACGTCACACCTTCGGCGACACGGCAGAACTTGGAGGCGTCCGAGTCGTTGTGGTAGCGAAACGACGGGTCGATGAAGTCGAGCAGCATGTCCTCATGTAGCGAGCCGGGGCCAATGTACTTGAAGTGCGTCGTCGGATGCAGACCGAGCGTGAGGCTGAGGCGGGCCCGGCCGGCGTCGTCGTCGTCGGTATCGTCTCTGTGGCTGCCGACAGTGGCTGCCTTTTCTACTTCGAGCTGTTTGGACCGCCTCTTTTTACCGGGACTTCGTATAATATACCGTAGTTAGCGATTATAAACGCTAATGTGAATTCGGACGGAGGGGAGATGGTCGCCGTACTCGTCTTCTATATTTAAGGTGTCTCCTCCTTTACCATTATTATTATTCCCTGCCGTTACCTTCTTCCGCTGCCTCTTACGTCTATGCTGTGGCGCATTAAGGTACGTGCACTCCCGCTGGTGGAAAGAGCACAGCACGCACCGCTCTTGCTCGGGTTCGCGCACGCATCTGAGCTTTCGTCGGCGGCAGGTGTCGCACGACCGCTCGCCACGTGTAGCCGCTCGTCGTGGGCGCTGCTGCTGCTGTTGTTTTTGGTGTAGTGGAGGTACTTGCGCGGCCGTTAATTCGCTGGGGCTTTGTAAGTCTATCAGACTCGTCACCTGTCGATCCATACTGTATATTACTAGGAAAATTCCAAAAAATCAAGACTAACAATAAGGAAACACGGAGCACATACGAAATGATGGAAGAGGTTCGCTCTCCTTGCCCCAACCCACACGCTTTTGTCGGTCTTAGAGGGGCCATCGAGGCCTTCCAAACAGTTACCTTATCTACGAGTACGGGCTTTTACGTTTTGCGACACCTTCAAGGTGTTATCCGACTACTGGTATTCGTTACTACGTTGCGACGTTTTCTTATCAGAGACCCAATTTAACAGAATCTACTCATCTCCTCGCCCGCCCACCAGTCACCTCCAGCTGTGGCTAAGCTAGGCAAAGGACGCACCATCCCCATCATGACCAGTGGCGCTAAACCTTTTTGTGCACTGAAGTCAGAAACGGACTTTAAATATGCTTCTCTAGGGTTAGCGTGATAACGTATAGGGGGTAGGGTGGCATTTTAATGTTATCTCGCGACGTTATCAGAAAATTCGTACTTCTTACTCCGTACTTTCTTTCCCCCGAAAGAACAACTAATTACGTTCGTGATCCTGTTTACCAATATAGGCTAGGCTGGGGTCCTCGTTCATCTACTTTATCCCCTTCCAGTCCTTTCAACCTTTGCTATCGAAATCAAACATCCCAGTGTTTACAGCACGATGTCAAGCCCAAAGCCACGTCAATCCCACTCACCGCCTTTTCTACCAGAAGACAGATGCCATAGCCGGCTTTCAGCACTTCATGTTGCTGCTCGTCAGGGTGATAGCCATATGGTGAAGCTTCTGTTAGACCGTCGTGCAGATATAGGGAAATTAGACAGTGACGGCAACACACCACTGCATCTGGCTGTTTTCAACATAGCTAGCCTTGACGGTCAATGCAGTCATAAAGAGGCTACGACGGTTAGCGGTTACGGTAATTTTGACAAAAGTTAATTTGGCCTATTGGCGCTTCGAGCGGAAGAGCAGAGTTGGGTAAATTAGCATTTATTAGTTATCCCCCACCAACTTATATCGGCTATACTAGGCCTCCCTCTTCACCCCCACGCACTATCATGTTTCCTGTTGGTGCGAAGCTATATTTGTCACGGCTAGAGATCATGATTGTCGGCCGACTACGCTGCATCTGGCAGCGTAGTGGGTTGAAAGAGCTCACGGACGTAGTACCGCTATCTCTGCACCATTTTATCGATCCGAAAAGCCAGACTGAAAAGGGTGGAGTCGCTCCCTTTCCTACGGCCCAGGGCAACAATAAGGCCCTTGCCAAGCTTTGGCTAGTAGATACGACTATGGATGTCGAACGTGAAGGCATCTGTGATGAGGTGGCCCTGCATATAACGGTTGAAGTTGCTAACATGTACATATTTGTATGAAGAGTCGTTGTAGACAAAAAAGTGGGAATTATAACAGAAACCAAATGATGAAGAACGAAAGGAAAGCAGAAAAGGACCCTACTTTTTCAGTCCAAGCAAAGAATACAGTGCCGATGCATCCATGGACCTGCCGCCCAGAAACTCTTTCACCAGAGTACGCTCATCGCGGCTGCCACCCGGTTCCATGATGCCCTCACGGAATTTCTGCCAGGCAGCGCGTGACAACGGATCGGCAGCAAACGTGGTCGCAAAAAAGTCTAGGGCCAAAACTTGGGCACTGCCATTGAAGATTCAGAATTTGCTTTCAGTTAACCAAGCCCGGTGAATACTACTTACCACGTGTATGCATAGAACCCGGCATCATAGCCGTCAAAGAGTGTAGTCACAGCGGTGTGTGGTAAAGCATTCTTTGGTAGACCTCGTGACTTGATTCTCAGAGAATATGCATTGAACGCGGCCGCAAAGTCGAGCTTCTCAGGGGCTTCACGACTGGGTGGGCTATGCACCATGAGGTCAAAGAGGACGAGCACTCTAAAGGCATGTCAGTAGTTTTTAAATGGAGTGAAGAAAACGAATAACAAGAAAAAGAAGAAGAAAAGTTCAAAAAACCAGCTGAGACATACAGAAGGCCCAAGGTGTTTGATCGAATATTGCCGGGTCTTCGTGCAATACGCTGTGCTATGTGGGACTCCGGGATGCGTTCCGGTGGTAGGTCCTCACCAGGGTGCTCCTTGTGCCACACCTCCTTGAAGGACTGATCAACACGAGTGTAGTGCCAGCTGAGCTGTCGAAGCACATCTGGCAACCAGCACCATTGTTCCAGCATCATACCATTGCCCTCGGCTAGCTCGCGAGGGACATTGTATCCGTGGAATCGGGCGTATCGCGTGCGAGATATAATATCATGTATACTGTGTCCGAGTTCTATATCTATCAAAGGCTGCTACTCTGGTACAATGGTCTTCACCAGTGTCTAGGAGTGTCTTACCATGGAACATGGTGATCAAGTTCATGTGGCTTAATGGATAGGCCTTGGTCGGCGACAGATGAAAATTACACATGAGCGTGTTTGACGGATACACTCGGGTGCCATCTGGTCTAACGTAACCCTGCAGATCATCAGCTTCTCTTGTGTCCATTTTGTAAAGTTTCTATGAGTGTGAACTTACAGGTTGAAGATTTACACTCTGATTACCTCTATATTTGTGAGGGCGTTCCAGCAAGTCGGCAAAAAGGTAGCCAATAAACTCATCTTTATGCTCCTGACGTTCGTCCCATACGGCCCAGCCCTGAACGTCTTGGTGCCACGCAACAGTTGCCAATTCTCTGGGTGCGATTGGGTCAAAGCACAATTGCAGGTAGTCGGCAAAGAGCGCGAGCATAGCGGTGAACGTGTGGTGCAGAGGAAAGTACTCGGCAATGGCTGCGTGGTCGATGGGCAGGACCTTGTCGTCTCGCTTCGTGCTGTAGTAAAGGTAATCCCAGGGCGGCATAGTGTTGTCATCCTCCGGGACTTCCTCGCCCGGCTCTTCTTTCAAACTGCGTCTCCGCTCCGCCGCAACATTGTTATGCTCAGCACGCGCAGCTGGAATCAAGGTGTTGGCCACATCGTTGAGAAAATGGTCCAGCCACTCCAGTGATTCAGCCAGCCGATACGGTAGCTTGGTGGAAGCGTGGTTGGCGGCGCCCAGCTGACGGGCGTTCTCGTCTCTTAGTAGCATGACTTCCCGGAAGATAGGCACGTTCTTGGCACAGCTATAGCCTGCACCCTCGGCCATTTGGCGGTGCGTCTTTGGATCACGGGCGCGGCTCATCACGTCAAACTGTTTGTTTGCGTAGCTGTAAAATGCCTTGCCGTCATCGCCCACCGGCTCCTGGTCGCGTTCCGGGAGACCGTACACCTCCTGCGGCGTGAACCACTCTCCTCCCCGCTCTGTCCGCACGTTGCGGCAATATTCAGTACATAGCTTCTCAATGCGGTTGCTTCGCTTCTGGCGGTGCTGGATTTCTGCGTCGTTGAGCTTGTCAAAGCCATTCTCTGCGTAATCCCGAAGTCTGTGGTCAAGAAGCTTCTGAGACTCTGGATCGAGGCACTCTTTCCGGTCATTGACAGCTTGTAACAGAATATACATTTCCCGTCGCATAGCTGACGAATAATAGGCGCGAAAAACATCCTGGGCGGCCTCCGCAGCCGTTTGACAGGTAAGACTGGCTGCGCAATATTTTAGAGCGTCAATAATGGCCTTCTCACCACTCTGCGCATTTTCTAACTCCTCCAGCGGGAGCACAACACTTTCGAAAGTAGCTGTTGATAGCACCACCGAGCCAATGATCTTTTCCGTAAGACTGCGGTGCTCAGCAATATGACGCGCACATGTAGGCATCACATCTTCCGTTTGTAGGATGACGGGGAGCGGTTGCGGGGCGTTGGGTGCCATGGTTGCTCGATACACTGGAGTATCAAGGCAGTCCACAATTCAAGATAGAGCTGTTTACGCAAAACTGTTGAGAAAAGCAATTGGCATAGAAAGATTGAGAACGATAGATAAAAACACGGACGGCGGTTGTACGTAGCGAACGAAGAGGGGTCTAATGTCAGGCAGTGTGTGGGTGACGAGATACGTCATGTGACCCACGTCAGTAATAAGTTACAAGTTAAAATAGTTAGGTAGGGTATCTTACACTGTTTCAATAATAAATAAAAGGAAAAAGGGAAGTTAAAAAATAGTTAAAAAATTCAAATAACTATATATCAAAAAAAAAGGTACATTAATAAAACCTTCCGATCGAAAACCGTGACCGATAATCATCGAGTCTTTTTATGAACAAGTGAATTCATCTTATAGAAACAGATGGGAAGTCCTAGCCTTAGTTATAGATGTACTTCCTTAGTTCATTAGTGAGAGTTGAGTTGGTAGGGCAGGTGTCCCACTCCGTTTCAGTATCTTTTAGTCCTACACTTAATCCTAATACCTCTCTTTTGTGTAAAAAATGGTATATCCACTCTCCGCGGACCGGAGAGAGGATCACGAGGTGGAACGGGATGTCTTCCTTTTTCCGGGGATCCAACCGAAGTATGAAATTAAAAACAGCCCACTTTAGGTTGTCAGTACCAACGGTTACGCGGCTGGTAAATCATCTATAGGTAAAAGGGGAAATCCGCAATCGATGCACCATTGCCTTTATTCGGCCATGGCCGCCCCTCGAGGCCTGCGTGCCTGACCCTGTGCGTTTGTTGGTTTCAGCATGCCACCGGCAAAATCAAAAAATATATACAAAAACAGAAACAACACTGTGCACGGTCAAAAGGAGCGTAGATACACTTCGCCAATTTGCATATGACTTTTTCCCTTACGCCGCGCTCGCTTCCATCTTGCATCTCCTCCTCGCGTAACCCACCCGCATTCCAACGCAGATTCATTCTTGCTCTCTCTTCTCTCGGTTTTCTCTTGACTCTTTTCCTGACTCTCCTCTTAACTTTTTTCTGTACTTCCCTTGACTCGTCTCCCCACGACATGGCTTTCCACTGGTCAACGCCCTCACGGGCCATCGCCGTGGCTCCTGTGCTGACACAAAGCATTTCGATGGCCGCAGCGGACAATAATTTCCCGCAGTACGTCAACATCAGTATCATTTTCCCCCGTAACGAAACCTACGACTCGACGTCCGGTATCTTAACGGTCATTTTTTCGTTGACAAACAAGGCGAACGCAATCAACCTGTACCCTGACATGAGCGTGAACATCTCCCGCAGCAGCGGCGAAGGGAACAACACACAAGTGCAGACAGAATTGTTTCTCGACAACCCCCAGCAACTGTCTCCCAACTCGATTGGCCATGTCACCACCAGCGACGACAACGTTTACCTTTACACTGCTTTGCCGGCCATGCTGGGGTACGAGGGCACCTTTCACGTGGACTACTCTATCTCTCTCGCGGCAATGGTGGCCAGCAATGACACCCGCGGCTTTGTCTCGGCTGTCGACACGCCCGCGAGTTACGGAAGCTTTGGCTTTACGCTGAAAAGGGGTGCCGGGGCATCGCTCGCCGACCTCGTCACCGGTACGGCCAACACGTCGTGTGCCAACGTGCCCTTTGCGTGGCCGGTCTCTGTCGTCGGTATAGAGGACGAAGGCTGCAAATTGCATGTCAACAGTGTTCCGGGGGTCACGTGTGCGTATCTAGACAGCACCACTCTCGGTATCGTGGCCGACTACGACGAGGACAAGCCCTTTGTGAACATGACCACAACCACCTTCGGTTGTGCGCCGACAATGGATGCCGCCGCCTCCACCACCGTGGTGTCTGGGATCTGGAACGCGTCCTGTATCCACTCGGGCAACATCTCCTGCCCTGCAAATATCCCTGGAGCACCGCACAGCAACCTGGCAACCATCTCCGCGCCGAGCTTGGCGGCAGCAATGGCCGTCGTCTTGGGGGCTATGGCGGGTGCGATGCTCCATTGAGCAGCGTGCTGTAGCACCACTGCTGGATTGGTAATGAAGCGTACTACCTCGCCCTCCTGGGCCTGCTGCTCAGCAGCCATGTTCCGCTGCTCCCTGACGGCCACGTGCGAGATCTTGCCGCGCTCTTTCCATTTTGTTTCCGTGTCATCCACGGCCGCCGACCACGTTGGTGGCGACCCTCCCCGCCTGTTCCAGTTGCTGCTGCTGCTCAATGGCCTCAGCCTTCATCGTGGCAATCGTCACGTTGGCGGCGTTGATTTTCTCGAGGAACTTGTCGCGGGCCGTGCGCTTTCTTGATCCGGCGCAGCACAAAGTCGTCGAGGCCGAACACGCCGTCGAGGCTCTGCGTTGTCCGCGACAGTGACAGCACCAGCTGGATGGCCTTGTCGACAAACATACGGTGCAGTGCCGCGTCATCCGATGCCCCGGCCGACACGCCGCTCGCTTCCACAAACTCGTCGGTGGCCAGGCCCGTCCTCGCAAGAATTGTGTCAATCTCCTTGCGCGCGAGCACTACCAGCGCCGTGACGCCGTAGTAGCTGGCAATGGCATTGGTCCAGATGTGCCGCGCCGCAACAGTGGATTAGCGTCGACGGCCGGTTTTTTGTCGCATTCGTCTGCGGCTGCGTCTGCGGCAGCGTGTGCGACCACCGTCGACGGGCCCGCCTGCGACCGCCTTGCCGTCGACGTCCTCTGTGTCCTCGGCAGGCAACTCACTGTACAGCGGGTTCTCCTCGCCGTACAAGAAGCTCAGCGTACGGCTCACCACCGCCGCGCCAAACTCCTCGACCTTGTCCGCATGGTTCCGCGCTTCCTCAAAGTGGCCGCCGAGAGGAAGAAAAGGTTAGAATTAATCTTTGTTATAATGCACACCTATCTTCACTCTCGAATTTACTACTACTACCTGACGACTATTATTATGAAGACATATCCAACTAATAATTATAATAGTTAAATTTTAAGGTGTGACTTATATTGTTTTTATAATTTTTATTAATAGTGTTACCCTTCTTATTCTTGCTTGATTTTATGTTCTTTTAGTGTAGAGGAGCCGCTTAAAAAAGTCATATTTCAGCTGTTAAGGAGGTGAAGTAAAGAGACTCTTCGAATAAAAGGTTTTATTAATTATAGTTATTTCACCGATGATGATCGGATAACTGTAGTAGATTAATCGAGACTATTTCATCGGCATCCTTTGTTTGAAAAACACAAAAGGTTTCGGTCGACTCTTCCCCTTCGGTAGAGGCGGTAAGCATAGCTATGACCATAGGTTGATTTGTATCCCGTGGATTGCATGCTACAACTTGAAACATGGGCATGTTTTGTTTCCATACCGTATAGCCGGCATGTAAAAGATGTAACCTCTCTTCTCCAGCTGCATCTCTTTCGTGAATAAGAAGGTCGTCTCCTGCACTAGTAATATCAAGTATCCAACAATCGTTACCAGCGTCGGGGCCATTATACACCATACTGTATGTCTCGTCTCGGTCTTGGTCTTCCTCTTGTTGTCGAGGATCGTGTCCTATACGGTAAATGGCCGGTTTTGATCGTATGCAATTACCGTTAACATTGCTGCCTTCCTTGGAGAGGAAATAAAGCTCCTTCCCGGCCCAAGCAATGTGGCTGATGGAAAAGGGAAATGGCGTGTATGCATTCTGTGTCTTGCTACGGCGACCGTGTGAGGATGACAGTCCCCGCCGATCCACAGCTGACAACTCCCCGCCGGTAATGTAGACTCAGTAGACTCAGATGCTGGATATTCAACCAGCATGGCCACCCGTCCATCATCTGGAGTGTAGCAAGGGGCCATCTTCTTTACACGCCCCTGACCGTAGATGGCAGTTTCGCTATATCGTTGTGGGCGCAACTCGTGGGCGTCAATAAACCGCTGGTCGAAGCCGGTCCATGTATATTGTGTAGCAAGTAAAAAGCGGTTGTGCTTAGGCCAGGGGCAGAAATGTGCGAATGGCCACGGCACTTAAATGGGTGCCGGCTCCGAGTCTACACCGAACCAGAGTCGTTATAGGTGATAATTGGCCTCTGGATCGTATACGTGCTCACGAGGGTGCCGGTCGGACATGAAGAGAAGTAACATGCCGTCCGCCGACCACTGCGGCGCATGGTCATTAAACGACCCGTGGGTTACCTGGCGTACTGAATGTCCCTCACCAACGTTCGCGACCCAAATGTTGGAGGCGTATCGCGGTTGGGGTTGGTCATGTGCATCGTCATCTGGTGTGCTTATACGAGTCCTGAGATGGTAGGCTACTTTGTTGCCGTGAGGTGACTTGACAAGGCCACCGAGCAAAAGGTGAGGACTGTGGAGGCGGGACATTGGTTTTTCTTTTTCTTTTTCTTTTTTTTTTTTGGGTTGCAGACAAAGGAAGATTTGTTTTGGTTTCAACGTTGTGATAAGATTGCAGCGCTGTTAAAAGTGAAAAAGCTAGTTGGATAGGAAGTATGTTGACAAGAAACCGCGTTATCTCGCCGCCAATTACCTTAATAATATTCAAATGTCAGTGTTTACACCGGTGAAGAGGGGTTGGGCATGATTTCTGCAGATTTGAGGCACAGTAGTTGGCCTAATGGCCTCCCAGTGTGCTTTTTAATGTGTCTGTTGGGTGTTGGTTGTTCCGCACTGCAGTAAGTGGCGTGGCTGGAACAAATATATTTTATTAACCGATATATCTGTGGGGGGCAAGAGATTAATGTTCTTACGCTACGTTGCTATATCTATGCAACAGTATGTTGATTGGTTTGGGTTTACGGCTTACGACCTTCATGGTGTGTGCATATAATCGTATACCCATATTTTAAAAGTTCTCGAAATTGTATCTTAAATATTAACATCTTAAATAGGCTTCGGACAGTAAGGACAACAATGTGCTTGGTCACAGACGCCAACGAAAAAAGCGGGGAAGAGACTGTTCGTTTGAGAATGCCAACGGCCGCGCTGTTTTACTTTTTGGATTAGCTTATTGCGGTCGTCCATTCTAGCCTTCCGGCCTGCCAACCTCAGCCAGCCACAGGTGCAGGTGGCGTTCAATACTCACAAAAGCGTAAGGCATTATTTGAAATAGCACTTTGAGCTCTAGCGTCGTGTTGCATTCATTGGCGTAGGCAGGCAGGTCTGGCAAAGCTCCATATGCTTGTTTTCGGAGTCGTTTTCAGACGCATATTGAATATGTGCGTTTCAGAAGCTTAACCTCTTTGGGGTATATTCGACCGACGTGTCTGTTCAATGTCGATGTCAAACGCTTTCATACAAAAGGTGGTTCTATGCGTCTTTCTTCAACAACGCAGAACAATACTCCGTCTATTCATTTCTCAGTCGACTCTCCTTAGTTGTTGGTATACGAAATGTCAGAAACAACAGTATTCGACGTCATCGTCATTGGAGCTGGCCTCTACGGCATCCAATCTGCAAGGACATATCTTGAAATCCACCCACATGACAAACTAGCAATATTGGAAGCGGGCAAATGTTTGGGTGGGGCTTGGAGCAGAGGTAAAGGCCATTCTTGTGAACTCTGGTATACCATACTCTGCCAAATATCCTGGTTTTGACTGACGGCCTACAGACCGTGTATACGAGTATTTGCGAACACAGGATTCTGTGTCTGTTGCCGAGTTCTCCGATGCGCCGCTTGAGCTCGAGCCCAAAGATAACTTTTTCGGCCTCTTTCCAGCCACGCATATGACACGGTACCTGGAGGATTATGCACGGTCCCACGAATATGCCGGCTCGACTTTAGAAGCCCGTATCCTTTTCAACACTCGTGTGAAGACGGTGAAGAAGACAGAAGAGCATCTTTGGCACGTCGAATTGGTAGGTGGCGGTGATTTGGCCAGATTTCTTCGTGCCAGAAAAATCATTGATGCGTCTGGCATTACCACGGAGCCAGAACTTCCCAACATTGCAAACCTGTCATTATTCAATGGCACCCAGACACACATGAAAAACCTCGCCTCATCGGACCTCTTCACCAACACGACCTGTAACCGCGTTGTGGTGATTGGTGGTGCCAAGTCCGCTGCGGATGCGTGCTATTCTGCTGCGCGGGCCGGAAAGACGGTGTACTGGATCATCCGCAAGTCGGGAAACGGTCCCTGTTTCTTTGCACCGGCCCAGGCATCGCCGCCATTTAAAGCACCCGACGAGCCGCTCCTGACCCGGATTCTGTTCTACATCTTGTCTTCCCACTTTGTCGAGGACACGTTTTTTGTGCGCCTCCTGAACCGGACAGCAATCGGGCGCAGCGTCATCCGTTTCTTATGGCGGTTAATCGAAAGGGACTTCCGGAAGGCAGCGAACTATGACCGGCCCGACCCCAAAGGGAACGGCTTCAAGAATTTGGAGCCAGATACACCCCTCTTCTGGGCCAATGACAACACTGGTGTCGAGCAGCGCGACGACTTCTTCGACGTCATTGCCGAAAATGTCAAGATCTTTCGAGAGGATATTGCGCATATGGAAGCCGACGCTGTGGTCCTCGCTGATGGGACCCGTATTGCCGCTGACGCACTCATTTACGGAACAGGATGGAAACAAACTCTCGGTCACTATGATCCGCAGACATCATTGTCACTCGGACTCCCTGTCCCCTTACGTCTCGGCCCCGCGGCCACCGTCGACTGCCACAAGTGGGACGCATTAGAATTTGCTGCCGAGAAAACAGTCCTGAACCGGTTTCCTATCCTTGCTCACCCCCCACGATTCTTTAAAAAAGAGCCCAAGACGACGCCGTACCGTCTGTACCAGACCATTGTGCCCATAAGTGACTCGTCGATTGTGTTCGTGGGCCGCATGAGCTTCGTCAATTCTTGGCGTGTTGCCGAAGTGCAGTCCTTGTGGGCTGTCGCCGCTCTGGACGGCAGGATTCAGGCTCTCCAGTCAAAGGCCGCAGTGGAAAAGGATGTTGCGGAAACAGTGGTCTGGTGTCGCCGGCGGTACCTCAACAAGGGCGATATCGCAAACTGGTTCTTGTGGGACTGCGTCGCGTATACGGACTGCCTCCTGCGAGAATTGGGGCTAAAAAGCCATCTTGGTAAGGAGGGCCTGTTGTCGCCGTGCCGGGCGAAGAGCCTCGGCGGTCTGGTGGAAGAATACAAAGTGAAAAATTGTACTTAATGGCTGTGATGGGAATTAAATTTCATATTTTGTCGCGTACATCAAATGGGTGCATTTCTCTCAAAAAACTTGTTTGTGTCACTTTGTCCCTTATATTCACACTTGACCACATACCTGCGCCAACATACCAGCATTTCTTCCTGTTGTTCGAGATATAGACAGTGCAAGGTCATCTGATGTTGAAGCCAGGCATTCTCTACGGGATATGGCACAAAGGTACCGTACCAGGTCCGTTAACTGCAGGCACATTGTTGGCTTTCCTCCCAGTTGCCACATCCTCCCCATGCGCCAAAGGCGACCCGTAAACATTGCGGTGGATGCGCCTATGCGGCAAGAATTGACCGGTACTGGGGTGTATCCTCCAATACCACCCATTCGCATGGAGCGGGCTGAATATCCTTCTGAAATGGCTTCGTGGTCTTCGTTCTTGGGGGATGACAGCAGCCTTGTGACCTACGCAGCCTGGGGCGTCGATGGAGGCGTGCGTACGTACGAGAAGCGGTTTGAGGTTGCTGTGGCGCAGCCCTGAGAGACTGTGAGAAATAACCTACGTAGCAGAAGAGCCATTGCAATCATGTACATCAGATGGTGGCATGGCTTACGGATTTGACATAGAGAAAATAGTCACGACAAGCTGCTCTTGACTTCGCCGGCTTGTCAAGAATGCTTTCGTGGCAACATGTGCCAGACCTTTTGCCTTGGCGGACAACTACGACGTAGGCAAAACGCATGCTGCATTAGCGCTCACCTCGGCTATGCAGGACGCTAGGACACTCGTATATTTAGACAAAAACGGACAAGCGTCTGTTCCGTGAGACGGTTATTTTGTTCAACATAAAGTCCGTCCCGTTGCAGCCGTTTTGCGAAAAAGCTAATTCTTCCTATTCTACGAAATAAAGTGTTCCAGATATGCACCTCACCCGACGCCAGAAAAACAAGGCCTGAAATTCTAAGACTCGCATATTGACAGCAAAAGCCCAGCCACTTGCGTCGACTAGAAACACGAAACACATGGCGACAAAGCGACAACACCATACGCGAAGTCGCTCCGGTTGTCTTACCTGCAAATACAGACATGTACGGTGCGACGAGCTCCAGCCAATATGGTAAGTGTCATACTGATCAGAGGCTATAGTCGAACGGGACTACTGATACCAATCGTGCCGTACACTAGTGCAACCTGTCTCAAAAGTCGGAAATCATGCATATATGCTCCGCCAGATGTTCCACTACGAGAGAAAAGACGACCGCTTCCGAGCACACCTGGCTGCCTGGTGTGGCGGTTACCCACGGCGAGAACAGACCCATTTGACGTGCTCCCCATCAAGATGCCCCTTAAGTCCCAAGATCTATTGGGGTATTGTGAGTACCGAGCGTGAAGGACCACAAAGGTATTGGAGGTGCCGTTGGCAACTAACCCAATAATCATGAAATAGTCTCCCAAACCACGCCCACGGTGGACCAGGGATTCGACGGGTAAGAATAACGAGTTAGTTACCCGAGAACAAGACTACAAAACTGGTGTGTCCACTAAACTCACCGTCAACTTCCTCTGCATAGCTTACATTTGACCATCGACGAACCCACGGCACTTCGCAGTACCGTCCTTCTCGCCGGCCTCCACTTTAGTTGGAAATTTGGCGACCTCGGAACCTTTGAAAAGACATTTTTTTATCACAAAGGAGAGTGCATACGCCTCATCAACCTGTGGCTAGGAGACTCCTGTATGAGGACGACGGTAGTATGCATAAAGCTTATTGCAATCCTATCTATCATTGAGGTACCACCCCAGGCTTCCTACACTGAAGTAAGAAAACTGTACATTTCAAAAGCTAAACAAGTACTGTGACAGAGTTGTACAGGTAATCTGTCCGCTGCGAGAGCTCACTTACATGGCATCCTGATCCTTCTAGAGATGAGAGGGCACCGTGAACCTAATGACGAAACGGAGCAGGATGCCATGGAATGGGAAATTCTCCAGCGATGCGTTCTCGTGTAAGTCTCTAGTGTTATGTTGCCCACATTCAGCCTTCGCCTAGTGACTTCTATCCGTCCAACTCAGGACATGAGCACAAAAATGAGCCCGGTCTTACACGTGTCTTTTTACTTACAGGGCCCACCATTTCATATCGGCCATTTCCTCTCGCCTTACCAACCGCACGGCAGCCGGTATGCCTCCAGACGGCGATGACTCCAATATATGGCGGCGCTCCTTCACCGCTCTCTCCGCCAATACCGACGCGCTGCGACTGATGCCATCTTATTTTGCCACATTCGACAGCCCTTCCTTTTCTACGGTGGGGCTGCATGTCAAACCAAACACCAATGCCAACGAGGTTATCCTTCAGCTGAGAGTCATTACCAGGCTATTGGACGGACCTCAACGTAGAACAACAAAAGATAAAGATACGGCACACTTTGTGACTGATCAAGCTGCCCCCTTGGCCAGCGGGAGTCGGCTTTTCTGTGATAGCAACGACTCGGTATCCTGCAGTGGTTGCAAAGCCCTCTGCGGGCTTCTCTTGGCACACACGCGGACGCATACCATGAGCTTATCCCGCAGCAGTGGGTTACCAATCGATAGTGGCGCACTATTCTGCCCAGATCACAAAGCGGGGTGTCTGGTAACTTCCTCATGGTGTGGTCTGGCCGCCGCAGATAGCTTTTATCTCAATTACGTTGTCGGACTATGGAATGCAGGGCAGCCTGTCGAGACGAGGATGTTTCAGTGGCTGATCGCCATCGTCAAGTTGGACGTCGAAGGGACGGAGCAAGTGGCTCTTTCTTTTCTGAGTGGTCAGAAAGACGACTTTTCGGATCGTGTACGCCAGCTATACTGTGACCTGTGGTTCTGGAAGGTCTTTGTCAGTTGCGTGGCCCTTGATATGACACCACTCGTGTGTACATCCCTACATTCTGACAGAGAGTGGTTCAAAAGGCGTATATGTCGGTGGGCACGAAAATCCCAAACTGTGGAGTGGGACTTGGCAAAGGTCGCTCTTTCGAGGATTGCGTGGCCAAGGTCATCCATGGCAGGGGATAGCATTGGTGCACGAGTATGGTCAAGAGCAATCCAATAGACCAGTAAATTGAGAATAACTGTAAGGTAGCATATATGATGTGCAAGAAGATGTCGTGAGTGGACCCTTGACGTATGTCGTACTAGCGACGCAAATGGCAATGGTCGTCGCATTTGGCGAATGTAATATGCTTGCGTGACATTTACTTGGACTCGGCAAGCAGAATAAAGCGTTGAAGGAGCCGTATTAACAACCAATTTGGCGACAGCTTTACATGCAGCTCTTTATTATTTTTCCCACCGCACAGTTCTTACCAGCAACGCATAAGGCTGGACGGGAATTAAGATGACAGTCGGAGGATGGGCTAGTACAAACCGGGCCATTTATACGAAGCGTGTAAAGCTAGCCCTGTGCTTTTTCTCCGTACAGCATGCGAGATTAATATATATATAACGTGAATCATCCAGCTTCAGTCATTTGCAGATTCTGTCATCCAAGTACAAACAATCATAATATGGAGAAGCCTATCGTTCTTGTTGTTCACGGTGCTTGGCATCGAGCCTCTCACTACACCAAGCTTGTTGAGCCTTTGCGCGAGGCAGGATACACTGTCGTTGTTCCAGCACTCCCCAGTGCAGGTTCTGAGCCGCCCACCGCCAACCACACACTCGATGATGACATCGAGACTATCCAGTCAGCGATTCAACCCTTCATGGATGCCGGACGGGAACTGGTCGCTGTACTTCACAGCTATGGAGGCATCCCAGGCACTGATAGTGTTGTTGGCCACACCATCCAAGACCGCAGGTCCAAAGGTCTTCGAGGTGGTGTGAAAGCAGTTATATACATAGCTGCGTTTGCACCGCCAGCTCCAGCAACAAGTCTCTTTGATATGGTTCGCATAAAAGACGAGTCCGATCCTCATCCGGATTGGTGGACCCCCAAGGAAAGTGAACTCCTGAAGCACGTCACGGTGTGCTCAAGACGAAATCTTGTCTATCTAACTAACAATCGAAAAGGACGGCCTTGTCTCTCTCAACGAAGGCGCTCGACATGCACTCTATCAAGACATCGACATTGAAGTGGCCGATGAGGCTCTTGCGTCCACGGTGAAGCAAAGCACGGCCAGCTTCAAGCAAAAGTGCTCTCATGCTGCGGGTACTATCATGGCCCACAAGACTTACGTTGCGTGCCAGCAAGATGCAGCTGTCCCGTATGAGGGACAGGTCTTCATGGCTGAAGCGGCTGGGGCAAATGTGGTAGCCCTGGATTGCGGGCATAGTCCTTTTTTGAAGGACGAGGAGTCAGCAAAACTTGTGGCAATTATTGCTGGCATCTCGGTCTAGCGCAATTGGCGCATTTCATGAGCCATGTGAATGGTGTGCATCGAAATAGATACAAGCGTCAGGTAGATGGACAGATAGAAGGACATATCGATTTGTAAACTTTAGCTATTTAAATCAATCCATTTGTACTATCGGTCAAACAACATGGTCCCTGGGCAACTGTGAACATCTAGCGATACAAGATTGAGTTGGCATGGCTTTTCTTGGGCATTCACGCTGTGAAACGACGCAGAATATGTACATTACTTTAAAGAATGGTTGTTGTGTAAAGTCGTTGGGGTGTCAGTGCATGGCGGCTTTGCACATTATATTCAAGCGACCGCATCCTGCTTATCGTGAATCTGATCGGCGCGCATCTGCACGTCTGTAAGATATCCCTTGAATTTGCGAAGAGGTACTCGTTTATTGAACCTACGCATGTTAGTAGGTTAAATGTCTTTGGTATGGCGTAGGAAATCGCTTGTCTTGGTGCAACATACATCTCGTCAATCTCCGCCGGCGTCCGACGAGCCACTTCAGGAAGAATAAACCAGGCAATAACGGTAGCCACAGCACCGGTTCCGGCGAAGCTATGGACCAGTCAGTAACCTCTCATAACCATATATCTTGAGATTAAAACGTACAAGAAGCCAGTCTTGATACCCCAACTGGCACTGCCATTGATCATCAGCGGCGTGCAGAAGCTGAACATAATGGAGATCATGTTGGAGAAAGCCAGCGCCCAAGCAGACGTTCTTGCACGAAGGCGTTGCTGTGGGACTTCAGTTGCATATGCATAACCAATAGCCGAAGCACCGGTAGTAGAGAAGGTGGCGAGACAAGCAAAGAAGATCTATATTGTTAGTTGAACTCACGTATTCGACAACGTTAAAAACTACGGTATTTGCCTACCAAAAGAGAACTCAGCTGCTTTGTCGAGTAGTCGAAGCAGCCCACAATGCCGAGGCAGAGCACCGAGGCGACGGTCACAGCATATGGGTAGACAGTAAGGGGGCGGCGACCGAATCGATCCGTCGTCACAGCGGTGACCAGCATCGAGATTAATTGCACACAGGACAAAATGATTGTCACCATAAACGTGTCGGTGCTCCCGGCTTTTTGAACTGTTGGTAGAATACGTCAGAAGATGTGTCCGACGTGGCTTGCGGAAATACTGGAAATACTCACAAAAGTACGCAGCATACGTGTTGAATACAGACAACCCGACAAATTGTTGGGCAATTTTGGGCCAGCCAGCAATAACGAAGCGTAACAGGTTGCGGCCCTGGAAGACCGCCCACTGGCCAAGTTCATTGTTGACCTCGGCCTGTTGGCGTTCAGCAGCAACGGTGGCACGCATGACCTCCTGGACAGAAATAAGAATATGTACTAGTTTGACAAACTTAATGAAAAGAGCACATACCAGCTGCTCGTCGCAGTCATAGTCTGTAATGTCGCCGTTGCATATTTCGAGACTTTTTCGTGCTTTGTCCATTTTGCCTTGGCTTACCAGCCACCAAGGTGATTCAGGCAGCAGGGCAAAAACAATTCCAATACCACCAATCATTGCCCACTATACAGTGTTAGAGAGCCTGGTCATGGGAAGCGCAATGGGGCAGAAGACGCACCTGTGTGTAGATGGGAGTACGGAAGTTGTATGGGTCCGACTTGTTGAGCGAGTTGAGCGACACTGAGGCGAACAGCTGGCCGATGACAAACCAGCTACGCAATGTCAGTATCCATTACCAGGGCTCGGCTGGCTGGGCAGGCCGATTGATAATCCGACTTACAAAGAGTAAGCATTGATGTAGAAACCGCGGAGCTGTGTCGGGGTGATTTCCGAGAGGTACAGAGGCATCGTGGATTGCAGCATGCCTACACCCATACCGGACAGGAGCTTGGCAACGAGCCAGTGATCCCAGCGCGTCGCGAATGATTCAGCAAAGATGCTCTACCAGCAGAAACGCACGTCAGTGGGTGCACAATTACGAATTTGCCAACTGCTGATACTTAAGGTAAGCACTTACCGCAGTCAAGATTACCCAAAGGACAATCAGAGCCGGTTTGCGGCCGTAGCCTTCCGTTACGTATTGAAGCAGAATCTGTCCAACGGCTTGGCCGGTGGATTGGATACCGCCCCATGCCGACACGTATTTTCCGGCAATGATGGTCGTGCCCGGGCTGGCCATCTGGCGGATGAAGCCCTTGTTAGCAACAATGTTGCCGTTAAGATTGATTTCTAACGTGTCAGTCGAATTCGTTCGGTGCCAGCCTCCGGTGACTACTCCTTACGGTATCCGTCGAGGGACGCGCAAAACGCGGCCGTCATGGCGATGAGACCGACGCGCTTGTGGCGGAGGACGGTGCGCCAGATGCCAAAGCTGTCTTCTTTGGAGCGCATCAGCGGGCCAATGTCACCCTTGGCGGTCTCGTTAGGATGTTCCTGCATTTCAACCGCCTGGATCTCATCTTGGTCTTTCTGGGCCATTGTGTTAAAGTGTGTGGCTGTTAGGTCGAGGTAGCGATTCATACGTATTCTGTTTGTGAGCCGTAACGGCGAGACAACGAAAATAATTCCGATGGGACACGAAAATGAGGATCTCTCCGAGTAATATATCCAAACATTTTATTTCCGTGCTTGCTACTGTGACTGTCGCCCCAGCTTAATCCGGGGTAGGTGCCGGCCCCAAATCGCCCGTCCCCCGCTGCTACGAATGTACTGCGTGATCAAACCAACCTCATATCATCTAGTCACCTATGTGGAACTAGAGCCCCGCGTTTTGGCTCTACCAAAGCAAGGATCATCTTTTAGCTGGGTTTTGCACCTTGCCTCGTTTATCTTTTTCACAAGGAAAGGTCGCCAGATGCAATCAAGCCCAGTTTGTACTACTACGGCCACAAAAGCGGTAGCAAGAGACTCTCGCTGATTTCGGTCAAGCAGCCACCGTCTTGCTTACCATAAATTACGATCCCCGCAATCATATCGGTACATCGCCTGCCGATATTCGCAGCCCAAAGAGCTTCCGACGTTTAACCTCGCGCCAATCTCGGAGAGTGTTTATGTTCGTGTTTACGAAATAGAGCAAGATCGCATAACAAAGATTCAGCGTCTACGGCTTTCCATCCCTTTCTCGCTTCAGTCCGCTGCCCAGCTCGTATATTTGCGACCAGAGAAGCGCAGACAAGTGCCGAGATTGGACAGGACGCGTCAAAGCTTCCCGAACACCTCCAGTAACATAAATTCGATATTTCCAGAGCAGATTGAATACTCGTCTTCCTCACCTCCTCACCGTCGCCATATTGGTCTAGCTTTGACACCTTGGCCCCAAAATGCTTGTCAATTCGGACCAGGTTTGTTTCCCTTCCCTCTTACCTCACCATTTACAGCTCCCGTTGTCTGTCCCTGCCATGCCCTCCAGCCTACTTCTTCAAACCTCATCATACTCCTCGGCAATTCGGCCCCGCCACCTTAACTTTCATTTGAGCAGAGTCTCTCAATCCTCGACATTGCAATTCTCCGCGACAAATATAATATTCCTCTAAAATTACTAACCATTTACTCCCAGGACACCATCAACGCACTGACCTCCAGCTGGGTATGGACGCCAGACTGGTGCGACTCGACAGTGGCCTGGCCGTCCACGTCGAATGAGGTAGAGGATTCAAACACTGCTGGTCGCATCGTGCGGTTCACCCGCTCGGTCCATCTCCCAACCACTGACTCTTCCTCAACTGTGACAAGCAAAGTCTCATCTGCCATCCTGCACTTCTCGGCCGACACCCGATACAAGCTTTATGTCAACAGCAAGCGTGTAGCCGTGGGCCCGGCGCGCAGTAGCCCGTGGATCTGGTACTATGACACTCTCGATATTGCACCGTACTTACACCCGGGTGACAATCAAATCGTCTTCCTGGTGTTGCGTTATTTCGTGACCCTGCGCGGGGCCATGCCCTTTGCGCGGACGCCCTTTCCAGGTCTGACAGTCGTGGGCAACATCGAGCATGGCGGCAACACTATCGATGTGAGCACAGCTATGCCCGGATGGCTCGCTCAAACCGACCGTAGCGTTCGATTTCCAACTGGTCTGATCGACGACGGCTTCCTCCATGTACAACGTTCCTTTTCGTTTCCCTGCGTGGCACATAATTCTTGTCCAGTGCTAACGTTCACCTGCAGATCAGTGAGCGCATTTCTCCCAAGCCGTTGGGCAGTGAACTGACACCCGTTGGTTATGGACTACGAACGGCCAACGGCGAGCTGGCACCGTGGCGATTGCGCCCGCGTCCCATTGCCATTCCGGAAGAAACACATGTAGCTGTGGAAACGATCCGAAAATGTGACAGTACGGTCAAACTCGACAAGTGGTCAGCCTACTTCTCGGGCCAGTCATCGTTAACCCTATCGGCGGGCTCGCAACACACGCTTGAAGTCCAAGCTGATGTCCACTCCACTGCATTTCTCCAGTGGACGTTCCACGCTGTCACGGATCCCGCCAAGCAATTGTTGACCGCAGAGAGACCCAGGATCCACTTGAAAATCATGTACTCGGAGGGCTACGAGAATGAACCACGCAACTACCCTTTCTTCAGATCAAAGTCCGACCGACTCGATGCTGAGAATGGCTATATCATTGGCCCTTTCGATGAAGTGACCCTGGATCTCCCAACCGACGGGAGCAATGTCTCGTACGAGCCCTTTTGGTTCCGCACCCTCCGCATCATGCGCTTCCATGTCTCCATCACAGGTCCGGCGCCCGTTGAACTTATCTCTTTTGGGGCTACACAAGTCAACTATCCAATGGGCATCAAGGCGAGCTGGAACAATCTTAATGATGCAGACAGCGCCGCGATGTGGGACGTGTCCATTCGTACGCTTCGCAACTGCATGTTTGACGGCTATGTCGACTGTCCATTCTATGAACAGCTGCAGTACTCGGGCGATTCACGGTCGGTCGGCCTGTTCCACTACCTGCTGGCAGGTGACGATCAGCTCATGCGGCAAGCCATTTCCAGCTTCGGGGCCTCTGTGCTTTCCGAGGGACTGACACAATCCCGGTTCCCGTCGCACGTGCCGCAGATCATCGCCGGTTTTCCGCTATACTGGGTGATGCAAATCTGCGACCACCACCTGTACTTTGGCGATTCGGCATTTTCACGTTCTTTTCTGCCCCGCATTGACGGCGTGCTTGATTTCTTCGCCCAGCACGTCGACACGAGAGGTCTCGTGTCCCGTCTTCCCAGCGATGTGTGGCAGTATGTCGATTGGGTGACGACATGGGGTGCTACAGACGACCACCCGGACAAAGGCGTCCCGACGGCAGGCCGTTCTACCAACTGTCACACGTTCTTCAGTATGCTATATGCCGTCGTCTTGCGGCAGGCGGCTCGTCTTGCTCGGGATGTAGGCCGCCCTGGTCACGCCGACGAATATGAATCGCGTGCCGATAGTCTCGTCACTGCTGTCAAGGACCATTGTTACGACGGTCGCTTTTTCGCCGACACGACCGTGGACGCTCTTCCAGAAGCTGGAAACGGCCACAGTAGCCCAACCGCCTACTCGCAGCACTGTCAGGTGTTTGCCGTACTTTGTGGTGCCTGTAGCGAAAGCGACCGCGAACGGCTCCTGACAGAGGCATTCTCGGCCGATGCTGGTCGTTTTTCCAAGTGCAGTTATGTCATGCAGTTCTACGCGCTGCGCGCATTTTCCCTGGCGAGTGATGAGGCATACGAAACGTTTCTGTGGCCACGTGTATGGCAGCCGTGGCGGAAGATGCTGGCCAACAACTTGTCCACCTGGGAAGAAGATGACGTGCGCCAGAGGTCCGACTGTCACGCTTGGGGCAGCGTACCGATTTACGAGTACTGTACGGAGCTAGCAGGTGTACGGCCCATCGGGGCAGGGGCCAACAAAATTTTGTTCAAACCGCGTCTCCGGTTGACCGACAGACTTGATGCAAAAGTCTGCCTAGGCTCCAGCAATGTCGCCAGTGTGGCGTGGTATGTCACTGGGGGCGGACTTGAGGGGGAAAGCAGTGCGAAGCAAGGCGCCACGGCTAGAAATAAACTCTACACTGTTATGCTGCAGCTGGAAAAACCAACCATGGTTGTCAGTGTCCTCCCAGGAGGCCGTGAAAGCGATCATGGCTTGGTAGCCTGTGTTGCGCTTACATGGCGCCCTGAGTAGATTATGTTGCTGGGCTTGGATGGCCTTGTCGAGCGAAAGAAAACTCGAAAGCTATGGAGGCCAAATTGATATCGATGCCTTTCAAATGGTTTGTATCCTATCGTCTCTGGTCAACTCTTGGTATGGGAAATTCCACAAATCAATATTTGTTTGCCTACATCGATGTTGCCGATATTTATGCTACTGCACTACTAATATTTAAGAGTTTGTAAACAAAAACTACTTCGCATGTGACGCAAAGCTCCATTATTAACCCAGTCTTGGACGACATGAATTTTGTACTCTGTGACAAAAAATTGTTATGTTAACATATTGTCGCGTTAACCAATCTCGGTCGATGAGATCTTATTTTATTTCTCTCGCAAAATCTCAAGTTTTCTCATATATTTTAAGTTTATTTCATCGCTTAATTTCTTGTAAACAGGAACGGTCTCTAAAAACTCCTGGGAAAATACCAACGCGTACAAATATACACTAGAAATCCAAAACTTATTCACAAGCATATGGTCGTCAGTTGATGCTCATCCGTGGCTAAATCTCCAGTAAGCGCAGTCGCCCTTCCAATTTGCGTATGTCTTTCCAGGGACACCCCACAACGGGAAACATCTCCGCAGCTGCATCACATGACCCAAGGACCACCACTTGGAGGGAAGATATTGAACCGTGGCTTTGTCCCTCTCCTCCACTCTTAAGCTTGCACCTACATCTGCTTATTTCCCCAGACACTCAGCAATTCATCTCCACTTCGGTATCCGGGGACTACACAACTGGACCATGAACGCAAACACACCGCCCGATACGCAACGTCGCCGCTCGCGCATCGGCACACGAAAGGGGCGGCGCATTTCGAGCGCAGCCTGCGACCTCTGTCGTGCTCGCAAACTACAGGTATGCGTGCGAAGAGCAAACGTCTGGCTTCTAGGGTTTGACCCGCCTCGCTCACGGACTTGATTACGCGTAGTGCTCCTTCGAGCCGAACGCTTCGGGCTGTCACCGATGTCTTCGGTCTTCTGCGCCGTGTACTTTCGATCAACTGCGACGACCGCGGGGTCCTCCAAATAAGTGAGTCTTGTATTTGCTGCTTTTGTTTTTTTGCTAATTCACTCTGAAAGCTGCCGGGATATTATTTTGTTTGTTTCCCACAACTATGATACACTCGGGCTTTTCACTCCCCATCAACCACAGTCACTCACACATGAAGTAGACTTGTTGCGCTTGCAAAATCCCATGGCAACGCGTCGTCCCCTCAAAGTCCGGTCGCTCTGCCTGCGGCGTCGTCGGCAGTGGCCACAAAGACTGTTCCCATGACCATCCCCTTCCTCAACATCAAGATATCACTGGACGAATTTTGTCCGCCAGCGGCCTTTGCTGCTGTCATGGTGGACTTCTTCGATGAGATCTATCCCGTCATGCCTCTGGTACACCGTCCTACGTACGAGGGTGCACTGAAAAACCGCCTCTACGATTCCGACCCCGAGTTTTTGCAGCTGTGTGTTGCCATGGCCGCCTTCACTGTGACAACTTTTCCGCAGCGCCTTCCAAGTTACGGCTGGGGCGGCCCCGAGCTGACCGTGGCAAACATTGTTGAGCTGGCATCCGTCATCGTGCGTCTCAACCGCGGCATCGACAAGCGCCGCACTATGGTTGAAGACCCCACTGTGGCTGCCGTTGTGTCGCGCATGGGTCTGAGCTACTCGTGCCACCACAGTGGCGAGTTCAACAACGGCTGGTCGCATGCCAACGAGGCCGTCCTTATGTTCCGCGAGCTAGGACTCTACCGTGCCGAGGCGTACAAGTGCTTGTCACGCGCCGGGGCCATCATCAGTCGCCGCATGTTCTGGGTTCTATACATGATGCAAATGTATGCATTTTCACTTCATCTGTTTAATCCTTGTATAGCGCTTGGGTCTGATTCGATATAGGTACTCTTACACTTCTGCGCCAGAACCACTCACTGTTTTGCACTTTGATGCTTCAAAAACGGACTGGGATGCGTTGCGCACTAACGATATGGACTATGTGGGCATAGAGCCCGACCCTGACGACAAGGACGAGGATATTGACGAGGCTGCCGACGTGGACAAAAGCAAGCCCCCTGAGCCTGGAACCTACTCCCGCCGCCACCGACACAAGCACACACTCATCATGGCTGGATTCAACGCAATTATTGCCATGCATATCTGCGTGACTGAGATGATTGTTGACCGGCTACCAAGACCTCCACCTTTTGCTCCGGCGTTGTCATATTCTCGGCCCACGTCTACTGCCCTGCCGTCATTTTCAGCTCTCTCCACATTTTCAACGCCGTCTCCATATGAAGACCAGCACTTTGTGGCGCCTCTGAATTATTCAGACCCTGCACACCCCCCACGACTACCGCCTATCAGCCTGTCAGTTCGATCACCGGCGGCAAGCACCACAGCTGCAGCTGCACCCTCACCGTCATCTACAGTGACGACGACTCTACAGATGATTGAGTCCGGTATAACTCGAATTCGCCACGTCCTAGACGGGCTTCCGCTTGAATTTCGGTTCCCACATGCCCTGGACATGCCAAGTGACGATTGTGAGAACCCGTCGCCTCCGGACCCATACCGCGCCATGCGTGCCAACATTCATCTGACGGGCATTTTCCTGCAAAGCCTGGTGGTCGAGTCGTACGTCGCAAAGATGCTACACACACGACATGCACCACGCACGTGGACGACCTCGGGACATGCTGAAAACTCACCAGCTGCATCTGCAGACAAAACGGACATATGTGAGGCCCACTTGAGGTGGAATGACCGCTTCGAAATTTGGAAACTGCGCGAAGGAATAGCAAAGGAGTTGCAAAATTTGCTGCAGAGTTTCCCCATGTCAGTATTTGAGGTTACGGGCGTGGCCATGACTGTCAAAATCCGGCGCGTAGCTGCTACTCTTCTAGAGCACAGTGATCCAACAGCGCCTCCAGAAGAGGCTGGAGAGGCCGAGCGGCGACGGCAGGGCTATCTGGACTATTTTGTGCGCGTTTTGACAGAACTGGACCACAGCCCAACAGCGAGCTTCGGTTTTGTCAAGAGCCGTAGTTAAGCCGACCTGATTGCTGCTTGCAGGAAGCAATTTGTAAGTGGAAATCTACGTGTTTATTTAAATTGAGGAAAACGTGCCTTATTGCATAACATTCAGAAATTCTTTATTCAAATCATGACCAGTGGTGGCATCCAGGTACAAAGTGGCAATAAGCATTCTTTGCCAAAATGAAGGTAACAATACTGGTCTGGCCTAGCCACATTACCACTGAAATCCGCTGGCCTACGGGACCCTGTGGAACCATTCACCTTTTCCATGTGCCTTCACAATTTTGTAAACAGGGTGCAAAACCGTCTCGGTGTTGTCGTGGACCTTCCTCGTCCACTCCGTATCTGTCAGTGCCCTGAGAGCATCCAGGTCGATTTGCTCGCTTTCAAATTCGTGCAGGGCCAGAAATGTGGGCGGGTTTGGTTGGGGCTCGTTAGACGTCACAGGCAAACCCTTGAGAGCACGAGACTGGGCGTTCGAGCGGGAAAACACAAGCTTAAAGCGGGTTGTGCGCAGATAACCGGATGCCGTGGACAGTTGGTCCAAATGCTGTGGTGTGTTAGTGCGTAGCCGGGACGTAGGGACCATAAGGACTCAAAAACTACAACTTACCTCCTTCCGATACCAAGCGTCAAAATCGCCTGCCGAGTAGCCATTCTTGAGCTCGTATTGAGCAGATATCAGAGTCTTTGTGTGTCCAGGGCCCTTGTTTGTAGGATCGTAGACCTGTTCGAGGCGGTAGTACCGAACGTTGTTGTCGGCCAAATCGTAACAGAGTTTCGTGCCAGGCAGAAGATCGCTGTACACGCGGATCTTGCGGAACTCCTCGCCTTGCGTGAACGCAATGTCCCGCATTTCGTACATAGCAAGGTACGGCCATTCGGCACCCTCACGCTTGTAGCGAAAAGCCGAATCGACGCCGCTGGTCTCGATGATCTCGGCAATGTGGTCGTTGTCATACCAGTTCATGTACGTGGCTTCGTCCATAATATCTGGTCGCGAGATCCGCGCCTCGACATAAAGTATGCCTGGGCCTTTGATTTCTGCCATTGTTTATGGTGCGGATGTCCTTTCTGGTTGGCCGTAGGTCAAATAACAGATTAATGTCGAGGTCTCACTTGCGGAAATTGTGATAAAGTCGGTTCATGCCGCCCTTAATATGGACTGTCTCACACAACGTCGCTCATAGAATGGAAGATGCAGTGACTGCTTGTACTCCAATTAACTCTTTTTGTTGGTAAGGCACTCAGAATATGCTACCGTGCTGTCCATTTCGATCTAGGTTAGACATTACACGGACGGATATACTTACGCGCTAATGGACCACCCCTGACAACGTCGGGGCATAAATCTCTGCGGGGAATCCTAAGTAACTTTAGTCTGCGCGTGGACGGCACAAATCAGACCCGGCGACATTGTTCACTCGACCGTTGTCGGCTGTGGTTCTCCAGACCAAGCATGACATGACGATGAAGTAATAGATAAAGCTATCGTTACAGTCGATGTCGGTGCGTCGTCTGCAATAATGCAACTTGTCCGTTCAAACTCATCAGTAATAGCAAGCTACCCAGCATCCGAGTTTACAGCCCTACTCCAGCAAAAGCAATGTCCAACAGCGGCCCCGCAGTCAATGGCCCGCTGCCCACGCCCGGCAGATATCTAAAAGTCTCGCTCTTTTTGCGGAAGGTCCCCAGTGTCAGCGACGAATATTTCCATGGCTACTGGCGGAACAATCACCTGGTGCCTGCGTTTGCCAACGACACGTTTATGAGCAAAGTCCGCAAATACAACCAGGTGTGCCTCGTTCATATTATTCCACCAAATTCAAGAATCGTAGCCCATTCGCTAATACAGAGAAGCACCATATCACGCCCGACGTGCGGGCAGAGGCCCAGTCTCTGGGTATTCCAGTGCTCGACTACGATGGTGTGGCCGAGGTGTGGGTGGATGGTGTGGAGGACTGGAAACAGATTGTGACCGATACGGACTTTGTCAAAGCTGTGGCCGAGGACGAGAAGCACTTTATCCTGCATCCCATCAACGTCATGTTTGGCTGGGATAACTTGATTATTGACAAGGAGGCGGGTATCAACAATGGTCCGAAATAGGTTGGAGGAAACAAAAGATGCACTCAAGAAGGGAGATTGCCCACTTGCGTTTCCGCTCATTAAACATGCATTCTGTGAAACTTTGAAAGGTGTTGTATGTGCCATCTCGAATGAAATCAGTGTGGGGGGCGTATTTAATATATTCCATTGCCATGATGGCGTATTAGGATGTCGGAAGCGCCTGCGACAAACGGAAATTTATTTCCCCTGCGTAATCAATAGTTTAGACTGTCTCTCCCTAAATTGGACGTGCCACACAAGTGGAGCAAATCGCAACTCCCTAGTCATGACAATATAAACTATCCACATCAGCAGGGCATAGTCTTGAGTCTTCGCAACATTGCATTTTGCAGCACATAATATTTCAGCCCTACATCATTCAATCATCTAATCTTTCGTCTCGCAACCATGTCCGGCACAATGAAAGCAGTTCAATGGGATCCGGTGAGTGCTCTCCTATTTTCAACAAAGTGACTCTGCATTACGTCTAACAAGGTCAAGAATCAGCAAAAGGTCGTAGTCAACACGGTCTCAAAACCGACTCCGGGTCCCGGCGAATTTTTAATCAAGCTTGCATCGGCAAGTCTGTGCCACTCGGATCTCATGTCTATTGCTATTCCAGGCCGGAAGGAGCCAGTTACACTAGGCCACGAGGGCGCGGGTTATATTGAAGCGATCGGATCAGCCGCTGGAGGCAAAGGCTTCAAAGTTGGCGATGCGGTCGGCTTCCTCTACGTGCAAGGCGGCTGCTTCGAGTGTAAGGGCTGTCTACAACATAACAACCACTGCGTCCGTAGCCCCGGCCAAACAAACGGCTTCACCATTCCCGGTTTCTTCGCCGAGTACAATGTAGTCGACTGGCAGAACTGCATCGTGCTTCCCCCTTCTATCGATGTCAAAACGGCGTCACCTATTTTCTGTGCGGGCATTACATCTTTTCACTGCGTACGTTCGTGCGAGCTGAACCCCAACGACTGGATTGTTGTCATCGGATGCGGAGGTCTCGGCCAGCTTGCTGTTCAGTACGCTAAGGCCATGGGGGCACGGGTGATCGGCCTGGACATCAACGACGATACACTGGCCAACGCCAGGGTTCAGGGTGCTGACTACGTCTTCAACTCGCGCACCGACGCAAATTACAAGGACAAGATCATCAAGATTACCGAAGGTGGAGCGCAGTCGGTCGCCGTGTTCAGCGCAGCCGAGGCTGCATACGATTCGGCGCCTCCGCTGGTGGAGGTGGGCGGCATTATCATGGTGGTAGGTCTACCCAAGAACGGTGTTCGCTTCGATGCCCTCGATATTGTCACTGGTCGGTACCGTGTCAAAGGCGACAGCACAGGTACGCCACAGCGGATGCCCGAGGCAATTGATTTTATCGTGAAGCACGGCATCCAGCCTGAAATGGAGCTGCATGATTCCCTCGACGATGTGCCCAATATGATTGAACGTATGACAGCTGGAAAAAGTACGAAGAAGATGGTCGTGTGTTTATAAACGAGTTGGTATTGTTGGTCTATTTGGCAGGTGTCGTGGAGCGTTCAAATTTGAATAGAAAACTGTAATCCATTCAGACATCTAGAATTGCACGAGTTTACGCATCATTGTTCGCAATATCTGGCACTCGCTTTTTGACCGTTTTGTCGTGTTTATTGCGAGTTTCCATCTCTTGGTCTCCTTCCCATTCCCTCAATTTCCCCTACTATTTTCCCTTCTAGTCTACCGATTTGCCATGGTGCGCTCGAAGCTGGCAGTGATGAGCTCGACAACATTGCCCCAGGGATCTGCTACGTATGCGGCTTTGTGGCCGTAGACAGGCACAATTTTGCCAATCTGCCGACCGCCATTGGCAACTATCTTCTCCAGGGTCGCCTCAAGCTCCGGTGTCGTGACAGCAATGTGGAAGTAACCGCCGCGAAAGTAGCTCTTTTCAAAGTTGGCTTGCTCATCGGTTGTCATTTTCGGGCTAGAAAACTCGAACAGTTCAAATCCCACGCCGTTGCCCGCGCTGAGGTAGGCCATGCGGACCTTTTGCAGCGACTCAGGATAAATCTGGAAGATGCCACCTTCTGGGTTGGTAGCGCGATCCGATGACGAGCGCGCGCGCAGCTCATGGAAGCCCAGGACATTGACATACCACTCGACGGCCTTGTCGAGGTCAGGCACGGAAACGCCGACGTGGTTCAGTGGATAGCTACCGTGGTGCTGCTTTAGTTAATAGATTGTCACAAAGCATCTCGATTGCAACTGGCGGGAGCATACCTCGGCTTCTCCTGTATACGGTCCGCACATGTTGATTTTTGTTGAATATAAAACTAAAAGGTTGTGTCAGACTTCCTCACGATGGTGAGAGTGTGTTTGTACAGTCTGACAGAGCAACCAACTAACTTACAAGGTGGACTGGGAAATTGCTGGACGTAATGTTGTACGGTTCCCATAGGAGACTGACTTACATCTCTTGTAGTCGTTCAGAGATATTGAGACTCAAAATATGAGGTTCTTTCTACGCTAGAATACGGCATGCAATTGTTTTCGCTTTTCTGGGAATGTCATTCCCCTCCGGAACGTTAAACAGCGTGTAACACGAAACTCCATACTCCGAAATATCTCTTCCCTGCCTCTACGGAAATGTACAGCCCCTCTGAAAAACAAACCCATTTCCTCCACACAACCTCCGCACCTCCCCTGTCGTAAGTACGAAATAGATGCGCTAATTCTGACTCGGGAGATCATGGGTACCTTTTGTTAAGCGGGGCTGCGTCGAATGTTAATTGCAATTCAGAAAAATGAACGTATGTTCAAAAAAAAAGTGATGCGGGGACGTCATCGCGACGAAAATGATGCCCCACTGTCTGGGCACGGCAGAGCTTACCCCTTCGAGGTTGGAACAGCCGACTTTGTAGACAGATTACAACGCTCGAAGATACTCAGTCTCAATGTGGCAGTGAACAGTCCAAGAGGGGTATGTTGTAGGGGAAAGATGCAAGATTCGGCGAGGATACCTCGAGCCAGCCAAAACGATAACGCACGTTACGCCGAGATGGGCAGTTTGCTATTGCGTGTGTAGGCTGGCGAAGCGGATAGAGGTTCTCCGAGCCCATTGCCAGATGTGGTCTACCTGGCACGGATAAGGCGTGCGTCTGTCTTTATTCAACTTTATTCATGTCAATACGGCCTAATCTCTTACATGCCGTTGCAGTTCATGTACAGTGATGTGCAAAGGACAACTGACAATATTTTAACTGCCTTGACTCCTCCCGCTCTTCAGTTCAATCAATGTCAGTCTCGAGATGTCTGACGTTCCTCTACGCAAGCTGGGGACCAACGGTCCCCTTGTTCCAAGCCTCGGCTTTGGGTGTATGGGTTTAAGCTCGTCGTATGGTCCAGTGGACGACGACGAAGCCCGTTTCAAGGTGTTGGACAAGGCTCATGAGTTGGGCTCCCGCCTGTGGGATACGTCGGATGTTTGTATGTATCAATATGCCTCTCGGGATGGTTTATTAAGTCCAAACGAAACACAAAATCTGGCTCTCACCTACTGACTTTATTCAAGACGGAGACAGCGAGGACCTTTTAGGCAAATGGTTCAAATACTCTGGAAAGCGTTGTGATATTTTTCTGTGCACAAAGTTCGGCGTCAAGATCACGGACAAGGTCTACTCTATGCGCAGCGATCCCGAATATGTCAGAGAAGCGTGCGAGAGAAGTCTTCGTCGCCTTGGCGTCGACAAGATCGACCTCTACTACTGCCACCGTGTGGATCTCAAGACGCCTGTCGAGAAGACCATGGAAGCACTCGTTCAGCTCAAAAGGTACATTTATATAAGGCATTCCAAAACTCGCCACCTTTCGACTCCGACGCTGACCTGAAAACCATGTAGAGAGGGAAAGATCGGCCATATTGGCTTGAGTGAGGTGTCCGCATCCACGGTTCGTCGAGCACACAAAGTGCATCCTATCGCAGCGCTTCAGCTGGAGTACTCGCCCTTCTCACTGGACATTGAGAGGTCCGACAACAACCTTTTGGAAACTTGTCGTGAGCTGGGTATTGCTGTGGTTGCGTATAGCCCACTGGGTCGAGGCTTCTTGACGGGTCAGCTCAAGTCTCCCGACGATTTTTCCGACAACGACTTTCGCAAGTCTGCTCCCAAGTACAGCAAGAAGAACTGGAACAAGAACATGGAGTTGGTCTATCTTTTGGGGTCCATTGCTAAAGACAAGGGCTGCACGCCGGGACAACTGGCGTTGGCATGGGTCCTCAAGCAGGGCGATGATATTTTTGCAATTCCGTACGTCGTGCCTATTTACCGTCCCGCGTGGCTCGAACATACACTAACCCATCCAAATTCAGGGGCACCAAGAAAGTCAAATATCTTGAAGAAAACATGGCTTCTCTAAAAGTTACACTGACGGATGCTGAGGCTAAGACCATTCGTGACCAGGTTGAGAAGATTGAGCTGCAAGGCGAGCGCTATGTAGGCTTCCTAGAGCACTACTCATTTGGGGAAACGCCTCCATTGGACGCGTAAGTGGTAACACGTGTACCGTTTAGTACTTCACGAAACATATTTGGATGTCACCATCTAGGTAGCAGTAGCATTTTTAATGATAGAAGGCAATAAGATACGCATAAAGGGAAACTTGGTTTGGTTAATAGCATTTATTTAAAATAAAGTATGCGCCCTGAAACATGACAAAATGAAGTCCACTTCTACACTGCCTAGATCGTTCCCTTCTCCAAGAACTTACTGGGGATGGCAACCGGCTTGCACCGAAGATACTCGGCCACCAGTTTGCCAAGAACATCGTAGCTGCTTGACGAGTTTACACCGCGGTCAAGGTGGTCCCGCAGCAGGAAATGCACAGCGCGAACACCCTGTATTTCAAATCGATCCACTGCACCACCATTGTATTCCTTGTCAAGCAGGTTCCGCACTTCCTTCACCGTCAAGAATGACCGTAGCCAGTCCCATTCTTCATTATCACGCGCCCAGAAACCGACATTGCAGTCGGAGCTTTTGTCGCCAGACCGTGCGTGAACAATAGATCCCAGTGGTGCCATTTGCGTCGGTCCCCAGGCCGACAGCGCCACGGGCGACTCTGTCTCGTAGCTGGCCTGTCGGCGAGGGTACTCTCGCACAATGGGAGGTGCGCCGACCGGGAAACATTGACCATCATGTGTCCAGACAAGGTGCTCAATCTCGCTCTGCGGGAAGAGGGACACCCAATATTCAAAAAAGGGCTTCCCAACAGCCTGACGCATGTCTGTGCCTGGCGTGCCACCCGGATATCCTTGCAAACAGTTTTCGATACAAAACTTGGCAAATGTGGGGTGGTCGGGCGAGATTCCCTTGTTCTTGCCGGCCGACACCATGTCCGGGTTGCGGGTCTGAGCAAAGATGCGAAGTTCGACGGTGGCCTCGCTCAGTGATCGCGGATTCTCCGCCACACTGCCCGTCACATTGAAGCTCAATGTAATAAATTCCTTGCGGTAATCTCCCATCGATGCAATCGTCTGTGCCTCGATCATCTGTACCTTTTCGTTGATATCCAGGCCTGTCAAAAAGTAGTGGAACTCTGCTTGCCAGCCACCTTGCGCTGTGATGCCGATCTTCGTCGTAGGCGGCGGTGGAAGGCCCTGGACGCCCTCGATGCGCACACGGTCCGCCGACTCCTGCACCAGGCTGATTTTGTCAAGGCAGGCTGTGACGTCCGAGTTGTAGTACAAAGGTCCCTGGATTTCGTAGAGCAACTGTGCCGTCACCGTGTCGGTAGTAACCAGGCCGCCAGTGTTTTGCTCCTTGGTGATGACCACCTGCCCGTCGGCAGAAATTTCAGCAATGGGGAAACCCAGGTTTGTGAAATTGTTGCCTGAGTGGAGAAGTTCCTTTTTAAAACCGGTGTAGGCACCACCAGTGATGTCTGTCCTGTTAGCACGTATTTTAGGAAGACGATGACGGAGTTGCTAGGTCCCTGTCTCTTTTACTTCGATCCAACTTACAAGAGCTGCACTCGATGAGATGGCCGGCCACAAGGGCGTTGGCCAATTTCGTAAAATCATCTCGCGCCCAGTTGTGCCACCACATGGCAGCACCGATGACAGGTGAGGCGTCAGACACACGGCCACAGATGACAATGTCGGCGCCACGGCGCAGAGCCTCCGCAATCCCTATACCACCCAAGTAGGCCTGGGCAAAGATAGGCTCCGCACCCCAGTCCTGGATCGGCGTGTCGGCCGGCAACGACAGAAACTTTTCACCGCTTTGCAGCAACTTCTGGAACTGGTCCGTGACGTTGTCGCCGGTCACCCAAGAGACCCTAAGCTCGGTACCTTTGTTCTTGCAAAGCTGCTGAATCCGCTTGGCCATAGCTTCTGCGTCGCAGGCCCCTGCATTGACAGCGACTTTTTGGCCGTGCTTGGCTATGTTTTGGACGCCGGGAGACAACATGGTGATGAACGACTGTTCGTATGCCTCGGTAGACATCCCAGACTTGGTGCCTTCTAGCTTCTGTGCACCGCGAAGGGTCATGCTGACCTCACTTATCCAGTCGCCGAAGATGACATCGATCGTAGGATCTTTTGCGAAGTCCTCAATAGCCCGGAATCGGTCAAAAACGCCGCCGGACACGCCGGCGATACGGATCGAACGCTTCGTAGATACCATTGTACTGAAAGCCGTGGACAACGATACAAAAATGCCCTGTGGATGTGATGGTGGTAAATATGACAGATGGACATTCCAATGTAAGTGGCGCTCTGAATCATATGTATAATATTCCTAAATTCCACTCAATGAAAAATCACACAAAACAGAAAACTTGATGTGAAAACCAACCGAATGATACAATCTTGGCGGTTTTGGATTCAAGAGACAGCGACTCAAAATTCGAACAAGTCACTAACCCAAAATAGAAGATGTGGCAACAAACGTAAGAGCAAAACAACGACACATCTCGAAGAGAACCATGGGAATACTGAACAAGGTACAAAGTACGACATACTCTGTACCTCCATCTCCATCGACATAAAGCAACGCAAATTCGGTCAGAAGCCATTAACATCGACAACTCTACTTCCTCTCCCCCCCTCCCACCAAAGGCAAATTTGTCCCGTGGCACGCCATGTTGTGTCCCGAGACCGATGTGAGTGGGGGAAATATCTAATGTCGTGCAAATTTTCCGGCCTCCAGACCAGAGAGTGGACACCACCTCCGCTGGCAAGCGAGGCTAGAAGAACCTTTGAGCAGGGGTGGAAAGTTCCCCAATTAGCCTTGTTGATTCGGAGTTGCAACACTTGCTCTCCGTAATGCTGGCACAGAATCTGTTTCTCTTGCCATTTCAACCCCAACATTAGGAGAATAAGTGCCCGCGACATGGCTACAATAAAGGGGCAGGGGCGTTGAACGATTGGGCGACATGGGAAACGATTTTCCGCAGGAAATCGAACTAGGGCACTGTAACAACCAGTGCCCATGCAAGAGGGTCGTCCTCTCACGGAAATGGCGAGAGATCGAACAACGAATTACAGCACATTACAAACAGCAGTGTGAAAGAAAAAGTGTTTGCACGACAGGAAACTGTGACCGCCGTTTGGAAACGCCAACATACAAAGAAAGCCTCATATATGTCAATCGTAGCCAATAATTGTTTTCAGCCAATTTCGCATTCACAGCCATATTTTCAGCAAGGGATAGAACCGTAATTCCAATCACAATTCACCGCAACAATGCCACTTCTACAGCTTGCCACGAGCAACCCAGCCGGATTCAGCATTACAACAATTGTCATTCTGGCAGCAACCTTGACGGGCACCATTTACATTCTCTGGAAAGGCATTTACAACTTGTATTTCCACCCACTAGCACGGTTCCCAGGGCCTTTTTTTGCCCGCGCCTCACCTGTACGTCTGAAGCTACGCCATCATGAAAACATTACAAGAGCCAGAATATATCGAATTTCCCAGCAAAATCTCAGCTAATTCTCATTTTTCTTCATCTACAGTATCCCAATGTCTACAATCTCATTCGCGGCCGCATTCCATTCTGGATCAAGGCTTGCCACGACCAATATGGCCCAATCGTGCGTGTTTCTCCCAACGAATTATCGTTCGATAACGAGGCGGCATGGAAAGACATCTATGGAAGTCGTCCAGGTCACCTGAACTTTCACAAAGACCCCGTGCATGTTGGCAGCATCGAGTCTGTGCCGGGCGTGTCGACCATCACAATGGCGAACGACGCGGATCACGCCCGCCAGCGCCGCGCTCTGTCGCACGCATTCTCAACCAAGGCGTTGATGGAGCAGGAACACATTATCCGCTCGTACATTGATGTGTTCTCGGAAAAGATGAAGGACTTCGCTCGTGAGGGCACGCCAGTCAATTTGGTCGCCTGGCTGGCCTACTGCACGTTCGACATCATTGGTGACATGGCGCTAGGCGAGCCGTTTGGGTGCATGGACAACGAAGACTTCCGCTTTTGGGTGCCTCTCATCAGCGCGTCGATCAAGGCAGGTGCCTTTGAACAAGCCACACGACGCGTTGCCCATACGAATGGCACCACGCAAAAGCTACTGCTGAAGCTCATCCCCGACCGTATCCGCATCACCAGACGCCAGCACCTTCAATACAGCAAGGAGAAGATTCTTAAGTGAGTCAAGTACTACAGGCGATTCTCTACACTATCCTGTACTCTACTTTACTGATATTCCCCCAGACGCATGGAACAGACACAGTCGGATCACAAAGACTTCCTCTACTATCTTATCAAGCAGCTCGAGAACGGAGCCATTGGTAAAGATGAAGTTATTGTCAATGGCGCCCTCATGATGTGAGTCACCTCTTTGCCTACCGCTGGTGTTTTGATTTGACTTGAATTTTTTCTTGAAACTTTGCCCTAACAAGCAAAGTATCGCCGGCACCGAAACTACCGCTGGTTTCCTGGCTGGTCTTTTCAACCACTTGCTCCGCGACGAGCGTGTCCTTGACATCCTCGTGCGCGAGATCCGTGACACTTTCGAATCTGAAAAGGACCTGAGCTTTGAGCGCCTGCGTCAGTTGCCGTACCTCATGGCCGTCATTGACGAGGGTCTACGTATCTTCCCCAGTGCTCCCATTGGCTTTGCGCGTACGGTCCCTGTTGGTGGTGACACTGTTGATGGTGTCTTTATCCCTGGTGGCACCACGGTCTCCGTCCCCATGTGGGGTGCTACACACAGCGAGCGCAACTTCAAGAACCCGTACAAGTTCTTGCCGGAGCGTTGGCTAAACAAAGAGGCTGGAACCGACAAGTTTGGTGCTTCGAACCCTTTCTCTCTTGGCCCTCGTGGCTGCATTGGTCGCAATCTGTCCATGATGGAGATGTGTTTGATTATTGGAAAGCTGCTCTGGAGTAACGACATCTCCATGGAGGGCACGCAGGAAGTTTGGGATCCCGCACGTGACTACCCTAGACTTCGCGTCTACAACAACTGGATGAAGCCTGGTCTGTATGCCAAGCTTACACCCCGGAAGAAGTAAGCCGTGTATCGTCGTGTATTAGGCAAGCCTGTCGGAATAAGCTGGTAGATACTAGGATATTGGATATTCGGTTATTCAATCCTATCCAAACATTAAAAGCATTAATAGCAGGATGAAGAGTTATCAATATTTATAAAAACACAGTATGATATTTTGGCACCCAAGCATGGCGCCATTCGGCCGCGTCCTCGCCCATTGGCCATTAGTATCATCTAGGATCCAGTCGATAATGTCTCCTTGTACAGCCCGCTCATGGATGTAAGTTCTCGGCGGACTGCTGCTGTGGCGGTATGGGTGCATGTTGACACGATGGAGCGATGGGCTGCCGGATCGACTGCTGACAGTATATAAAGTCAAAAATCACCATAAATGAAGAAAAACACACAATAAAAAATATTCCAACCCGAATACTCCGTCCCCCTGATACATATCAGTGGGAAACAAAGCCAATAAAAGTATTTCACAGCCAAGAAGTTCTGCAACAGTTATAGTCTAATCGAAAATAATATAGGTAGTGTAAAGTTAAAATTACAAGAGAAAGGGCTGTCTCTTTATACAGGGCGCTAAGAGCCATCACCTAATACTACCTCGAAAAAGTTTCAGACATTTCTGGCTTTCTGCGATGTACTTAACCGTGCTCTCAAACCGCAAGATGGTGGCCTAGAAGAAGGCCCTTAGCTGTGTCGGCTTGTGATGCAACAGCGATAGTACAGGCACAGCACGCACAGCGGGCACAGGGAGCACAGGAAAGCACATCCATTAAACATGTTGGGACAGTGGCGAAACAGGTACACGTCCAAAGAAGGAACTTCCTAGTGAAGGTGTTCAATTCGTATAAGATCATGCCATATGCAGGACTCCCTTCTCACATCATACCCCGTTCCTTCCACCTAAATTTAACCTTCGTGATCGTATGCGGCCAAGATACGATCAAAGTATTCCTTCTGCATCTGTTTCAGCTCCGGGTGTGTTGCAACCCATTCCTTGTTGTCAATGATGCCTTGGACCGTCATGCGGCCCACGTCAGCGGATGGGATACGGCGTGCTGCGCGCTTCTCGGCGTCGAATGGCTGCGACTTGCCGTACTTTTCAGGCCGCGACCGCTCGCACTTCATAATGTTCGTAGTAGTGGCAGCGACAACCACACTAGTCACGCCAACATTGTGCTCCAGAGCCTCAAGGCGCAGGGCCGCACCGAGGGCCATGACACCGGACTTGGCCGCTGTGTACGGACCGTGGTGGGCGAACCACGTGGGGTTCATGCCGGCTTGCGAACCGACAAGGACAATATGGCCCGACTTACGGGCAACCATCTCAGGGTAGAAGACCTGTATGCAGTAGGCCGGGCCGTAAAGGCACACACCAAAGACCCAGTCCCAGTCTTCCGGGCGGTGATTGACGTAGGGGCCACCGGTCGTCACGCCCGAGCTGCACACCACAATGTCGACCTGGCCGTACTTCTCCACGGCCTTGTCGTGCAGTGCCTGCACGTCCGTGCGATTCGACACGTCGCACACGACTGTAAGGACCTCCGCACCGGCCTTGCGTAGCTCCAAAGCGCCCTCCTCGAGACGCTCTGAGTTGGTAGACGCAATGACGAGCTTGGCGTCGCCGGCCTTGGCCAGCTCCAAGGAAATAGCCAATCCAATGCCCGTGCCACCGCCGGTGACGATGGAGACCTTGCCTGCGAGATCCCTCATGACGGCGGCGAGTGTTTCTTGAGGTAGAAGTGTAAAGAGTGAACTCGATGGAGATTCGAAAAATGTGGTTCGAAAGTAGTAATATCTATTTTGTTGTCTTGATTTCTCTTTGCATTTGCAACATTCTGCCTGTGATATACAAAACCCAAGCTAGATTTATCATAACGTTTTTCCTAGTGTTGCCCTTCTCTTCTCCAATTTTTCTTGCCATAGCTGCAACCACCCGCGTTTTTGCTAGGATGAAGTTATCCGCCAGGTTAACCATGAGGAGACACCACCAAAGCCAACTTGTCAATCTATGGCTGGGTATCATCTAGCGCCACTCCGGAGGATGCATTCGCGTAGAACGGCTGTCTTCGCGATGCACATAACACCGTCACAGGCGTTAGTCGTGTTAATGGCTTCCTACAAGTCAACAGTACAGTTGGGAAGTGGAGAAAGACGGAAGGAGCAGTTCCTCGGAATTGAGGAGCATCCAGTATCCGTCCTGACCGGTGGCCAGCTTAGAATAAGAGCACATGCTAAAGATCTAGGTCGGGAAGTAGAAAGGCGAAGCAACCCAAAACCCGAGACACAGAACAGAAGTGGCGCAGCAGCGTGACATCCAGCCAAACATCCCAACGACCTTCCTTTCTACACTCATTCGCACTTCTGTCGCACCCAGCCCTCCTGTCACTATGGCTGCCGTCACTGCGTCGAATCTATTCAATGTCAAGGATATGGTGTTTGTTGTCACCGGAGGCGGTACGGGCGTCGGCGAGATGATGGCGCATGCACTGGACGTCAACGGCGCCAAGAAAGTCTTCATTCTCGGCCGCCGGGGAGACAAACTCGCCGCTGTTGCTGCCGCAGCCGCAAACAAGTCAATTGTCGCCGTGACCTGTGACGCGTCGTCACAAGAAGACTTAGGTCGTGCTGTCGACCATATTGCGGCCCAGACACCATTTGTGAACGTCGTGCTCGCTAACCACGGTGCTACCGGCCCGACAATTGACGACCTGCCACGCGACCATACTATGTCAGCGGCCGAGGTGCGCGAGTTCTTTTGGAAAACGCCCATGACTGAGTTCACCGATACGTATGCGGTAAACTGCAGTTCGATATTCTACTGCTACATGGGCTTTCTTAACCTGCTAGCCGCAGGCAACACGCTTGACGAGTCACCAACCAAGACGCTCGGGATCGACAGCCAGTTCATCGTCACCAGCAGTATCGGTGGCTTTTCACGCATCCCCGGCATGGGCTACGCATACTCCACCAGCAAGGCCGGCGTGATGCACATGGTCAAGATGCTGGCTTGCAATTTCGCACACTTGCACATTCGTGTGAATTGCATTGCACCGGGTATCTACCCCAGCGCCATGTCTAATGTATGTTGACAAGATACTTTCAAAAGCGACAGACTAAATAAAATAGAAAAGCGTGCCCCTTTCTAACCTTCCAGGAATTCCTCAGCCGGACCAAAGGTATTCCGCAGTCGGTCGTTCCATTAGAACGCGTCGGCACGCCAGAAGTATGTCATAATCCTTCTTTAATGGCGAGAGATTTCTGTCTATTAACTATCGTCTACTAACAACTACTTAGGACATTGCGGGTGTTACGCTGTTCTTGTGCAGCAGGTCGGGCGCCTACATCAACGGCAACATTGTGATCACAGACGGTGGCCGACTCTCTATGGTTCCTGCGACATACTAGAACAACACTATAGAATAACAGAATTATTGCAGAAACTGACGAGATTGCTTGTTCTCAATTAATGTGCAGCTTCAAATGACATCCAACCTGTTGATAACCAACTAGCGCGTTCACAACTAACTACACTTGACACCTGACCACACAACGCTAAACCAACAACTTCGCCTATCGCACCTTCCCTCAACAATGCATGGGTTTCCAACAAGTCCCCATCACACCTTCTCGTCATTCGACATATTGGCCTCCTTCCCCGACAAATTGAGCTGCGTGGCCACCTCGTTTGTCAATAGCGCATCAAAGTTGGGCACAAAGAGCGCGACAATCAGCGCCATCACGCCAAACGCAATACTCGTGAAGAAGATGGTGCGATACGAGTCTGCATAGGCCATCTGGTACGCTCGCGTGCCGATAGCAATGATATCCGCCGTCACGCCTGAAATCTTGCCGAGATCGGCCACTGTCTTGCCCGCCGCAACTTCCACCATGTACTCCTCCACGGATGCCGGCGACAAGCCGGCCTTGGTGAGTGCCTCTGGCACAATGGTCGACAGCGTGGTAGTCTCGCGTGCCGTCAGCACAACGCTGTAAATGGTCGATGCCACGGTTGAGATGGCGCTCCGCAGCGAGCCAGCAATCCCCGTGGCCGTTCCAATCTCACTCTGGTCCTTGATGCAGATATTGCAAGCCGGCAGCACAATGGCCTCGGCCCAGCCGACGGCCGTCGACCCCAAGAACACGAGGCCCATGGCCGTCTTCGGCGTGTCAGGAGTGCACGTTGCCATCGATCCCAGACTGATTGTGCTGAATGAAATGAGAGCGAGCAGCTGGTACTTGAAGTGGCCAATGTGCTTGGCCACCGTACCGCCGATGATTTCACCGATAGTGATGCCAATGCCGACCAGCGTACCCGCCCAGCCGGCCCACATCGCGCGCCCGTTGGCATAGACGTTGGAAGCCATGGATGGCCATACAATAGCCTGGGAGTAGTACACCGAAGCTCCGAGCGACAGCACAATTGCCGATGCCACGAAGCCGCGGTTCTTGAACAGGTGCATGGGAACAAGTGGCTCGGCAATGTTTGCCTTGGCCTCGTACACCATCAATGCAACCAGGCACAAGAAGCCGATGATGATGGGCGCAATTACGCCCGCTGACTTCCATGGGTAGATGCTACCACCCCATGACAGGCCTAGGATAAACAGGAGCAGACCGGCGACATACAAAAACATACCAACGTAGTCATAATTTTTGACCCAGCGCATAATGGTGTCTGCGCCGTGTTTCTGGTGGAAGCTAGGCGGAAAGTAAAACAGAGAGTAGAGGGCCGCCGCTGTGACGTTGGCGATAATCAAGAGGTAGTAGGCCCAACGCCAGCCCTGTTCCGTGTACAGTACAAACGCAGTCGAGATAGCCGATCCGAATCCGGCCGTAGGCATCGATCCCCAGAAGATGACAGCATTGGCCATAAAGCGCCACTTCATGGGGACAAGTTCGCCAATGACAAAGGCGTACGAGTATCCCGTGGCCGCTGACAAGCCCACGAGAACCTCGCCGCCGATGGCCACTGGGATTGTCTGTGCACGCGACGCAATCGTGGCACCGACAGCACCCAGAAGTGTGCCACCGATGAAAAAGTAGCGCCTGCCGAACACGTCCGACATTTGGCCAACCAGTGTCAGGCCCACGGCCAACATCATCGTGTACACGAGAGACAGCCAAATAATCGAACCGGGGCCAATGTCCGCATCGATCTGACCCAAGATGGGTGCAATCATAGCGAAGCCGCCCGTGCTAGCCAGCAGGTTGATAGCAATAGCAAAGCCACTGCCGATGAAGCGTGGGCTGTAGTAGTAGTTCTTAGGCAGCTCGTCGACATCCCCAGGAGCAACTTGAGTCGGCGGCTGCTGGCGGTACTCGTCGTACTCGACATCGGCAGCCGGCTTGGCTTCAGCGTTCGTTGTGGAAGCAGCCATAGTAGTAGTAGCAAAGTGATTACAAAAAAAAATCAAGATGAATATGAAAAAAAAAGTGTAATCAAAAGGGTCACCCTACCGTTACAACACAAACAACCAGCAGATCACACCAGCGCAATATACAGGTGATACCACGGGGGTGCTGAAAAAATAAATAACGTGTATAACGAGTGGAACAGGCTGGTCTTGACTTGGAAAAGCTTCAAAACGTGTCCGGCTCTTGAATAGTCGAGAAAGAGGGGAGAATGAAGGAAAGGTACGATAACAGAAGAAGGAGGAATCTCCGGGTATCATCAGCGCAGCGCCGATCTTATGTTTCTTGTGCCTTTATGTTTTGGCATCATGTCCTTCCAATCTTTCAACTAACAGGCCTGGTTTAGTCGGTCTGCTTCAAGAACGGGTGTCATAGGTTTTCTTCGTCATCTGGATGAGCTGCCCAGGCCACGTCTCGCCTTTTGTCCAGCAGTCCCTCGCTGTCCCACTCAATAGGATTTCCGGTGCACATTCAAGCCTGCCGGTATTCTTAACAATAATAACATTATACAACGTCAAACGGAGTCAAATACATCCTGGAAAGGCTATTCCGTGGTGGTCCAAGTTTTATGGTCAGGAGTTGTGTCCTCGACCACCCTAATGATTCGTCAACAGGGGACCAAATGCATCAAATGCTCCGTGCAACACCACAACATATCCGTAATCCACTGAACGATCAAGGATCGTACAACCGGGTAGCGGTTGTACGTGGCAGGGCCTAGTAAACTGGCTCTGGTTTTGGATTGGCCGCCAGTCCTCTCGACGTGAGGGAAAATGATAGCATCTGTGGATGGATGGCGCGGTGTGTTGGAGACATCGAGGGAGGGGAGATGAGAAGCAAAGAGGGGGTGGTGACATATCAGGCACAAGACATGAGGCAAATACCAACGTGCAGCGTCTTACACGCTGAAGTCCAGGAACGTGAGGCCACCAGGACAAATACTTTAAAATTGCAAAGTGCCACAACATGCCAAGATGGCCCCAGACAATTGCCACCAGGTTGAAATCTACTTCACATATTCCGGGGTAATGTCTGGGAAATATCTCCATTCCCCACGGTTCCGCTGCTGTACCCCAAGCTCCATGCTTCATACGAGCTCCATACCAAGTTCGTCGCCCACTCTGTCGGATTTTGTCTCGTTTGCAGCCGGTCGCGCACTACAACCCTTGGGGTAATCCGCGTAGATCTGGTGCCTTGGAAGAATGCGGGGAGTGTGGAGCATTCGCCATGAAAAGTACTTCGTATCATCAAAAGCTTTGCCCTTCTCCTTCCACTGGAAGACGGTATCCGAAAGTCTGGAAAAGGTTTTGTTTTTCAAAAGGGGCAGGCAACGTGCATACTCCATCGAAGGTTGGGGTCATACCAGGTTAAGTCTGTCTTAGCCCTGGCCAGCCAGAGTAGGCAGAAATCGCCCAAACAACTCCGGAAGATGAAGAACCTCGAATGCGGAGTAAGTCGAGAACCTCAAGCTGAGATTCCCCGAAGTGACATGAGACACAAGTACGTGGCCATGGGCCCCAACGTGGCAATCAGCGTGATGTTAACCCCGGGAAAGGGATTTCCAAAAGCGTCAGTGGAGTATCTTATTTAGGAACCGCGTTTTCCAATGTCGGCCTGTAATGGGATGGAGGGTAAAGCGTAAGCGACTACGGCAGATGCAAAAATATGCAACGACAACGATATCACATTTAAATAAGCTATCAAGACATTAACAAACCAGTCAGAGACCACAAACAAAGGTATCTTTACGTACTACAGCAGTCCATCGTCCAAATAAATCAAATGAAATTCGAAAAAGGAGGTGACGCAAAAAAAAAACCATAAATTGGCTAAAATAACAGTTACTCGATTACATTCGCAAAGCAGTCATATTTCAATACTCCATAAGCTGACCATTCTACCAGCTGGCTCCTTCGCCCAGCAGTACTGTACAATCCAATCTTACCACACATCGACAAAAATGCCCGTCAACTACGACGTCCAGGGAAAGGTCGTGGCGCTCACCGGCGGCGCCTCGGGCATTGGCTACGCAACCGCCCAGCTGCTGTCATCTCAAGGCGCTCATGTCTCGCTGGCTGATGTCAGTGAGAAGGCTCTAAAGGATGCTGCCGAATCCTTCTCCAGGGTGCCTGGTGCTGGCAAGGTCATTTGGACCGTCGTCGATGTGCGTGACGAGAAGCAGGTCGACGCATGGGTACAGAAGACGGTCGACGAGCTCGGTCAGCTGGATGCCGCAATCAACCTGGCCGGTGTTGTGCCCAAGGTCATCAACATCGAGACAGTACAGGAGCACAACACGCCCGACTGGCAGTTTGTTCTGGACGTCAACCTGACTGGTGTTTTCTTCTGCATGCGCGCTCAACTGCAGCACCTAAAGAACCAAGGCGCTATTGTCAACGCTGCGTCTATTGGTGGCACGATTGGCTTCAAGAAGAACGCTGCTTACGTCGCCGCCAAGCACGGCGTCATTGGTCTTAGCCGGTCGGCAGCGAAGGAGGTTGGTGACCGCGAGATCCGAATTAACTGCATTGCCCCTGGCATTATCGACAGCCCCATGCAGGCCGCGTCTCGTGCCACACGTGGCGGCGAGATGGTGTGGCAGAGCCAGATCCAACGGCGAGGTACCTGCGATGAGGTTGCCAGCTTGATTGCGTTCCTCATTTGCGATGAATCAAAGTTTGTCTCGGGCGCCGTCTACCACATCGATGGTGGCTGGGTGTGCTAACAAGTTGAGACAAAGTGTCCCACCAATAATATCGTTATCAGAAAGCTTTGAAAGTCAAGAAATGAAATAGAGATATGTAAACATTGATGTCAAGTTGCAACGTATTTTTCTCTGCCGTTGCTAAATATGATAATTACTGGCATGCAGTACAAATCATATCACCGTCAGGACCAGCAACAGAGCAGCACCTGTTGCTGTCACCCAATCCATAGCAAAGCAGCCTACTGCGCCGCTGCTAATGAGTGTTGCCGATGGTAGCATTGTTGAAACCTGTGGCGTATTGTCATATGTGGGACCAGCGGTTGCCGTGGCTGTCGATGTAATCACCGTCACAGAGTCGGCCGCGGTTTCGGATGAAGTCTTCGTTGGATCCCGGCTTCTTGTTGTCGTCTCGTTTACCGGTGTATCCACTGGCGTTGTCTCTGTTGGGCACTGCAAGCTTGCCGCCAGTTCCCAAGGCTCGCAGCGCGAGAGATATCTCGTGTATTCCGACGAGTGCGTATCCATCCATGCGTCGACGGCACTCGTCCAGCTCGACCACTGTGATGACAATGATGCCGGCGGTGTAATGGTTTGGCAGCCCGAGGCCGTCATGAGGTAAGTTGCCTCAAAGGACAGAATTTCGAGCGGAATAGTCGGTGCGTATGTTGCAAGGCTCTCGGCCAGACTGCGGCAAACCGAGGTTTCACTTCTGGGCGTTGAGGTGCTCCGAGGCAAAACGTAGCCTTGGCGATGTCCGTGACTCCCACCATTAAGCGAAAACCGAGGCAATTCTGTCGCCGACGCCACCACGATACTCGCTTCGTGGCACATGAAAACAGCTATGGTCATGACAGCGACAGAGCGAATTGCCCTTGTCAGGGTACCTCTTCGTTGGGGAGCCATTGGTGTGCCAGCAAGGTCTCGCCAACAGGATATCCAATGTTGGTGATCGACAGAAGATTTGCGTCCAGATCCAGCGAAAAGATTGCTAGCCAGGTCTCAGCAAAAAGAGCAGAAGAGGGTCTTAAAGCAGATAGAACACTCATGCGGTTGTCCCACAAGACGTTGCCATTTACCCCCAAGGGACGGCTTGAGACCGGTTCATATATTCATCCAGAATAAAATATAACACCAGGATATAACAAAGCAGCAATTGGCGACTCTCTTCAGTTAGGCAAAGGCCACTGGTTCCAATGCGTGCTGTCGTTCTCAGGCTGATTTAGCAGGATTCTATGCCGTATCCATCGTCAGTTGCCATTGCAGTGATAACACCAACAAAACGGGAGTTTGCGCTCACCAATACAGCACTTACTCGTCTCCACTTCTTCAGACTGCCTGAATTCGGAAATCAAAGCGCATTCTCACCATATAGCCCAGACGCGAGATGCAACGACGTACCACAATGCCCAAAAAAGTCGATATTATATTGCGCCCTCTTAGCCACTTAAAACAGGTCGTTGTAAGCTCTTGCGTGCACAAGAATATGTATATAAATAGTCATGTAGACATATCGTCGTAACAACGTGACAGTAATCGTCATAGCATGATTCGTCCGTCACTCGCAAAGTATTTGCGGTCTGGCGGGTGTCGCTGCTGTTTCTTCTGTCCTTCCCCAGCATGTAAGTCCAAACAAAACTGTAAGTTTGGCCTCTGCCCTTTCTCCGCTGTCTCGTCCTTTGACCGTAATGGGCCACCATTAAGTGGCAGCAACGCAGCAATTCCGTTTCGTATCCTCCTTCATCAACCCTCCTCCTCCTCCCCAACGCCATCCCCTGCCAATAATACGCACGTAACGACCGCGTGCGCTATCCAAAAGACCAAACTAGCTATCGGGCCGTTAATTCGAGAACTGAATTTCAGAAAGCAAACGCAGCAAAACACCACATAGCTAATCAAAGGGAAAAGAAAGCGTCGTCCATGGCGGAGGGCACATCACTTGCATATGCACCTATCACACCGTCGCTTCGTTAGGTTGGGTGGTTTGTAAGTCGCCCAGTCGTTGAAACCGTTCGTGTCATTGAAATCGATCAGGGAGCGTATTCGTCGTAACGTCTCGTTTCGTCTCGTCTCGTCACATCTTTTGCTGCGCAGAATTCCCGACGCAGGTCGTAAATGGTGGCAAACGGTGGCCACCAAGTCTAATCCTCCATAACTGCGCGGCCGCCGTGTGACAATTGCCTCCTGCAATGCAGTAAACAGGAAGACACTGTCTTCATAGAGCGTAAAAAAAGAAAAACAGCGCGATCAAAGGAGCCTTTGATCACCAATAAAAGACAGAAATAAAATACCGATGATCCAAGGCGCACAAAAAAGGCAATAAAAATAAAGGTAAAAGGTACAGAACAGAGAATCAAAAAAGAAGAATGCGAATGGATCCAAAGGGCAGCAGAAGCAGTAACCAAATGAAGAAAGCCAACATCCAGAAATAAAGCAAGGAAACCGACTTAGGTGCTGTCTAATTCCGAGTTAAGAGTATATTGTTTGTTCGATTGGAAGGGCGAAACGAGAAAAGGAGGGTGTTGTGGTTTGGTGGTGGTCAATCGAGAGCAAAGAAGACTGAGCACAGCGAGGCGCGGGAAGAGTCAAATATGGCGGAGAGTCAGGTCCCAAATCCAGCCAGTCCCTGTGTTGTTGGCGAGCTCGGTCACATTATTGGTACACGGAGGAGCTATGGGGAGTACCGATCCGGGGTGCATTCTCAGACGAGTCTTAACGTAGACGTTAGCCGACAAGATTCAAGAAATTGGAGTTCACCTGACTCAATACATACCACTACTGCGCTGCATATGGCCATTAGAACGACCACGAGTGAAGCCACCGGCCTTCTCCCAATCACCAGGTCCCCGTGGCTGGCGCTCCGGAATACCTCTGGTGCTGTTGCCATTGGCGCTGGGCCGCTGGCTGCCAATAGCGCCGATGGCACCAGGTGTTTCTCTCGGGCGGCCTGAAAGGCCGACACTGCTATCAAAAGACGACGAGCCCAGACCCAGCGAGCCCAGGCTGTTGACCAGCCCAGAGGCATCCACAGACGACGACTGCGGGTTGATGGCCGATCCAGGGGTCGTTGGTGTGGTGAGAGACGGACCAAAGGGACCATCGCTCGGGAAATGCGGCAGGAAAGGGGCACCGCCAGAGTTGTGGCCGTTGGTAGGCGCGTTTCCGAGAGCGGCACTGCTGACGAGAGAAGGCGAAGGGCTGGGGCTGTACGAACGCAGGTCTGCAAAGCTCTTTACTCCGCGCAGTCCATTCAATCCCTGTTGGTGATTTTCGGGGCTGTTCGGAATGGCCAAGGTCGGACCACGGTTCATCGAATGGACAGACGGCTGCTGGCGGTCGTTGAAGTCGTAGGTCGCCGCCCGGCTGAGGCCACGGGGGTGACCGTCCAGTGTAACGCCAGGCTGCTGCACCGTCGACTGACGGCCGCCGTTCGAGAACTTGGCTTTGCTGACGTGCACTTGTCGGTTGTCGCCTTCGCCAATAGATGTATGTTCTAGGCCCATGTTGTGTGCAAGAATGTGGATCAGGCGACGGTCTTCAGGAGACGTGTCGGTGGGGAAAATGTGCACCTCCCGCGAGTCGTCGTTGTGGAACATGTACAGTTCGAGGTAGAAACGCAGCTGGTGGGGGTCGTTCAAGTCGAGCCGGCTATTGGCAACGGCAGCTAAAGGGTCAAACGAGATCTTTGTTAGTAACGCTGTTGGTTTGTGACCAAATCGTAGAGATCGCCTGTACAGTGACATGCCAAAAGACGTACGTTCATTTAACGGTGTGCGCTGCGCAGAGGTGGCAGTGGCCAGAGAGGACATGGATATCTGGTGCGTCGGACCGCGATGCTGCTCTTCGAGCTGGCCGCGTTTCTCACGCTTCTCTCGCTCAATGCGTTCGCGTTCGTGCTCTGGGAGCATTTTCTTGTATTCTACGCGCAACTTGCGTCCCTGTATATCAAGGCCATTCATCCGGTCGATAACCAGTTTGGTATCCGCTGCGCTCTGGAAGTTGGCGAACGCAAGTCCACGGAAAACGCCCTGGTCAAAATGGTAGTTGAACGCATATGGCTGGGGCAGGTGCATGTCGATCATGACGGTGGTCAGGTACTCCTTGCGAACGTTAAAAGGAATGTTCTTGATGACGATGGCGGTCGGTATGAGGTCGCCCATGTCTTTTCGCGAGTCGGACATCGTACGGATCTCGGGCGGGCCAAATGCCTGGAGGTTGACACTTGGGGGTTGCACCGTAAAGGGGTCAGGGGAGCTCGTAGACGGGAGTCCCATTGCCTGCTGGCCAACGAGGTGTTGCTGTGAAGAGTAAAATGGCATGCCTTGCCCGTTGGGGGTGCCCAATTGCGGAGGCTCGTTCGTGGTCCATTCCTAAAACGAACGCAGTTAGCCACACATGCACAGCAAAACAAACGTGCATTTAAGCAGAGCAACCCACCGGATGCAACGCTGGCCGGCGGCTGCTAGCACGAATGCGCGAACCGTCGTTCATGGGACCGCTCATGGGACCACTCATAGTCGCAGCGGCGCCGGCGCTGTAGTTCCATGCCGACTGGTTGGCACCGGCAAACATATTGTAAGCCCCGGGCGGCTGCAGGGTGGATTGTGCAGGTGCGTTTCGATCGAATCGCTGGCTGGGCTCAAACGAACTGAAACGATCCTCTGAGAAAAGTAAAGATGCTTGTTGGCCGAGGCCAAGTTCGCCTGACGGCTGGCTTCGTCGTCCACCATTCAGCGCAGAGATACCGACAGTTGCGTATCCGGGCCGGGTAGGGTTCGGCGAGTGGTTCATGGGGCCGCCGTAGCCGTTGTAGTATTCGCCTTGCGGCTGTTGGGCGTTCATGGCAACAATTGCGGGGGGTCGAGATAGGGATATTTCAGGGTTGAGCACGTCTCAGAGGTGAAGTGTGCCAGCTAAGAAATGTTCGTAAAACACGAAGGATAAATCGGCCCGCGCTATTTCTGTCGCCAAATGAAGGTAGATCGTGCAAGAGGCTCGTCAAAAGACAGGCGGGGGGCTAGCCCGCGTCGACAAAAAGTTGAATAAATATCAGATAATTTCGTATGTATACTATAAGATATGTTGAGTGTATGATGCCTTTTAGAAAAATACTTCTTGGAGATGTTAGTCAGGTGAGAACCCTCCGCGAAAAGGCACCGCGGCAAGGACAACCGGATAGAATGTTGAGAAGCACGGCCTGCGGGCACATCGTAAACAGATGTGTAGCCGCCTACCAAGGTATCGATGGGGTTTGCAAGTGTGTTTTGTACGGTAGCCTCAGGCGTCACGAGACGTCACAGCACCATGATGCCATGTTCTAGTCCAGGGGGTGGTTGGTTGAGAAAGAGATGAAAGGCAGTTGAGCAGGAGACCGTAACGGCCAGTGCTAGCGGTGCCGGGCCACGCAAAGCACGGAAGTAAGCGGGAGACAGGAGAGGGGACCGATAGCATGCGAAAAGAGAGGGTAGAGAGCGACAGATGATGGGTGCTGGATGCAGGAAACAAAGATATTGCTAGGTGCAGAGTAGAACAAGACTTGCAGACACTCACCAGCCAAGAAATCGACGAGGGCAAAAAAGGCGCTGCGCAAGACGCAATCGAGCTGCGTGTCGGTATCAACGAAGCGTCACAAGGGAGACAACTCCAAGCGTGTCCGTATGCGATATCTCGTGGTATGGTTCCGCCGCAGTGGGAAGGTCGAAGATTGCCGGAGTCCAAGTCGGGAGGTTGGCCAAAGTCGTATGGTTTGGGGAGGAGTTGTTGATGTTTTTTCGGTTTGTATTTTTTGGCGTAGGTTTTGGCCTGGCTCTTTCCTGGCTGGTCCTGGTCCGTTTTTCCTGGGTTAGTCGGGAAACGGGAGTCCAAAGCTCCACTGAAAAGGGTAGGCTAAAGTGGGAGAAAAGAGCGAGGGAAAGAAAGGGTGAAGGGCAAAAAGAAGGGACGGAACTCGACTATGAGGGGCCATTGGTTGGGGCTCAGGCGTTCCACAGGAACGGTGTGGACACTATTTTTTACCTGCTGGAACAATGCAGCTGCCAGGGAGGCACGGGGGGGCACAAATAGTGGGCGCCTTCTCTGCCAGAAGGAAGAGAACAGTGCGAGAAGCCGCATGTCTGCTGCCAAATGATTCGAACGACGCGAGGCTACTTAACTACTTCTGTATGGCATTGGCAGTCACAACTCGCAGAAACTCTCTACATTTTACGACATACAGGAAGGTCGCATCACTCATCCGTCTAATTTCACAAAGCAATACAACATACAGCAGGCGATAAAACGATATATGCATAACGTGTACTCAGTAAGTATGTACCCAGTGCCTAGTTCGTTGCCATTTACGTACAGTGCCAAAATATTTAAACACTGTATTGTGCTCTCCCAATGAGGCCTCTCTGCTTGCTTCTGCCGTAGTGTATTTATTCGCTCCATTTTTTGGCCTTAATATGCCCAGTGCCCCCTAAAGCCCCCGTAAATCCCAACACGTGCACACTTGCCCAGCCTCGACGCAACGCACCCAATAGGGGCTGGAACACATGCCGTAGGCCTCTAAACTCCACCACAAGAGGTGTATTCCCCCTGGTGTTTCACAGGGTGGAGGAAAAAGGACACTGCGAACTGCCTGCTCAGCTGTGCCTTGAGCAGATGGCCACAGCACATGTGCATCTGTCCATACGGAATTACATCACGAGGCACGCTCTTGGCAGGGACAGCAGGACACGAATGCGAAAAGACGGCCAAGCCTCCATGAGATGGCAGTGATAAGCCGATGCACTGTACGGGAGTGATATTGGCTACTTGGGACCAGTGGAGCAGGTCCATCCACAACCACGCCTCCGACATACCTTTAATAATTAGGAAAGGCGCGACTTGAGACGAGGAAATAGGGCGTAGATACGCTGACAGGGTACGTATGCCTCAGCATATGCTGTCGTCCTGACTTCCTTCTCGTTATGGTACGTGCGCCTTTATGGACATCTTGACCGCACCGACGTCGACGAAAATAAGCTTTGCACCACGCGTCTATTCTGGAGCTCTGCTCATCCATCTAATGCACGCTGCTCGCGTTTGCCGAGTGTTCGCTGTGCTGTTCCGGGCCGGATACATTACCACTCGAGCCGTTGCTAGTAAAACAGTAATACATATATGCGATATAACACAGTGGCACGCATGTATTACTCATATCTTCAGCCACTGTTTAACGATATCATCCAACAAGGCTGAACCCCACCTTCCCTGACGATCATCGCGGCTGCCATCCAATACCGAGACCTGACCTCTCTTCACCAAAAGACCTTCCCCCGCTAAACGCCGATGGTTAGAGCAATTTGCAGCAATTTGCCATACAGCAAGGCCATACCACCATTCTTTGCGAATTCATCATCGACGAGCAAAGTACGACATATGCACAACAGCACTCGCAATGGCAGACACACAACCAACCACGTTCACTCTGCCCGGCGGGCACCGTTTACGCTACACTCTCACGTTTCCCGGTGCACCTGAGCGCCGCACAATCCTCCTTTCGAGTCTGCTGGCAACCACAGCAGCCGTCTGGGATGACATTGTTGCCGTCTTGCACCAGAATGGCTTCCGGGTGCTGACATATGACCATCCAGGCCACGGCGGCTCGACCGTCAGGACAAAAGACCTTGCGGAGAATACACTCGATGGCATGGCCGACGACGTGTACACGCTGGTCGAATCCATAGGGATCACACAGCTGCACGCCTGGATTGGCTGCTCGCTCGGCTCTGCAACTGGCGTTGTGTTTGCTGCCCGCCACCCGGGTGTTGTCCGCCGCCTTGTTGTCGTCGACACCATCAGCGCTTCACCCGCTAACGCGGGTGTCGCGGACGCGTTCAGCCCGCGGGTAAAGGCTCTTCGCTCCGGTGACCAGACCCTTGAGGCTGCGCTGGCGCAGACCCGCGAGCGTTGGTTGGGTGAGGAGTGGCTCACGGCACACCCTGACAAGCGTGCGTGGCTCGAACGGTTGATGGCAGAAACCACCATCGACGGCTTTGAGACATGCATTGCGGCCTTGCTGTCATCGCAGTTTGATCTTCGTCCACTTGCTGGTACGGTGGCCAGCAGCGGCGTAGAGCGTGTGCTCGTTGTCGTTGGGGAGAAGGACGCCGATCTGCCAACATCCATGAAGGCACTGGCAGACCAGATGCGTGACGGGTCAGGCAAGGACATCGGCTTTCACGTCTTGCCTAATGCTGGCCACGCGTCCTTTATTGACGCATATGGCACATGGCTGGATGTTGTTCTTCCGTTTCTTAAGGACAACTAAGTAAATATGACTGAAAGGACGCCTACTTGCTTCTTTAACTTTATGAAAGTGGTTGGCTTAACTACTAGTTGTTGCCTTGTTTTATTTAAATCGACGTGAAATTATTATTAGCATTGTAATGGTTTTTATTTTCCTATTATTTATACCTAAGCAGAGAAGGATGGTTATTTTATGTTATTTATCAACTTTCACTTTTTATTTTTACGAAAGTCTCGGTTATTTTTTTTTTTTTTCTTCTCGAAAAGGAACCAAAGAAATCACACACATCTGACGAAATTTTCCAACTATGCAATCATAAGTATTGACAGTCACAGAAGGTCTACAACATGATACAAAGAAAGAAACAAAAATAGTAGTCACCACAACCTGCCATTTCATTTCATAATTCCCATCTCGTCACCAAGTTCGCCCACGAATATGTCGTAATTTCCGAACCTGAGCAACAACTAACTAACAAACAAAACAGCCCTCTTCAACCTCATTTCAGAAGGTACAAATAAAGAAACAAGAAGCAAAACAGGACGGAATAAATCGTCTAGCCCTAATGTTACAGTACAAAAAAACAGGCCACGGCCTGACCGGGAGTCGAGAAACCAGTAGGAAAATAGGCGAATCAACACAACGGATGCCGCATTGCCCTCTCCACGCTCGAGGCTGTTGCCTTCGTTGCCAGGAGTATTCGTAAGAGCATACCAGGCCTGAAGTCTCACCCGTTCAATTGGGACCGAGCCACTTCCGCATCGTAGCATGAAGCCGGGTATCGTGAACGGGAAGGGGCTAATGAGAGGTCGCACTCCCAGGTAGGTAGGCGGTGGAGAGGGTATCGTGTCGTTGGCCTCTCCACCTCTGATACGGTCCGTTCATTCTCCGCAATGATGACCTAGAAACGAGACACAAAACGTTCAAAATGGAGGGCTAGCGAGCCCGGAAACACAAAAAGAAAAAAGGTAGTAAAGGTATAGCCATGGCAACAACAGAGTAGAATAGAAACTGGCGGTAAGTAGACGCCAGTAACCATGCACCTGGTTGTACGCTCATGCCTCGAGGGCGGCCTTATTCTTCTTCTTCTGCTCGACCTTCAGGAGGAGAGCGCGGTTGATGTGAGGCAGCACGCCACCAAAAGCGATCGTGGCGCGAATCAGGGTGTCGAGCTCCTCATCACCACGAATGGCAAGCTGCAGGTGGCGAGGCGTGATGCGCTTGACCTTGAGGTCCTTTGCGGCGTTCTAGTGGGGAAATTGCTGTCAGCGGATGATCAAAGGGGCGGGTTGCAGCCACGAGCACGAGGGAGTGAACTTACGCCTGCCAATTCGAGAACTTCGGCAGTCAGGTACTCGAGAACAGCCGTCACATACACCGCAGCCTTGGCGCCAACGCGCATCTTGTTCTGGGTGTTGGCCTTGAGGAAACGCTTAACACGACCGCATGGGAACTGGAAAGAAAGTCAGCAATTGCAAGCCAGTAGTCGTAAAAGCCAGCCATATCTCGGCAAATAGGCCTGGTCGATGCGTAGATGCGCAGTTCGTGGAGGATGTCGCGTTAAAGACGGCGTGCCATGCGGCCTATTATGTGTTTGGGGTCTCGCCGCAAGTGCAACGACGGAAAGAAGAAATGACCAATCGCGAGAAGCGCGCCGGCTCTGGATATGCCTCTCGAGTCACGAGTGCTGAACGGGAAGGAAACGAGACGTGTAGAAGCTGCTCAGGCGATGATGTTTCCCTGCCAATCGTGGCTTTGCGATCGCTCTTCGTCAGGCGCGTCGGAGAGACTTTGAGCGATACGCACGTAGTCATCGCCATATACATTTGCGCGTCATCTTCGAGAGGGCATCGTGTCGCATGCTGTTTTGGTCGGGAGTAGTCGAGAAACAGGCGGTAGTCAATGTGAGCGTAGTTGGTAGGCGTGTTGCTTCGACGTCGAGACAAGTATCGAGGAGTGCCATCGCATGCGACCAACTGACGCGCCAGAAAGAAAGGCAAGCAACATCTCGTAAAGAGGCGTCGACAGGCGCGAAAATCACCAGAAAGTTGAAAGAAAAGTTCTTACCTGCAAACCAGCGCGCGCCGAGTGGCTCTGCTGCTTCTTGGGGCCGTCCGCCGAGGTCTTGCCACCGGAGCTCTTGCCGCCCGACGATTTTCCCTTGCCGCCAGCCATTGTGCCACGAAAGCGAAGTTGGCGATGGATAAAAAATTAACGAAGAAAGTCGCGAAAATTCGATTGATTTTTCGCAAGGTGGTTGAGATCGAGATGGAGGGGATGCAAAGGCGCAGAAAGGTCGGTAGTTATGGTGGTGTATGGTGGTGGTGATGATAAGAAAAACAAAGGTGAAAAACAAAAAGAAAAAGGCGCGAAGGTACCGTTGTTGTTTTGTTGTGATGCAGAGACGGGGGGAGCAAAAGGCAGATATCGATAACAATGCACGCGCTGTTTGGGGGGGAGGGGGGTTCCCGATTTTGGGGTACGCTGGCAAAACATGCAGAAAACAGTTCTGAGTGGCGGGTCGCTGCCTGGAATTTGAACGCAATGGGAAGGAATGCAACTGCAATTCAGCGGCGATACAGTAAGGCGGTTTTGCGTTTTCCCCTTTGTTTGTCAGACAGGCCTTTCTCACTCACGTCAAGATAGGGCGCTGGGGAGCTAAAGCTCTCTGGAGATTTGCAGTAGCAAAATGTTGGCTGGCGCTGGTTTCTTTGTTTGTTTTCCTTCTCTCTTTGGTGGAAGAGACCGCCCAGCACCTGAAGGGCTCGGTTTCCAGCGGTAGAAATAGCACTTTCCTTTGTTTTGATTTTGACGGGTGACACAGGAACAAAGGCGAGCCACTAGGGTCACCGATTTTGCCCCACTTTCAACACGTGACCAAATGGCCTCATGAAAGTGGCATTGGCAACATGCACAATCGATGAACGTGAACGCTGAGACGAGGTCGGCGAAGAAAGGTGCCGGACGAATGGAGTCTCTCGTAAAGTTGAACACAAAGTGCCATGTTGGAGAGGAGCAAACCTGGGATTGGAAGCTGGCAGTTGTCGGTCGAACTTCGAACTGTTTTGCCTCGAATTTGGCTCATCGCTGGATGAGAAAGTTGGCCAGAGAAAGTGGCCAGATGCCAAGATTCCGCGCATCCTCTGTACTTGTACGTGTAAGAGCGTGTCAAGGATCCCATAGATTATACTCACCACTGAGTCAAACAGGTACAGATGTTTGCCGTTGAAGATGCTGATGCAGCTCTGGTGCGGTCGAGGTTGACGCCGCAGGTCTACGTGTTGTGTCGGTGAGATAATTTTTGGTTAGCGGAGAACCTGTGGCTGTGTTGTGGCGCTAGTTCCTTCAGTCTACGTTGACACCACTCAAGGCCACTAAGACTGCTGCTTTTAATACTGCAGAACGCTTCGATTCAATGTTTTAAATGTATGAGCGGCGCTCAACAAAATGCAAAGGCCAATGTGAGAAAACGGAAACAAAAGACAAAATCAAAACAAAGAAGCAACACACATGTGCTTTCCTGTTGTACAATCAAGCCGCCTGTGCGCCGTTGCAGCAACAGCTTTACTATAAGATACATTCCCAAATACACACATTACACCTTCAAGACTCCCTGCACCAACCGTCACCGGAACGGACACAGGCTATTGTCCCCCCAAACACGACCGTGTGGTCTCGTTACCGTGCAAACACCTTGACCACACCGTCACCGCCACCGCTGACAACCCACCGTCCATCCTGGCTCCAGACGACCGAGCAGACGCCCTCGCCGCGCATGATTCGGTGCGACGTGATTTCCTGTGTGCACGATCGTTTCTCGAGACTCCAGAACCGGAGCGAAGCGTCGTGGCCTGCACTGACAAGTTCACGACCGTCAGGGCTGAGGGAGAGCCCTGAAATAGCCGCCGGGTGCGCCAACATGTTGTACGTACATTGGCCTGGGAGAGTTAGAAACTGTGCGCAGGAAAGCAGGAGGAACAACCCCCAATAGATAAAAACAGAGACAACTCACCGCTGTTCGCGTCGAAGAACCGGATGAACTGGTCCTCGTGACCCGAAATGATCACGCCCTCGACACCTGACCCAGCCATGGACCGACGCCCGCCGCCTGTAGGTCCTCCGTGACTCCCGCCTCCACCAAGGTCCTCGTCGCCGAGCTGAGGCTGCTCGAGTCCAACCGTCGTCGCCACCACCGCGTTCACGCTCGTCGCCGCTGTTCCATCGTAGGTTTCGAGGCTGGCCATAGACCCAATCTCCTCGCCGGTTCGTGTGTCGTAGACAAGGATTGCTGCATCCGAATAACTTACGACAAAGGTACCTCCACTGCTGCTCAGGGCTGTAATGGACGTCGGACTGGCCTTGGAGTTGGCGCGGACAATCGTGTGAATCAGCGTGTAGTTGAAAGGGCTGTTGCTCGCCACCGTTGGCTGCGGACTACTCGGGAAGCCCGACCCCGAGCTCATCGAATTGCCTCGTACGCGACCACCAGTTCCACCGACGCCACGCCGGTTGGCATTCGGTGCCCCACTGCCTGGCTGCGGCGAAGTCATCTGAGGCGGCGCGCTCACCGACCAGACGCGGACAGTACCGTCGGCCGCACCAGAGGCGAGGAGAATGCGATCTGGGGAGCCGTAGCTGGTGCTGCTCTGGCCAAACACGGCGCCAAGCGTTGCTGGGAGAACACACAACGCCCAAACGGCATCCGTGTGGCCGTCAATCGTGGCCTTGGGGTCAACCCGGCCGCGCTCCCACACCCGAATAAAGTTGTCCTGTCCGCCGGAGAATATCCATCCATCGCCCTGCGCACGTCCACCGGTCGAGAAGTTCGGTGCTGCAAACCAGGAGGCGAGGCATAGTACGGCGCCGTGGTGGCCACGGTGTGTAAAGTCCGCCTGCACATCTAGGTCAGACACGTTGCCCGAAGCCAAATACGTCGTCCGCGGAATGTGGAAGCGTTTTATCAAGCCATCGTCACCGGCCGTGCAGATCTCAGGTTCGCCGGGACTGCCGCCGCCAGAGAAAATGACTGTACGCACTGTATCCAGATGCCCACGGAGCCCGAACCGCATTTTGAAGTTTCCATTTTCTGTCTTTTGCGTCTTCTGGGACGTGGAGTTGAGGGACAGCTCATGGTCTGCGCTCCGCCGTCTAGACATGCTACCCTTCCGGCGGTGAGAGCCAGGAAGGCGGTTCGGCGATTTCGGTATACTGTCGGCTGCAGGGAAGATATCGGTGTCTGGGCGGTTGGAGACGGGCTGCTGTTGCGCCGCGGACAAGGGACTTGGCTCCGGGAAAGAGGCCGGGCCATCGTTGAAATCCCACGCGTCGGGCTCCGTCGTCACCCCAGCTTCGGCAGTCTTTTCTCCCAGGGCGACAGCTCGTGAGTCAGCCTGGCTGACCCGGTCCCGATCTTCCAAGGGATGGCTGCTTGAAGTTGTCTGCGCTGCCTGGGGTGGCCAGTCTGACGCTGCAGTCGCGGCTGCGTATGCCGACGCATTCACATCTGCACCAGATCTTGTCATGGGCGCGGGCTGCAGCTCAGCACCTCTCGTCGAGGGGTAATTGCCAGCCTGGACCTGTTGTTGTTGTTGCAGTTGCTGGTGTTGCTGATGCTGCTGCTGCTGCTGCTGGTTGACATGGTTGACAGCGCTCTGCGTCTGTCGGAGATTCTGGGCTTGTTGAGCGGCCCGTGTTGGAGGAGGCGCGAACTGCTCCATCTGCTGCTGGCCGGCCGGAAGGCCAAAGTCGTCGTCAGGGAGGTCGTCCATGAGAGGTAGAGGGGGGGATTCGCGGGGTGGCATGGGGTTGGCGGGCGTAACCATAAGGTAGGTGAATTCGGCCTGGCACTGGTCCAGGAAGACACGCAAGTCGGATCGCTGGTCGTCTTCATCGCCAACAGCAAGGCTGCGGCCGCCGTACTCGGGGTTTGCGATCGATTGCGAGTGTTGCGAGTCCTTGTCGTCTTGAATACCACGGAGCTTCTCGAGGATCTTGGAAGCTTGCTGTTGCTTTTCGGACTCGGGGCGCGTGTCTGTGGCATCGGTACCCGACGCAGATGACTTGAGTAGTGCTGATTGGTCTTTGACCTTCTTCTCCAGGATCGTGACGTATTTCTTGAGTGCCTTCTGTGTCGCGTCTGCTCGCCGCGCAGAACCTTCTAGCGATGCTATCCGGCCCTTCATCTCTTGCTTCTCAATCTCCCACGCATTGCGATCGCGTTCGTGTCGGTGCCATTCTGTTTGTAAGAAGCGCATGACGCCTGTATTGCGGTTAGTTGACATGCTGCCCTTCAGACGGCAGTTGGAAATAAACAACAAATCAAGTGGTTTCTCACCTTGCAATGTGTACTCCGTCCCGTGCGGCTGGCTACCAGCATTGCCAGGCCCGCCGCCAGACATGTCGTTCGAGACGAGTCCGCCCAGGCCACCGCCCGAACTCGGCCCCATATTGCCCTGGCCGTTCCAACTCATGCGCGCAACCAGCAGAGGCCCTTGCTGTTGCTGGTCCCCTCGTCAGAAATGTTGCGTCAAGGGACGAGAGTTCCGCAGTAGTTGTCCGCTACAGATGTCACCAGGTCGAAGAGGCATTCGCCAAGTCCAAAGCGCGGGATTCAGTCGGTCGGTTGGGTATCGGAGACGCGAATTGAAACGATGAGGATACAAGTAAAGTCGGAAAACGAGTACGACGTGAAAGGCACAAATGTGTATGGGAGCTTATGCAAAGACGCGAAAGCTGGATGCCGTTGATATGCGATGCAGAAACCGGGCCGGCGAAATGCAAGGTGCAAGAGTTTGTGAAAGTATCGTACACGCAACACACGTCAGAATCGAAGCGTGGCAAGAAAAGACGGAAACTGGAGAAAACGACAACAGGGCGGGAAGAATGCAGCCTCACGCGAATGCTGTATGGGGAGAACAAGAAAGGAGAGGGACAAGGCTGGCTGGAGGTCGTGCTTGCCCTTCCTCTGCTGCAGTTGACGAGGGTAAAAAAATAGTGAAGAGCACGTAGGCCAGGTGCTTCAAGCTGTTGACCATTCTGCTGTTTCATTCACACTACTCGAGGATGGCCAAGCTCCTTCCTCGTTGCTGCAAAAACGGTCCAACGCAGCATGATGGGGCTGTCTAGCAACACGCTAGCCAATCACAGCTGCTGTGACGGGGACTTCAGGCGCCAAGGCATCAACGGACAACATAGTAGCGCTGGAGCTTTATCACTCAGGGGCTGATCTCAGGGGCGAGAAGCGCGTTCAGCGACGTGGCGCGCACAGATGCAATTTTAGTTTACAAACGCAGCACGTGACCATTCATGGGTTGTTGAACAGGTTTGATTTCTTGATTTTTCGTCAGTCGTGGCATCATTACCGGTATATTAAATCGTACACCAGCATCGGTCGTATCATCCAAAATGCAAATATCATACAAACCCGTGGTGCTCTCTAAAACTCCAGTTCTTCAACTTCCATGCCGCACGAGATACAACGCTTGACAGACATGCCATTGTCGTTTTCAATGGCACGTCCCCACTCGTGAACATGACGGCCTCTGTTTCCAACAGCATCGCCAAAGGTCGTGGCCAGTGTCTCTCCGTCTGCTGACCCCTTTCCTGTTGCGTTGCGACGGTACGCCTCCGACCGGGTCTTCTTTTTGAGCTGCAGCAACTTTTCCTTGAACTTTGCGTCTTTGCGACGCTTCTTGTCGGCCTCGCGGCGTTCAAACTCGGCATCGAGAGCCTCCGCCGATCCCCATTTTGTGTTGATAGCGTACTCTTCCACCTGGCAGCGGAGGAACAGCATCATGTCATGCCAATGTGACTTGTGGGGGTTTGGCTTCGAGAGATGCGGCAGAAGCTCTGCATCCTTAAGCTCAGCTAGGGGGGGACGTCAGTTCATATGCGAGACTCTGGCCGATGGCAAGAAAGAGGCAACCTACGATCGGTCAAGAGATAGTCCTCCCGGCACTCTGTCTTGGTGAGGAGACTGTACTTTTCAGGAAACTTGTCCTTGCAGGGGTTGCAGACACAGACGTGGAAGACATCCTCCCAGACGAAGTCAATCTCGAGGCTGTTGCACTCAACGCATCGCTTCTGGTCTGTTGCCTCGGCGAGGACACTGAGACCCGGCTCGTAAGGCCCTTGTTTGAGCCGCTTGAGGTTGCGGATCGTCTGCATTCGCTCCCACTCGGCCACGGTCATATGCGCGGGTCGTGCTTCCTGTCCGTTGCCGCCCCGGCTGGTATCTGCAAACGCTTTGTTGAATGGGTCGTCGTCCGTAGACAAGAAACCGCCCTTGGTGTCTGTCATGGCGCTGAAATTGTAGTCGACGAACTTGGCAAACTTCTTCGCCGGTCGGATCTCGACATCCTGAGCGCTTCCCGCATTGCGGCTGTTCGCCGGCACGTCAGACACAGCAATGGATGCGTGTGGCCGCTTGCTGGGGCTGTGAGTGACGTTCATGGAGCCTGTTGCCGTGTTCGGCGCACTTCTCTTGCCCCGCGCATTTTTGTCGCCGACGACGTAGACGTCATCGGATGCAAGATAGCCCCTGGCCGGGGGCTGACTCGTTCTGGTGGCGCGTTGCGCGGCAAGTTCGTTCTGTTCTCGTAGCTCTTTTGATCGCAATCGTACTTCGTCCTATAACGCAGACACCGGAAGGAACAACGCTATTAGTGGCTGTCTTTAATAAGGTGAAGAGGCAGGCTGAAAGTGACGTCTGTGGCTTACCGATTGTCTGGTGTTGGCGGACGTGGTTGCGGCCTGCCCGCCTGCTCTTGTTGAACGATCCATCGACGTGTGTTGTAAGAGGACAGATACAGCTGCCACCTTGTCAACTGCAGCGGAAAGTGGAAGGGAGAAAAGACAAACGGGAGGCGCTGATTGTGATGACGTTTTATCATTCGGTATCGAACAGAGGCAAAAGCGACGGTGCGTATTAGTCAGTTTTGGCAGGCAGAAAGAGGAAGCGGTGCCAAAATACTAAGAAACGCGGGCGCGCGTTTACACAGTGCCAATGGCCAAAGCTGAATCACGGCTAGCACCGGGCCGCACCAGGCTTTTGACACTCGGTTTGGTACAGCAGGGTTTGTGGAGCAATTTGAGAGAAAACGTTTATTAAAATCTATGTTTATGACACTGTCGCCTAAGTATACAACGATAGTCAACCATCGCGCCAGCGAGTGCAGTATTTAGGGCGTGTTCCATCAGGGACCTTCCATGCTAAAAAGGTGAAAAAAGTACCAGTGAAGAAAGATGACAAGGCAAGCGACAAGGCAAGCGAGAAGGCAGCAAAACCAGAGTGGGTAAGGAGATGGTCGCGCAAACTATTCTTGGGCCTCGTGGTGGGAGAGATGGCCTGTTTTGTGCCATCGCTTACTCCTCCTTTACGCCACCGTGGCCGGCGCGCTCGGCAGCCTCAACGGCCTTCTTGTCGCTCTGAGCAGGGCCGCTCTGCAGACCGCTCATGAGGCCTCCGCCGGTCTTGAAAGGGCGCTTGAGGTCGCCGGACGCGGGCTGGCCGAAGATGTAGATCTTGGAGAGGTTGGCCTCGAGGGCGCTCTTGAGGGGGATGATGGACTGGATCAGGAGCGGGTTGGTGTACTTCATGTACAGGTGCATGAAAGCCATCATGCCGACACCCATCAACTGCCCGCGCATGAGCTGCTTCAGCTGGCTCTTGTCGTAGGCATGGACGGTGGTCGTGACGAGCTTGCCCTCCTCAGACGAGCCCATCGGGGCAGGCTCGACATACTTTAGAGTCGTGAGGTCTGTAGGCACGAGCGTTAGTAGCGGTGTAGGTCGGGGCGAGACGCTTGCGACGGAAGGACTCTGTTCGAACGCACCCTTCTTCTTGTTGATTTGAGCCTGTATGTACAGGTAAATGGCCAGGATAATGGCGTTGCTGGCGGCGTAGGCGATGCGCACCAGCTGGAGGGTCTGCGGGTCCTCAAAAGGGATGCGCTTCGACACCTGCATCATGCCAAGGATGATGACCAGGTTCGTCCTGCGCAGTTAGCACTCCGGCATGTGTTGGCGCAACAGGCGACGTTGCATGGCAATGCGCTTGACGTGGGCATGGAGACAACGAAACAAAGACGGAAAACAAGAAAGTGACAATGACGGAAGCAGAAAGCTGCAGTTTCACTTACACCTGCGGGCTGATGCTCGAGAGTCCGGCCATTCTGAACGAGTTCGTGTCTTCGAAAGAGGGAAGAGAAAGTCTGCGTCCTTGTTGTCGAGGTCGTGTGACGGTTGTCTTGATGCAATGGAAAGGGGAGAGAAAGGAAGTGCTGGGCCTTGGACGCTGGGAAAGGAAAAACCCCGAAGCGAGTCTGTCGAGATTATCCCTGCGCCTGCACAAGAGAGGTTAGGGCCCCACGCTGGCGCTAGCATTGCTATGGACGACGCCCCATGGAAGCCTGTCAGTGCCATTTTACAGCGTGCTGGCGCAACTCGGGTAGCGGATGTAATGTTCTTCCGTGCTTTAGGGAAAGGCGAAGGGGGTGGAACGCGGTGGAAGGGACACGTTCTACCTAGTCGTTCTACCTACGGGGTCTGGAGCTATTGTGTGCTGGAGAACAAGGCCCCACAGGCTGCCACCACCTTCCTTTCTTCGCCATCCTTGGGGAAGTCTAGCTCAGCCAGGAGTAAAATTCGCCTTGAAGAAAATTGCTAGCCAATACTTTGAAGGAAATCGGTAAATCTTATTATACATAAAGAAAAGTAGCCGCTAATCCTCTAATAAAATAGTATCCTTCTACTACACGACACGCCGCAAACAAATCTACTATTACGACGAGGGTGGTCGAGCGGTCGCCAAGATAAACAAGGCTATACTACACAGGACCACGGCCCTAAAAAAGGGCAGACCGGTCCAAAGTCCGCCGAGACGGAGGCCGGCACGGTAGGCGGCCGCTAGTAGTGGACCCGCGATAACGGCACCGGTACTCTCGAGAATTCCAGCCGCATTATAAAGTGTTCCACGGTGCTCTGGCTCCACGAGGACGGCGAGCAAACTACGCAGGACGAGGTTGTAGCCGTTTTCCAGGCAGTACACGACGAGGCCCGCGATCATGAAGGCCGCAGTGGGCGCCAGACCAACCACGAAGCACCCGACGATGAGAAGGACACAACTGGTGCGGGCTAGCCACAGGTCACGCTGTTGCGGCGTGCGGACGCCGGCCAGGAGCGGCCACCAGCGGGCCAGCGCGTAGTTGGTGCTGATGGCGGGCAGGAGCACCAGGAGGAGGAGCAGCACGACAAATGCTTTGAGGGACACGAGGTAGCCTGCCTGGGCCCATGACCAGTCGTAGCGGCCACGCGTGAACTGCAACAAGATGTCCTGCGCATGGCGGCCGAGGGTTGTGGTGAGCAGGGTGGCCAGAAGCAGCCCGACCTGGTGGTCGGCACCGTTGAATAGAAACGCCGTGGAGGCAGTAACGCTGGCTGCCGTGTCTGACAAGGCGTTCCGTATGATCTTTGGTCGGGATGCGGGTCCGGCTGCATCGTTTTCTTCACCGTTCTCTGCACCATTGTCTGTACCATTGTCTGTACCTGCAACATCGGTCGAGGTGGGACCCTCCTTTCGTAATGTTTCCGGCAGTGTCAAACACAGCGGAACAACCGGCACAAACAGCGCCAGGCTCAATTGGATCGGCGCCCAAACACTCACACGTTGCATCAAAAGGCCGCAAGTGAGCTAAAGACAAACTCGACGGCGAGGACGGCGGCGCCAAAGTAAAAGAAGACGGTCGACCGCGATGCCTCGGGTGACACATCGGACAGCATGGCAAACACAATGCCGTTGAGGATCACCGGCCCGCCACCAATGAAGGTGAAGATGGACGCTGCCCAGGTCAGCCGCACCGGAAAGATGTCGGAGCGCCAGCAGACCAGCAGGTAGAACAGCTGCGTGAGCAGAATGCCCACCATGCAGACGATGAACATGACCTTGCGTCCGTATCGATCCCCGATAATGCCGTAGGGGATAGCCATGAGGATACCGGGGAGCAGCTCGAGCGTCAACTGCCACCCGCGCAGAAACGCCAATTCGGCCTGTACGTCTGCGTCACCGGAGCAGCCGCGTGTGCCATTGTCTCCATTGTCTCCATTGCCCATCCGGCCCATCTGGCGGCAGATAATGTCTTCGAGGACCTCGTAGATGGGAACATCGGTCAGGATGGACGCCGCTTCGACAAGCACCACGGTGCCAATAATACTTGTGACGGCAAAGATGCTTTTGCGTGTAAACGCAGCTGACTGATTGGAGGTGTTGGAGACATCCCTGTCGTTGTGTACCAAAAGAGGCGAATCTTCGTTGGTCGCAAGGGCGTGCCCGTCAATGTTGTCTGTACTCTCCATTGTGCCAGGACCGTGATGCCCTTGTTGCCGTGAGTTAATGTGTGGACATCGGTACTGGGGGAGAAGTTGCAAGACAGGTGGGGTTGACAAAACAACGAAAATATATATCTGGCGAATGTCATGATTCCTGCACCGCAGCGGCAAGGAAATGGCTGTGCCACATTTTTTCAAAGCACGCAACGGAAAGCGGCCAATCAGTCCAGTAACATAACATTTCCCGGTTGAAATGCAACCAACAGACAATACGCGGGAGTATGACATGTGTTTAGGTGGATTTATCGAATTTAAAATCCAGTTTAGACGAAGATAAGTGAAAAGACAGAGAAAGAAAAGCCAAAGGATAAGAAAGCAAGGAGATGGAAGACAACTGTAGCCACTTCCTCCATCTACTACTCTCGGCCGTGTCATGAATGACGTTGATAAATCTTCTACTGTGTAATGCCAACCTTTTGGCTTGTAAGCCATGGCTGCTTCTGCATCTTCTGGGTCTACCCCCCAGTTTGTGTAACCGAAAATGACGGCGTGCTTCACTCGACCAAGTCTCACTAGACTAGACAATATTTTTCTGCTGTATTCTGCTTCAATTTTATCTGCATTGTCTATCCGCCAACAATTCTAACTGGACCATGGATCGATAATGAGTTATTTTTATCAACGCCAATATCAACGCACGATTAGTCTGTAATCAGATGTCCGTGAATGTCTCTAGGCGGGCCCTCTACGCCTCCGCAAATGTTACACACAATGTGCTCCGCCGTTTGAGAAGAAAGAATCTGCCAGCTTGCCTCCATCTATGTTTTCTACACAATGGTGGAGTGAGCAAGACTTGCCTTGGTAGTACTGGTAGTTTCTAATACATTTCAAGGTTGCTCGCTTTAAAGTCCGGGTACCAACCACTTGTGACATCTCGGTCTGCCACGGGGGGGTTATATGTCGGCCGCAAATATGTTTTGCAAGTCCCTCTCTACCAACTGCCACTGCGCACACAACTCAACACGTCTCAACACAGCTCATAACCTTAATGACCCCCACACGAGAGTCTTTGTTTTGAAATCCGTCGTCCATTTCTAAGCACTGACTAACATTTTCACAGCCCGGTCAACAACCGACGACTGACGCCAGTTAAAGACGCTCGTACGCCACCTTTTTTTTTTTTTTGGCAGTCTCTCACCATGCCTGTGCCTCCGTTCCACAACGTATCTACGCCACAGCTCCCTTCTCGGCCGCCTGAACGAGGCCCGCAAAGCCGGTCAGCTTGGCGCTGCCAAAGTCCTGGGTCCACTTGCCCTTAGCACTGTGGATGCCGAAGCGGCTGGCGTTGTTCGACGGGTCCGCAGGCGCCGTGGCCGACGTGGCATAGGCCAGCGAAATGGCAGCGCTGGCGGGGTCGAGCGTCTTGGCTTCGCTGCCGGCCGCGCCGACCCACGTGCTGCAGCCAGTGCAAATGACGTCCAGCTGCCAGTGGGTGTCGTTGGTCTTGGACGAGGGCAGCACCTTGTAGCTGGCGCCGTCGTAGGCTGTCGGCAGGGTGTGGCCGGTCGCGCGGCGGCTGGACACGACAGCTGTGGCAGCGTTGGCCCAGCCCACCGTCAACGGGTTGTTGGCCATGGCGCCGCCCCAGGCGACACCGGCCCACCCAATGGCCTTGGGGGCAACAATGGAGAGCGCAATGTCGTACGGCGCGGTCGCGGTGGCGGTGTCGGGAATGGCGATGCGGAACGAGACGCCGTTGGGCGAGACATACTCGGAGTAGCAGATCTTGGACGTGGCGTCGCAGGCCTTGGCGTCCGAGGAACGTGGCAGCAGCTCCGTGGCAGGTGCAGCGAGGGCCGACGCAGCCAGCGCCAGGGATGCGAGTTGGACACGAACCATTTTGCAGATGTTGCAGATGTTGCAGATGTGGATCGGGATATGGACGTGGATGAGTCTGTTTAGCGTGCAACGAGTTGCTGTTCGCGATTCGTTGGCAGGAAAAAGGAATGCAAGAGAAAGGAGTGTCTGACGTTACAAAGTGCCAAACCAAAAGGAAAGGAAACAAACAGAAGGAGAAAGAGAGACGAGGGCCGACGCTGTGGCAAGGGGAGGACAGGATGGCATGCCTTTATGAGAAGCTGCTTCCAGGAGCAGTGGAAGTGGCCGTTGCCCTGTTTCCCAGCCAAGTGAACCACAAAGTTTAGCCGGCCCTCGCTGTCTACCGACAAAAGAGGAGGCGAGAGGAGGAGACGACGAGGAAACGAGTTCCGTCATGTTCTTTAATTAGAAGTAAAAGCAGAGGACAACGAGGGTCGGTGCATTGGGCAAACAATGCATCAATAACTGGACGTCATCCAAGCGATCATCCCGCTGCTATCAGTCCGTCCTCGACTGGGTCTAGGTCCCGAATTGGCCGTGCTGGTTAAAGGGTAAAGTTGAGTAAACTCCCATTTCGTTTGCTCTGGACCAAATGGCACATCGCTCGGTGCCTGAGCAGTCGGCACCTGCAGAGCAGTTGACCATTCAAGCGTGCAGTGTTGTGGGAAGTTGCATTGTCAGCCGGCAAGGAGCTTATTCCCCGGATAAGTTGCTATATGAAGGGACAGCAGCCGTAGCACGCCAACGAGATGTGGTTATAAGAGAGCGACAACAAAAAGATCGGAGATGACAGGACGTCCAAGTGTCCAGAGATAGCACGGCCAATATGGCCTCATCAACAAGCCAAAAGTATCCCAAAGGATGGCTCTTCTGCTCGGCCTAAATGAAAATGCATATTGTCTTCATCCAAAGTCAACACTTATTGTCAATGCGTTGCCGTCACTTATACGACATACACATCGCAGCTGTGTTCTCTCTGGCTAAATGGTAAAGGAGCTCCAACTACCAAAGTGGTAGCAGAGCTTATTACCGGAGGTCCGCACGGAATCTTCGGCGCCTCAAATGCTGCCCGTTTCTCTTTCTTTTATTTTCACTTCGTCCCGTCCGCATCCATTGCCCAATAGTACTCGTCAAGTTAGCAATCACCGGTTCCTTAATTTACAACACGGCAGACGACGGCCTGTGAGGAGGAGCATTTGTCACCAGGGAGAATCTCGTTTTCCCACGATTTTCCACGAAAACGACTTTATGGATCGGGGAAAACAAACCCAAACCGGACCCGAGGATCGTGACTGTGGGCACTGAATTGCAGTAAAACGCCGTGCAGCCCTATGTTTCCATCTCCATTGCCGTCTCTCTATTTTGTATTTCGTTGTATCTCCTCTTAGCAGACCGGGGCAATTCCCGCTTCTGTCTTACAAAAAGTGCTCCACAGCCTCCCAGAATGCCTGCGGATTCTCGTACATGGGCAAGTGGCCTGCCTGGGACACAATCTTGAGCTCCACGTCTCCCTTGCCAATGGTCTCGCGGAAGGCCCCCATGGCCTTGGCCAAAGCACCCTTGCCGTCGCCGTCGCCGACAACAAGAAGGCCGGGCACGCGCAGCTCTTTGGCAGTGGCGCGCATGTCAAAGTTCCACAGCGCCTGGCAGCTGTACTTGAAGCCCTCGCGGTTGTTGGCGGCAACCATGTTGACCATGTTCTGTGTGGCCTCCGGCTTGGTGCTGACGGTCGCCGGATGAAACCAGCGCGCGACCGTGATGCCGGCCAGCGTCTCCATGCCGGTCGGCGTGCCCTCGGCAACGCCAATGCGCTCCTTCCAGGCGGCCGTGTTGGCGTCGCTGCTGAGGATGTTGAAGTCGCATGCAATGAATTTGCCCACAAGCTCCGGGTACGCGAGTGCAAACTGGAATGTGGTCGCGCCGCCCATGGACACGCCAATCAGCGCCTCCAGCTTGGCGATGCGCAGGTGCTTGAGCACGGCTCGCAGATCGTCCGCGAGCATGGACACGGTCGCAGGCACGGGCGGCGAGGGGATGGCATGGCGGCCACGCGTGTCGTAGCGCAGGATGCGCAGCTCGGGGCGGTGCTGCTTGAGGATGGCGACAAAGTCGTCCCACATGTGCAGCGACGTCAGCAGGGAGTTGGAGAAGGCGACAGTCGGCGCACCGGGCGCGGCACTGCCCTCGAGGCGGTAGGGGATCTCGAGACCGTCAGACGTCGTGACATACGACTGGAGAACCGCGTCCGTGCCGGGCGTCGAGGCCGTCTTGGCGTCGGTGGACACAAAGGCCTTGGAGGCCGGCAGCGGCGCGAGGTGCTCGAGGTCGCGCGGCGCGCTCCCAAACACGTAGAAAAGCGAGTATGTGCGGCGGCCCTTGTTCGCCACGTACTTGGAGAAGACGTCGGTGCGCCACGGCGTGTCCATGGACGCCTTGTGCGCGGGCCCGCCCAGGCCGTTGGTCGCCTTGTACTCGTGCAGCGTGATGATGCGCAGCGGGGCGGTGTCGTTGGGCGGCAGGTCCAGGCTGGACGTGCGGAACCGCCGCGTGCGCAGCCAGCCCGGCACCTTGGTCAGCATGCCAAAGTGCTCCTCCTCGTACCAGCGCACCAGCTCGGCCTCGGCCTTCTCGGCGGTCTCAGCGGTCTCGTTCAGCGTCACGTCCACGTACACCAGCACAGTGCCGTCGACCGCGCTGTCGCTCTGGTCCGCCGGCGGCACAAAATCGTCGGCCTGGCGCGACGACTGCAGGTCAAACAAGTAGCGCTTGACGGCCACCTGGCCAATGGTCTCCGCCTCGCGGGGGCTGCGGTTGGCGCGCAGATCTGTGTACACGGGCTGCGTTAGAATCGCCATGTCCGTGACGTCGTACGTGGCCAGGAACGTCGGCTTTTCACCGTCGGTCGCGCGGTAGCGCTGGCCCGTTGTGAAGATGGCCGGCAGTCGCAGCCGCGTCGGGCCGTGCTCGTTGTTGTACCACTCGTGGAACTGGTCGAGCGACAGGCCGTCCTGCGGCTCCATCGTGACAAAGAGCATGCCAGGGGTGGGCGTAGAAGAGGCCATGGTGGTGGTGGAGAATAAGAAGGAGGAGGAGGAGGAAGGCGAGGAGTCGAAAGACAAGAGGCTCAGTACCTTTGGCGGTTCGTAAACGTCCCAAGACAAACAAAATGTGTGTCTATGTCGTCGGTTTGGTGAAGTCAATTTCGTCGATGCTGGGTAGAGTCGATTCAATGAGGCTGCACTTGCTAAGATACAGATCTCAAACTGGTCAAAATGGAAACCCGGCTGGCTCTGGCAGCAATCAACGAGTCGGGGCGGCCCGTTCAATATATACCAGGTGCGAGGCCCTCTGTGATCGCCATCATGCCGTTCACCGGCGATGCAGCGCGGCGGGATTGCGGTTCGGCAGTGAGGGTGGTGGGGCAGCTTTCACTCCACAGGACTGCGCTGAGTTAGTGCTGGAAGGACGCTGGAAGGACGCTCGCGGGGAAGAGTACTTCCTAGCTCTTGCTTCGTGGCGAGACTTGGCCTGGTACCTGACGAAATGTCCCGAAATGGAAAGGCACGTCTCACGCGTCGTGCCTGGAGCCGTTCTCACTTTCCGTCAATGGAAGATTGTATTTGAATGTCTCCGCCTGCCAGGATGATGACTTTGCCGGCTGAGAGCGCAGGAGCCTTCCCACAGTATGGGCCAGAGCCTGGAGCAGTGGAGCCTCGCAATGGCAACAGCAACTGCCAGGGCCAATGAGGAGCTGGTCGCGGTAGCTTCGAGGCCAGTCGCGCCTGCCTCACTGCCTCGCGATAGTCTCGGACGCACCTGCCAGCCTTGAGGTGCTTGCCCCATGGCTCCGTGCCTTCCTTCCTTGGATTGCAAAAGCTTGCTGTCACTGGATATCGTGATCTCCGCCACTGTCCGACTCCTTTTCTGTTTTGCTTGCTTTTCCGTCAAAAATTCAGCAGCCGTACATATCTTCGAATCACGGTTCCCCCTCGCCGTTTCGTTTATTGTGTGAGGCCATCCGCAACAACCAGGCCACACGCTCATTCGCCTGCGGGCAAACGGCCACACAACCTTTTCACCATCACCTCAGCTTTTCAACCCCTCCTGACCCCTCCTGACCCCTCCACTGCTTCTGCCTCAGCTGTCGTTCTGTCGTTCTATTGCCCGCTTCCACTTCTTCATATTCCTCGTCGCCTCTTCATGTTCATTGCTTCACTTCCCGACTTCCCGGCCATGTCCAGCTATGGAGGTCTTCGTTCACAACCTGCCTGCCCAGGGCAACCTTAGCAGCCAAGGCTTGCTGCTGCAGCTGTGGCCATTTATGCGGGACCTCAAGATTTCTGACACCGCATACGACTGTGAAAAGGCGGCCACGAAACGGCACGCCTTCATCACATTTTTGTCAGAAGACGATGGCAAGCGCTTCCTTGCATCCCATGGCGAGGTTCCGCTCACCAGCTCCATTTTTCACAGCAGGGGTCCTGTCCGTGGCACCGCTTCGCGGTTAAAAATCCTCGGTGCCCATGTCATGTGCCGGGAGAGTAACCGACCTCCGAGCCGCGCCTCACTCGGAGTGCTGGCTGCAAGAGAGAATGAGCGGTTGAAGAAGCAAAAGCAGGGCAAACCACACACCGGAAACAAGACAAACTCTGTGGTGACTGGACCCGCTCCGACCGGTAAGCAGACAACGCAAACCACCTCCGCCAACGACAAGTCCTTCTTTTACGAGAGATTTAGCTGCGGCTATTACAAGTACATCAATGGTGGCGAGCTCGTTTTTGTTCCCGAGTACGTTCAGGTTGAACAGAAGGGCCTGGCAGAGTTCGGCAAACGGCACTTGACCATCACCAGCGATGACCGTCGAGTGATATACGTCCCGCTGTCCACTATTCAGGAGATTGTCTGGTCGCCCCAGGGACTCATCACACTCACATTGAGTACGGTGCCCTTGTTTTTCTCTGCCCCAAATGATGCGGACAGACGGTGGCGGCTGACAGCCCTCGATGACCGCCATGCCAAGATTGTTGGCAAATGCTTGGTCTATCACATCGTCGTCCGACCAGAGCAGATCCATCGCAAAATGCAGCGTCTTGCCAACTTAGGCGGCTTAACCGTGACCCGGCATGACGTGCACTACGCCGCGGGTCCAGATTTCTCCACCAGCGACGCGAACTTGCGCACACTCCTCAGCCAGCTCACGACAGCCAAGCGCCTGCCGTTCTCCATCTTGTTGCAGCTTCAAGCCTTCGCCAGCAATGCATATTTGCATCCAGATACGGTGAGCAAGCTGGCTCGAAAACTTGCCTCCAGCCACGACGCGGCGCCCATTTCGGCCGAGGCAATGAAGAAACTCTTCCAGGCCATTGACTGGCCCACGCCGAATCACCACGATCCGGGCGAGTTCGAAGTGCCTGCCCTCTACGACTACCTTCTCGAGACAGAACAGGGCATGAACAAAGGGCTCTACGTCCGCGAGGGACTGGTCAACCCCGGCCGCAACCTGACCGCCATCCATCGTATCATGGTGACGCCGACCCACCAGACACTCCACGGTCCGGAACTCGAAAACAAAAATCGCGTCTTGCGCAAGTTTCCCAATCACCACGACTATTTCATCCGCGTTCAGTTCTGCGACGAGGATGGTCAGAGCCTGCGCTTCAACAGCCGCGTTGACTTTACCCACGTCTACGATCGGTTCCGCAAAGCAATGGTCGACGGTATCAGCGTGGCGGGCCGGACCTACATATTTCTGGGATGGTCTCACTCCTCTCTGCGCTCTCACTCCATGTGGTTCGTGGCCCCTTTTATCGACGACAACGGCCAGCTACAGAAGCACTTTACCATCATCTCTGCCCTGGGCAATTTTGACACCATCTACTCGCCCGCCCGTTGTGCTGCTCGCATTGGTCAGGCGTTTTCGGAGACACCATTTGCCGTGCCAATGGCCGAGAACAACATCAGTGTCTACGAGATTCCGGACATTGTGTCGTCGACGGACACCAGTCGCGTCTTCAGTGACGGCGTCCGGCACCATCTCGTGGAAAGCTGCCGAGGCAATTTGGAAGCAGTTACCGCGTGGCAAGAAGAAGCCCACCTGCTTTCAGATTCGGTTTGCCGGTGCCAAGGGCATGCTGGCTCTCGATTCACGGTTGACCGACAACAGAATTTGCCTGCGGCCCTCCATGATCAAGTTCAAGAGCACAGAAATGGCCAACCTTGAGATCTGCGACATGGCCACGCAACCCATTCCCCTGTACCTGAACCGCCAGCTGATCAAGATCCTCGAGGACATGGGTGTTCCCACGTCCTGGTTTCAAAAGCTTCAGGACGATGCATTGCGCGAGCTGAAGCTCATAACGTCCAGCCCGTACAACATGGCCAGGTTTCTCAAGGTGCAAGCAGTAGCCACAGCCATCAAGCTGCACAAGCTTCTGCTGCTGGCTGATCGTCTGGGCCTCGACTTCCGCACAGACCCCTTCCTGCGCCGCGCCACAGACGCCGTCATCTTGCGCGAGCTGCGTCTGCTGAAGCACAAGGCTCGTATGTTTGTTCCCTTGGGCATTACACTGTTTGGCATAATCGACGAAACGGGCTATCTCCGTGAAAATGAGGTGTACATTACGTTTGATGTTCCCAAGAACGGCTCCAAGTCACGGCGCTTCCGTGCACCGCCTGGCAATGGCGATCCGGTGATAGTAACACGCTCGCCTGCACTGCATCCTGGTGATAACCAGCGGGCGACAAATGTGCATCCTCCCGCTGCTGATGCCACCCACCCACTGCACTACCTCCGCAACTGCATCGTGTTCAGCTCGAAAGGCGTTCGTGACCTACCAAGCCAGCTCAGCGGCGGCGACCTAGACGGTGATATTTTCAACATCATATGGGACCCAGTGGTCTGTGACCTACCGGGGCTCAAAACGTTCGTGCCGGCCGACTACCCGCGCCAAGACCCCGTCAATATTGGGCGGCGCGTGACGACGGCCGACATTGCAGATTTCTTCCTTGATTTTCTTCGCACCGACCACTTGGGTACCATTGCGACACGCCACATGATTCTTGCGGACCAGTTGCCGGAAGGCACACGTGAAACTAACTGTATCCAACTGGCCGCGTTGCACTCGACAGCTGTGGACTTTTCCAAAACGGGCATTCCTGCCGACCTCAAGAACATGCCCCATGCCAACCGGTACCGACCGGACTTTCTGTCTCCCGGGCCGATTGTGGAAGTGCACAGCCGCAAGGACATTGACCTGGAGCAATTCATGGCGAAGACGGTCGACGGCGACGACGCTGACGATGACGACACGCACGAGCTCGACGCACCCACCTACAAGTACTACCAGTCGACGAAGACGCTCGGCACCCTGTACCGGGCGATTGACGAGCGCCGAATCTGGCAAGACGACGTGCGCTACACAAATAGCAATGGCAATGACGATGCAGACGAGGAGCCCATGTTCTATGATGCCTTTTTGGAATGGGCAACCCATGAGTGTGAGCTGCTTGGGGGCACAAACTGGCAGCAACGCACAGACGAGGCGCTGCGGATTCGGTCTGCGTACGAAGACTCCATTTTGACGACCATGTACGAGTTCTCGGAACATCCGACGCTGCCAATCACAGAGCTCGAGGTGTTTATCGGCACGATTGTGAACAAAACAGGCTCTCAGACGCTGCGGCAGCGCGACCGGTCGCGCAAGCTGCGGGATGAGTATGAACGCATCTCCTCGTGGATTACAGCACAGATTCGGCCTCATGGACGAACAAACGAAGACAATGGTGGCGTGGACGAGGAGAATGATGGAGACGACAGCGAGGAAGACGACTTTGACAAGGAAGGGCGAGACTGGCGGTCGCAGCGCCTTGCAGTTTTAGAATTGTGTCTCGCGTGCACGTACAGCCAGAAGGAAGACAAGAAAAACGAAAAGGACGATCGCAGGACGGAACGGAACGGAGTCGGACACGCACCGAAAAACAAAAACAATAACCGGGTTGAGTCGTTCTGGCTCGTGGCGGCGTCGGCGCTGATCCGAGAGCTCGAATTTATCCACCGCGGCCTTCGGTTTGATGCCGATTTGAGGCAGGACATGGCGCAGCTGTCGCTTGGTGGTAGGGCGGCAGTAGTCGGCTGGGCATTTGGCTATTGACGCCATGAGTGATGTCTTAATGATTTAGTGGCGTGGCCAGTGGGCTGTAAGCCGTGCCGGAGTTAATCCAAGATTTTCAGAAGCGATAGTTTGCCATAGGCATCAATCTTGACGCAATAGGTCGTTGCTAGTGGTAGTCAAATCGTCAATAAAAAAATCAATACTCTTTGGTGACCAGCCTCGGGGCATTTCTGTCTTCACCTGGCATTCGATTCAGGCACACGTTGGCCAAAACCCATCTACAGCTTCACTAATTCACGGCGCCAGGGATCACCATGGCCCGCATCTTCATTACCGGGTCGTCTGACGGCATCGGGCTGCTGACGGCCAAGCGCCTCGTGGCTGACGGCCATCGAGTCGTTCTGCATGCGCGCAATGCTAAACGGGCACGGGAGACAGAAGCAGCCTGTCCGGGCGCCGAGGCCGTGCTGACCGGCGATCTGTGCAGCATTGCCGAGACGAAGGCGCTGGCCGCGCAGGCGCAAGCTCTTCTCGAAACGGAACCGGGTGCGCGGTACGATGCCGTGATCCACAACGCAGGCGTCTATCGTGGTCAGGACAACGCCGTCAGCCGCGATACGGGCTTTCCACGGCTGTTTGTGGTCAACACGCTGGCACCCTACATCTTGGCGGTGTCAATGGCCGCGCCGCTGCCGCGGCGGCTCATCTTCATCTCGTCCAGCATGCACTACGGCGGCCGGCCCAAGCTCGAGACACTGCCGCGCGGCGTGACGTACAGCGACAGCAAGGTGCACATGGTGATGCTGGCCAAGGCGTTTGCACGGCGGTGGGCCAACGGCCTCGATGTGTCTGTGTCGGCCGATCCCGGGTGGGTGCCGACGAAGCTGGGTGGCTGGTCGGCCCCAGACAGCATCGACGGCTCTGTCGCAACCTACACAGCGCTGGCTCTCGGTCAGGGAGAGGCTAAGGGGAGCGGCGGCACAAACGGGCGAGGCGTGAGCGGCAAGTATTTTGTCAACTCGCGGGCGGAGAAGCCTCAGCCGGTGACCAACGACGAGGCGCTGCAGGACGAGCTCATCGCGAAGCTAGCGAGTCTGAGTAGCGTGCCTATGGTGGATATTTGAGTTCGAGGAAGGCTGGGAAATCTCGGGTGCAATGTGATATTACGAAATAGTGCTTATCCTGGGCTGCTGTCATAGCTCCGTTAGACCAGAAACTTATCAAAGCGTGTCTTCAACGTTAGTTATCGTTTCGAGGTGTTGATTCCTTTTCGAGCCTGTCTGTCCTCTCCAGTCCTGTGCTTTATACGTACCCTCGGTGTCTCTCCAAATACATTTCGGCTTTTTACTGCATGCTGTACGTCACGGGTGGCGATTCATCCAGCAAACCGGCGTGTTGCTTGAATTACCGCAGCATATGCTCCGTGCTAGTGATATATCTCCATCAAAATGGAAAGATAAAACCTGAATTAAAGCCGCGATCGTCAACGTGCATATTCTCACGACAGGGGTGTGCAATCGCACATGTTCCAGCGCGTATGCCCACTGTCGAGCCTCTGAAGCCTCAAAATGTCTTGAAATATTTTGCGCAAGCACGACTTGAAGATGCTGTAGGGATGGATTGGCCCTTACCGAAGAATAAAAAAAGACGGCCGCCAAGACACCCGTTTGCTTCTGTGCGTCGGTTTTGTTTCTTTTCGGCTCGTTTCTCTTGCGCCTTTGCGCTTTTCTCCTTGTGTGTCCACACAGCCGAATCTCGATGGCCCATGACGTAGATGATGCTCAGGTTGGCTGCGTGGAACTGGCCACAATGCCACCATCACCTCTACGCAACGCGGGACACATCTCGATGCTGTGATCGTCCAAGATGGTTCGTCTTGTGGCTCGTCTTTTTTCTGTTCTCATAAAGTGCACGCATAAGTATGCGTGTCCGCCATTTTCTTTGTCTTGTAGCAACTCGTCTGTCGTCACTTGTCTCACTTCGGTCAAGAAGCGTCCCAGCTTCAACATTACCTTCACATCTATCGTTGCCGTCGTTGCTCGAAGTCGTCTGTTTTTGACCCTGCACCGTCTCGCAGCGTTCCACCTTGACCCACCTGGTTCTGTCCTTTCACATTCATATTTCCCCCACATATACCATCACCATGGCACCTCCTCCCGTTCCGCTCCTCAGTCCGCGGGTGCCGCAGCCCAGCCGCACGCTACCATCATCCCGTGTGGTTCGCGAATATCTGCTTCGTGTTCGTCAGGCCACCTCGAGCACGGTGACTGTCGTCGCGGATGCGTCGGGTGATGGCGGCGGCAACAACCTGTCAGGTGGTGCCATTGCCGGTATTGTCATCGGCTCCGTCGTCGGTTTCCTTCTGTTGCTCTGGATCTTCCGATCTTGCTTCAACCTCGGCGCACCACCGAACGACGAGCGTGAGGCCTGGTACCGGGACGTCGAACCGCGCCATGCCCACCACCGCCATCGCCACCACCACCACCGCAGCCGCAGTCACGACGACCGCGACGGCCGCTACTACTACAGCAGCGATGGCCGCAGCCACAGCCGTCCGCCCTCGTATGGCTTGTACACGCAGTCGACTCCTGTTGCCGAGCCGGTGCCTGTCGTTGTGCGCGGTAGCAGCCGGCGCCGGCGTTCGTCGCTGTCCAAGGCGCGCAGCCCGCGGCGGTCGAGCACAATCGTGGTGGAGGACTCGAGAGGACGGTATTGATGTAGGCGGCGAAGGACGTGATCGCAGAAGGCGATTGTAATGCTGTATGAAATGGTGGCAATGCTGCCTGGAGAGAATAGGGGACTGTGAACAAAAAACTATGTAATATAGGAAAGAGCCAATGTAGGCAGGACATCGGAATTGGGGAGGAACACTCGCGCAGGAAAGCGCAACTGGGAAGCACAGAAGAGCACGTACATCACGTGCAACAACTTGTACGGCAACAACATTTATGATACCTTTACGATACTGTCGCGATAGAATGGCAGACGACACGCTTCGTATTCATGACCACAGACTGTCCTCAAATGCTATAATACAAGTCTACCGAACGAATGAACAGCACATAGCCCATGCAGAACGCGGCGAAAGTAAACCCGCAAGCCCAACACCACCGCATCAACACATCCAGCAGCCTGTCCCTCTCCTACTTCCACAGCTTGCCTAGCGACACCTCCTTGTCGTCGTGCTTGTTGAGGATCTTGGCCGTGGCCAGCTCAAAGTCCTCTTGTGTCACATGCACCCGCCGCTCACGCAGCGCATACATGCCGGCCTCCGTGCACACACCCTTGAGCTCGGCGCCCGAGCAGCCATTCATCTTCTCGGCAATCTTGGTCAGGTTGATGCCGCGCGTCAGGTTCATCTTGCGGCTGTGGATGCGCAGAATGTCGGCACGCGCCTCAACACTCGGCGGCGGGAACTCGATCTTGCGGTCGATGCGGCCAGGCCGCAGCAGCGCCGGGTCCAGAATGTCGAGTCGGTTCGTCGCCATGATGACCTTGATGTTCTTGGTCGGTTCAAAGCCGTCCAGCTGGTTGAGCAGCTCCAGCATCGTGCGCTGCACCTCCGAGTCGCCGCCACTGCTGCCCTCGACGCGGGACGAGCCGATCGAGTCGATCTCGTCCATGAAGATGATGGACGGCGCGTGCTCGCGCGCCATGACAAACAGCTCGCGCACCATCCGCGACCCCTCGCCAATGTACTTTTGCACGAGCTCCGAGCCCGACACCCGGATGAACTTGCAGTCCGTGTGGTGCGCCACCGCCCGCGCCAGCAGCGTCTTGCCCGTGCCCGGCGGCCCGTACAGCAGCACGCCCTTGGGCTGTGCAATGCCCAGGCTCTCAAACAGCTCTGGGTGCTTCAGGCCCAGCTCAATCACCTCCTTGATCTCCTTGATCTGCTGGTCCAGGCCGCCAATCATGTCGTACGTACTGTCCGGCACCTTTTCCACCATCATCAGCGAGACCAGCGGGTCCACCGACGACGGCAGCATCTTCTCGAGCTTGTAGCTGTCCGACAGCAGCGTCACCCGCTTGCCCACCGTCAGCTTGGCAATGTCGACGCTGTCTGCCACATCCACCACGTATTTGCCCTCCGGGTGCACCTTGACAAGCACCTTTTTTGTGCTCATCACTTTGACGACCTCGCCCACGTACGACCCGGGCTGCTGCAGAAGGCCCAGCTCTTCGCGCAGCAGCCGCACGCGTGAGTTGTAGTCGTTGCGCTGGGCCTCGAGACGCCGCAGCACCGCCTGGCCCTTGAGGATCTCAAGCTTCATCGCCTCGATCTTGTTCTGGTAGTAGTTGTCCAGCGACATCGTGAGGAGGTGGGGTGGTCGTGAGACCGGCAGTGGGAGAGAGGGTTCGTTGGTTCAATAAGTAGTCGCAAAGGTTGTGATCGTGTGGGTGTCGTTAAAACGTTGATGCGAATGTGCGGTTATCAATTGGTGCTGCTCGTGAAATGGATCGTGGCGGGTGAGTTGCGTGTGCCGTACAACAGCGGTTGAGGTTGGTTGACAGAGCAGCGCCACCCAAAAGCCGATCATCCTAGGCACTGGCAACGACAACGCGTCCAGCGCGTCACGTGAATTGTGGGGAGCTATTGTCAAATAACGAGGCTCCACTTTTTTACATTTCGGTTCACATCGCGACAGCTTCAAATTTGACGACGCCGTGATTATATTGTACAAACATACCACAGAGCACTACACGACAATAACGTACATGTAGGTATACAAATTTGAAAGTAAAAATCCCAAAGCCAAGAAACAAACAAACCAACAAACCAACAAGCCAGCAAACACCAAAGTAAATCTTTAGATACAGCGACGATTGCTTCAAAATAAATTACGCTCCAAATTCGCAAACAAGATAGAAGGCGCAAAACGCAAGGCGCAAGACGACAAAAGCAAAAATCTGGCCCGGCCTTACAGACCTCGCGTGATCCGCCGCCGCTTGGCGGTGCCGGATCCCTCGTCAGCATCGGCCGCACCGGGGCCTTCGTCGTTCTTGTCGTTCTTGTCGTTCTTGTCGCTGTCGTTCTTGTTCGGACGGTCCTCGTCCTCGTCGGCACCCTCGGCGCCGCCGCTGCCAACAACGCCGACCACGTCGATGTCGTCGAGGGGCAGATCCAAGCCTTTGGCGCCCGGTGGAGGGGCAGGCATGCCGCGCTGCCGCTCGGCCGAGCGCATCTCGCTAAGAAGCTTCTCCACCTCGACGTACATGTCGCGCGTGTCGTTGACAACACCGTCCTCGTCCACCTTGTAGCGCGCGTTGTCGCCGCCGGTGCCGCCCGTGCTGTTTACGAGGTCGTCGTCGTCGTCGTCTGCGGTGTCACCGACCAAAAAGGCCGGGCCGGGTCCACGGTGCGAGTCCGGGTTGTACATGACCGCATTGGCAAACATGTGGACAAGCTCGCTCTCAAGCTGGCTGCTGTTGATGATGCCGCGCGGCGGAACGAGGTCGGCATGAATCGGCAGCCAAACGCTGCTGCTGTTGCTGCTGTTGATGCTCTCGCGTTCCGACTCGGGCAGCGCGGCGATCGCTGTGTTGGCGGCCTTGTTGCCTTGCGAGATGGCCATGCGGATCGACTTGAGGTCGACGGGGTGGCGCACGATGCTGCCATACCCAGGAGCATCGCGGTCGCGGATCTTGTGTGCAAACATGTTGGCATGGCGGTGACTGCTGATCTGGTCGAGTGCCGACGCACTGATCTTGGGGAAGCCGCGCATCCACAGAACGTGTGTGGGGGGCGTCGGCGCGCCCACGAGGCGCCGGCGCGCAACCACGGACGGGTCAGGCTTGTTGCTGGCGGTGTTGAGGAAGGATATGTCCACAGATTCATCGTCGCCGCCCCCGCCCCGCTTTCTCTTAAGAGCAGCACGCGAGTGGCCGTCATCGTCGTCCAGATCGTGAACATCGTCAAAGGACGCTCTCGGTGTCGAGGCCTCCGCCTTTATCGGATGGCTCTCGTCGTCCACGGTGCCGCGCTCACCTTGCGAGCGAGAATGTCTCGATGGCCGACCAGGTCCACGCATACTGCGGTCAGGCGTCTGCCCCGACCGCGACGCCGGGTACTGCGGCTTCCGCAAGTTTCGAGGTTGGCGCAGAGCCGCTGCCGACGAACCAGCGGCCGAGGGCGATACGGGCGAGGCGTCGTCGTCTTCAGCGTCGTCGTCGACCATATCCAAGTCGGCCGATTCAGCACGCGCGCCTGAGCGCGAGGAGCGGGATGTTGCACTGGGCTGCACGGGACTGAGGGGCTCGTATGCTGGGCTTGCCATGTCGCCAACGTCGGGGCCAGGGGTCGACGGTGTGGGATCGCTCGGCTTCCAGCGCGTGCCACTGCCGCGTGGAAGGAACAGCGGCCCAAGCACGCCAGTACCAACGCCTTGGATGGGCGTATGCGGGAAGGCAGGTCGTGGTGACTGGACAGGCGTCGGTGTCCGGGACGGCGGACCACCGCGCACATGCTCAGGAAACGGCGGCCGCGGTACCAAACCAGGACCACCTGCAGCACCCTGCGGGCCGGGGGTCATCGGTGGACCTCCTGGGATACGCTGGAATTGGGGAGTCGGAGCAATTGGTGTCTGCTTTTGTGTCGCAGGAACAAGTGGCCGTGGCGTACCTGCCTGCGGACCAGCTGCCAGAGGTAGCTGCTGGTCCGCTTGCACAGGTGCCAGTGGTTGCGCGGTTTGCGAAGCGGCGGAATGTGTTGTAGAGGGCGAGTTGGGAATGGGTGTTTGTGTGCCCGGTGTGTGGGAGGGCGGCGTCGCTCTGGAGGGAACCGGGCCTGTGACGCCCTTTGGGGGTAGCTGGATGGCATTGGCATTTTGTGGCAATCCAGTCTGCTGCTGTTGCAGAAGTTGTTGCTGTACGAGTGGCGGGGGGTGAGGAAGTTGAGCGGGGGAGATGGACCGGGACGCAGGCTGAGGAGGCGCGGCAGGTTGCCCAGCAGGTGCTGCAGGCAACGGCTTGCTGTCGGGAGGAGATTGAGTCGATTGAGTCGATTGTGTCGCAGCTACAGAGAGTGTTCGCGAGGGGCGCTGGGCTGGGGCGGAAGCGGGAGCAATAGGGGTAAGTTGTGGCGTGGTGCGAGCATGCTGTAGTTGCTGTGCGTGCTGCACAGCCGGGACGGATGTAATCGAAGGAGGAGTAGATACAGAAACAAGCGCACCTGTTGCCGTCGTAGGAGGTTGGTTCGCAGGACGCGACGTGGCAGGGAGCAGGGGCACATTTAGTGCAGCGCCGCGTTGGCCGAGAGAGGTGAGATGGCGCTCGGGCGTATGCCGTGCCGAGGCAGAAGGTTGTGCGGACACGGAATCAGACCTCGACGAGGAAACAGATGGGGGTGCGTTGCCACCATTAGCTGCCCCTGCTAGACCAGCATTCTTGCCGAGCGTGGGAGAAGCAGAGACGTATTGCGTCTGCTGTTGCTGTTGCTGCTGCTGTCGTCCGTTCTGGGCGGCGGCGGCGGCAGCGGCTGCCGCCTTAGCTTCCGCTGCCCGAGCATGGGAGCCGCGTCCTCCACCACCGGCCGCCTGCTGTTCGAGAAGCTTAATCTCCCCCTGGACCTTTTCTATGCGCCGCTCATCCTCGCGGATAGCGTTGACAATATGTTCGCGATAGCGCACGTAGAGGCGTTCGACGAGGATGGGCAGTTGCTCGGCATGCGCAGCCGGCAGAGGCGGCGTGTCGATCTTTCGTTTCTTTCCATCGCTCGGCGTCGTGTCTTTGGCATCCTTGGCTTCTTTCGGCTCAATCTTGACATTGGCAGCATTGCCACCGCCGCTCTCGCCGGCGGCCTCTCCAAACTCGGACCGCAGCAGATGCAGGAACAGCTGCCGCAGCGACTCGGCGGTCAGGCGGTCGGCATTGTATCGGTCGTCGCTGCGGATGAAGGGATTCGACTGGAGGACGGTGGCGATGCGTGCAAAGGCGTCGGGCTCGACGCCGTGCTTGAGAATGGACTGGAAGAGCAGCAGCGACTCGAGCGGCGTGAACATGGACGGCGAAGGGCCGGTAGTCGTCGTCATGCCCCAAGGAGGAGGAGCCCCGCCGCGCCAGGAAACGACGGGCGCAGCTTCGCGTCTCGGCAGGAGGTGAATTGGCGCCACGGTCTATGTTGTGCTGTTAGTGAGCAGTGTGGGAGGGGTGATAGAGGTATCTTTGTGGTGACGAGTGGACGAAAGAAGGGTACTGCGACGAAAGGGATGAGGCGATGCTGATGATGCTGCCGACGAAAAAGGGTGTAGGTAGGGGAAGGTGATTGGAAGACGTATTGGATGTGACAAGAAGGACTAGAAATCGGACGGGCATCCCATCGCCAAGTCCATCACCAGCAGGGAAGAATCCATCGCGTCACGTACCAAAGTTGCCGCAAAAGCAATAGGCAGAACCACAAAAGCACAAATTGCCGCGCGAAAGCAGCAAAACGCGCTCGGGCAGCCCTACTGCATCAACACGCCCGACACGGCGAACTGCTTTGATGGAAACGAGGGTATTCGCCGCGTAACTTGATGGAAATGGCCGTGTGTCGTCCGTTTTGCGCATACAACGCGTCTCTCGCGGTCCGCGGAGAGCTGTGCTGTTTCGTCTCGTTCGTTCAATCGCAGCGCCAGCCGGAGCCTGGCTGGGCCTTGCAGGAAGATTTTTCCCGGGCGGTCTGCTGGTCATGTGACTTGGTCAGAGACGCAGACGCCCCGCATACTACATATCGCCCCATGTCTCACCTTCTCAGCAACCACATGTGAAGGGCGATGGAGAGGAGCACAAAGAATGAACAAAGGAAAGAAAAACCACGACGGGAAAAGACGCTACTGGAGCGTTACTGTTGGCTGATGTCAGTCATGCAGACGTTTGGAGTTGGACAACGCATCCATGTGACGATGTTTGTTTTAGCCAAGGCTGCGCATGCGTCTAACGGGGCCATATGACGGCCGCTCACGTGGCCCAGCTTCACACCTAAAATCGCCGACTTCTCCGCCATGCCTCAACACACTTCAACCATCAAATGCAACAGTTTGAAAGGCACAATCCATTTAGGCTGGGAAAGGATCGCCTATGCGTTTGCTGGCTGCGCAATGCAAGCGCGCTCTGAACAGGGACCGTGTCTGGCCATTCTTTACTTCATAGTACCGTAACACATCACAAGTCTCACAGGGACAAAAGTCACATCATTTGCAACAGCCATGGACAAAAAGCGTACACGAAACGGGCGAATGACAGACGCAAGATCGACTGGGAGAATGCTCGCATGCGTGAGTTTGATTGCGACGAAGCAAAACAAAGACGGAAACCCTGGTTTGTTGAGGTTTAGGCCAGGGGCCCAGAACAGGGGCAGTTTATGCGTGCCAGCAGAAGCTCTACTGGCAATGTGGGCAGGACCCTCAAAGCCTTCTTCCATAATACCTACTCCGTACAAAACACAAAAAAGGAGATTGGATTGGACCCAGCCTAGCATCTTCCCGAAGATCGTCTCGAATACGGAGGGACGGGGCTGATATCAAATTCTCCAATAGGGGCACCCACGCACGCACGTCCTTTCACGACCGCTGTGCTGGGTGAATGGATGTCACCACACTTCTCTCCGTTTACTCTCTTGTCTTTTGTCTTTGTCTTCTGCTCACTTACTCTGTATGGTCGGTGCCCAGTCTCCAGACACATCCCCCAGCACATGCCCTGACGACCTCGTGTCGGTCTCAGCTCGTGCCAGTTATGCTCTTCTTTGGTTCTGTTTTCTCTTCGGTCGTCTATCGATCGCTATTACTTTGTCATCTTCTCCACGATGATCAACGGGCTGAAATTTGAATATGACGCCTGGATTATGTGCAAACTAGAGGGAACTGTGACAAATTGAACATCGTGGGCACGGCGGGCTATCCATAAAAAAGGAGCAAACTGCTAAAGTTGCTACCACTGCTCGAAATGTCTGCTAATTACACCAGTAGCGTCCCCATTTCCCTTTTTGTTAGCGGCGGGTGCAAATCAAAGCAGCGTCCAAGCTGGACCGCAAAAGTGGGGAACCCCTTGCCTCGTCAGTGAAAGCTGTCGCCGCCGACACTGCAAAGTAATACCGTTCGTTACAGGGCGCGTGCCGAACAGATTTGCTCCCATTTTGCGGCTTGGCTGTCGCTGAGCTGTCGCCTGTATCACTCCTTCCACCCCACCCCCATATTTACACACGCACCTTTTGTTGCTCCCTGTTGCTCTCCTACCCCCGGCACTCCCTTCCTTTCTCGTCCTCAGCCTTTCCTTCCTTATTTCGTTCTTTCTCTTTTCGTTTTCTCCTTTTCCACTTTCCTATTTCCTTCTCTTTTCTCTCTTCCACTTTCTTGCCCAAGCAACATCTCCTCACCGATATCGCCAGCTTCTCTTTCAGCACGCAACACGAACCGTTCATTAGTCTGCGACGACGACCCCTGACCAACCGGTTGTCCCTTATCAGTATCGCCGCCCACAATGTCTGACGAAGAACTCGATCGTGACTGGAAGCCCAGCGGCCGCCGGCCCCAGTCGTATGTTTCCATGCTGCCCGATTTATACAGCCTTTGTGTCTTGTTTTCTTTCAGTCGCTAACCGCAAAGAACGATTGCGCGTTCGTTCTCTCTCGAGCTTATGGACATCTTCCGTATCGAGAACAGCGTTGCAGACCTGGATGAGCAGGTTGACAAGCGGTGAGAATGTGGCCCCCTCGTTTCCCCTCTTCTGTTGCAGATTCACCAGCGAAAGCGTCAACCACGCATAAATCATCCGTTTATGCGTGATTGCGTTCTCCTTGCTTCTGGCTTACTTTAATTGAGATTTGATGCCCTCGATAACTATGTTGGTGTGCCCGCTAATTCGCAATGTCCCACGTCCAGGAAGCAGCAGGTCACCAGCCAGACCACCGAGCTTGAGGCCCTCGAGGCGCGCATTCGCGAAATGGAGGCTATGCTCAATAAGAGCAAGAACCCAGCTGCTGGCGCGTCACCGACAAGCCCCCGCAACGCCCGTCCCTCCATCAACAGTGTCTTTGCCGACGCCAACACCAACAGCAGCGGTCCCTCGGGCGCCGACACCCACTCCCAGAGCGCTACACCACGGCCATTGGAGCACCGCCAACGGCAGCAGGGCCAGCCGCAGCAGCAGCAGGTGGACGCACAGAAGTACGGCAGCAGCCGGCCAGGTACGGCACGCGCAAGCCAGCAGGCTGTGCCGGGCGCTTTGCCGCCAACCCCCGTTGGCAGTGAGGGTGAGCTTTCTTTTGTCAGGTGCAGAGGGGAGCCAAGCTTCTCGGGGGATCTAGGCTCTAGGCTTTTGAAAGAGTGCCTTGTGGCTGACTCACGCAACTTTACAGACGGTGATGGCGACCGCTACTAGACAACGACAGTACATACATACAACTCGTCTTGACGTATTCTGTCATCACACGGACCGGACCTGAAATCAACTGTACAAGCACAACGGCTGACTGCCGGATTCAGTTTTCGATCAGCTGGACAGCGACACATCTCACTTCCGCGGGGCCGGCGTCTCCTGCAGCGATAAGAGTCTCTCCCACAACGAGGATCGCAAGCCGTACATCGACGTGTCTCCTTTTCTTTTAGCGCTCTCTATTTGTTTACATACATCTGTTTAATATTTGCATCGGGGATGTCGATTTTTTTTCTTCCTGGGTTTTTCTTTGTCATCCCCTGTCTCAATACCAAACCCCCGTCACGATTCCCTATTCCCTCCTTTGCACTTTGGCCACATACTTCCGCCATATGCTGTTTACCATTTACAATTCACTTGGTCTCTTTCTGCGTGCATCTGGAGCCATATCCCATAGCCATATCCATATATAGAGACATACTGAACTCGTATCGCACATTCATAGTCTCCCAGCAAACTACCACAATCTCCCTTGCCATTGTCTGCCGTCTTCAAGTATTGTTACATTCGCGCGTAAGATCCCTGTAAGCGGAACGGAGGTGAAATGGATGTCCGCAGTATTGCAACAGAGGCCCGTTTTAGTATGTTGTGCATCTTCCAACATACGGCACGGTACGGCACGGTACGGCCCGGTTAAATTTTCCAACGGCAATCAAACGGCAGAGGCACACTCCAGAGGACCTAGAAAGCCTCGACTCGCGAAGCTGTTCGTGGTTCGCGGTCATTAAATGTGATGATTGACTCAAAAGGGTCAAAAGACAAGATTGAGAGATACACATGAGACGAATATTCGACAAATGTGTGAAAACATAAATAGCAAAACAACCCGAAAAAGCGGCAAGAGCGCGAGACCCCTTCCCCCCTCCCTCCCAGTATAAAGGGTTCACCTGCCTCCGATCTCCAAAGTTGGCCCCATCATTGTCGACGACCCCATTTTAACCCACAAACAGTTCTCCGTTTTCCATCTACGCCAAAAGCTTCTTTGAGGCGAGTCCGACGCGAGAATGGCCCATGTCAAAGATCATGTACAGTGCCTTGAGGAACACGTCACCCAGTATGCCAAACGGCTCCATACTGTCCTGAATGCCGCCGTAGCACAGCGTGTCGCTGACGTTCTGGAAGTTAAAGTAATGGCCAGGGATCGTCGCGTTCCAGTGGTCGTCGACAAAACCAAAGTCGAGCACGGGCAGGGTCACATTGCAAGGGAAAACCCAGCCGTAGTACACGTCGCTCATGTACGCGCCCGGCACAAAGGACCAGTATAGCTCGACCAGGTCCGTCGGAAGCAGGAGCAACGTGGTGCCCGTGTCCGCCACCATGGGCCAGTTGTGCATGCGCCAGACGTTGTCGCCGCCAACGTGGATCGACTGGATATAGAACTCCCAGAATCCAGAATGAGGCAGCACCGTACGCCACGTTATGTCGCCCGTGTAGGAGCTCTGATTGATGTAGCCAAAGTGGTACTGGCCGACGTCCTGGTACTTGAGATCTGCCGCAAACAGGTTCTCCTCCAGAACGGGGCGGAGAGCGTCAAGCAGAGTCGGCTGCTGCGGGTACGTGGTGCTCGAATGATTGAGGGCCAGACCCAAGATGCCAGACATGACGGGGTCGGTCGTCAGGCTGCGGGAAACAGCCGTGGCCGACTCGACCGTCGCATTGTGCAGAGTCACATTGCCAATCCGAACCGAGTCGCGGTAAATACCGCCACCGGCGTAGCTTCCGTCGCCATATGTGATGGACCAACTAGCATTGGCAACGTCGACAGACGTACGGGACTTTTCCGGGTGGTAAATTTCTTGGCCGTCCAAGTAGAAGCTCGGCGTATCGGAACTGAAGAGCCAACTAGCAAGTAAACACGCGTATTAGCAAGGCTAGCATTCGTACAAAAGCAAAGAATATCCCGGTTTTCATCATCAAGCATACAGGTCTCCAGATCCCGTGTCGATGTCGAGCCAACACAGTTGGCCAGGCTCGCCCACGTAGACCGGGCTCAGGTACTCGCGGTCGTAAGTCTGGTTGTAGGCACCGATCGGGCCCGAGGACAGACGGTCGTTAGCATTCGTGTGCATGCCGGCCGGGTCCTTGTTGTACTTGGCGTAGGTCCACGCAAGCTCGGCTGCGCCATTCCTGCGATAATCATTGTTGCGGACAAGGTCGACTGCGAACGTTGCCCTGTTGGCGATGTGGACAGGGCCGTAGCGGGCATTGAGCGTTTTATCGACTGCATCGGACACATCATAAATAAGTACAAGATCTTGAAACGCGAGCTACACGTGCAAGCTGGTATTCTTACTTGCGATATTAAGGACTGGCTTTGCCAGAACGGTACTGGTCCGCAGCAGGAGCACCAACGACGCAAGAGAGGAATACCGCATGCTGAGCAAGTAGATATAGCGAGAATGTATGAAAGAAGATGCCGCTTTTTCAGTCGAGAGATTGGGAATGACGAGAGCGATGTCAACAACGGTGTTTGAAAGGGGCCGGTCTCACGATAAATTTCACACTTAAGGATTTTAAGCAGCCAACGGCCAGATAGTGGCTAGATGGGTGAAATGAGAGGCAGAAAGCAAAATTAAGTAATAAAAAAGAGAGCAATTGCAGGAGTAAATGAAGCAGCAAATAAAAGATGGGAGACGTCCTGATAGGAAAGGAGGACGACAAAACCTTGTCAAGCAAAAAGAAGAAGAAGGTGCGAGGCACGACTACGACCTTTTAAGTCTGGCCGCAGCTTCCTCTCCTGGCCAGAACTGGTCTTCAATATTAATGGCGAAGAAAGAGCACGATTGGGTTGCAAACGACGCACACTAGGATGGTACGCGTCGCTCGTTTATCGTTCCTTCCTCGGCCGGCTTGTGCGTGTGCGATGCCTTGGCCTGTGGACGTGTCTCTCAGTTCTGCACCGGACCGGGTGGTACACGTTACCGCGGCAGCTACGCAATCTCCCATTTTTGGTGATGCTCGAGCCGGTCATAGATACAGAGTAAAAGTGAACCATCAAGGACCGGCCGGGCCCCCTACTCGGATGCACCTCCCCGCAAATGTCTCCTTCATACGCACGTTGGTCGACTGTGTCTCGTCTGTATTCCGTACGACATTGTGGCCGCCACAGTGTTTGTACGTTCTGGGCGCGTCTCATTTCCTTGTTTCTCCTTCTCTTGTGTTCTTGTGTCTTGTCAATGTCAATGTCGTGTTCGGTTGTTTCTGGTGGTGCTCGGCCTGTTTGTGCTCCGTTTGTAATTGCAGGGACGGCCCCATTAATTTTCTACAGAAGGAGAACAATCTCGTTGAACAGAATCAGCGAGAAACAACTCTGGCCATATCTATAGTGTCTCGAACGGTATTGACAAGACGGTCTGTGTCAGTAGGAGAAAGTCGGAAGTTATTTATAATATTTATTGCCATTTTCTCCGTCTTCTGAATTTTCTGTCAGGAATGTGTACATTTATGTATTTATATGCTTTTTTTTTAAAAAAAAAAAAGAAAGCATCGGATAACATGTCAACTAAATCATATCAATAAAGTATATCAAAATAAAACACAAACAGGTGCAAACAGTAAAGTTCACATCCCCTACCGTGTTTTTATATACGCTTTCCTGCATGCCACTTTGCTTGGCTGCGCTACGATTTTTTGCTGCCGTGTTTCGTTTTGTTTAACCCTTCCTTGGCGATCATAGACGGATGTGATGCAAAATGGTATCTTCTTTTTTCTCTTTTTATGGGGTTTTTGGGGCCTTTACGGGGCATGCTTGAGAAGGATAAATACAAAAAGCTATGCCTTGCAGGAACAGAAATAGGACGCACTCCTTGACTCACAGCTCCTCGTGCTTGATCCCCTCATCCTGTGCGGCCTGTTGTGATGGTTTGGCCTCTGCAGACGAAGACGTAGACGACGAAGACGACGTCGATGCCGTCTTCTCGCTCTTGGTCGTCGCCGTCGCCGTCTTGGTCTTGCTCGACTTCTTGGACTTGCTCGACTTGCTTCCACTCCCGCTCTTTTTCTGCGTCTTCTCAAAGTTGCGGACGGCCTTCATCGCCAGGTCCATGCCAACCTTATCCAAGTGGTCGCGCTTCGCCTGCAGCTCCTTGGCCGTCAGCACCGGGTCGTCCGTAGGGCCCAGCTTCGCTTGCGCGGCCTCCTTCTCGTCCAGCCATGACGCAATGGAGGCGGACAGTTCGTCGGACTCCTTGAGGTCCTCATGTGTGTAGATGGGCGGGACCGGGCCGCGGTCTTCGAGGGGTTCCTCTTCCGTGGCTGCCTCGGCAACGACTGGGGGCTCGTCGTCCTCGAGGCCGTCAAAGTCGGCCTCAGTGGCAAACGATTCTGATGAAGAGGCCGCAGTCGAGGTCGTCGTCGACGAGGACGATGACGACGACGAAGCCGCAGCCGCAGCCGACTTGCTAGCGTGGAACGCCTCATACTCGACAATCCGCTCGCGAATCGAGTTTGCAAACTCGCGGCTCTGCACCAGAGCCTCACGGAGGCCGGCAATAAGAGCCGGACGCTTTTCGGCCTCGGCGATGCGCGTTTCAATGGCATCGACGGGCGTCTTGAGGGCCGTGTACTTCTTCTTGAGCTCCTCGTGCGTGGCGTCGACGCCACCGTCGTAAAGCCAGTCGCTGGTCTCGCCGCGCATTGTCTCGAGCGTGGCCCGCTCCACGGGGGTCGACGCGGCGATAAAGCTGTCACTCTCGAGCAGGCCGCGCACCTTGTAGGTAAAGGCCTCGAGCTGGTTGAAGCTCTCCTCGCGCTGGACACGGGCGCGATCAGACGCATCAAACGCCTGCAGGCGCTTCTTTACCGTCTGCATCTCGCTGTCAGACAGGGCACGAGTGCCGGCCTTTTCCAGGGTAAACTTGATGGGAATGGCGACCGGCACCTTCCTAGCCGGCTCGCTGGGATCGGCAGCGGCTGGAGTTGGCGACGAAGATGCAGACGAGGAGCTGGTAGTGGAGGAAGAGGTCGTGCTGCTGCTGCTGCTGCTGCCGCTGCTGCTGCTTGAGGTGTTGTTGGAGGAGCTGGAGCTCGAGGCATTCGCATCCTCAGTCTCGGAAGCCTCGTCGCCCTCCTTGAGGGGCTGTTGGTCCTTGTTCTTGCCAAAGCCAAACAGGTTCTTCACGCCATCCATGAGGCTCTCTTTCTCGGGGCCTTCTGCCTCGCATTCAGCAATAGCCTTGATGACTTCCACCTCGCCAGTTTCAAGGCCGAGCCGAAGGCCGAGCTTAAACTGGATGGTGGTCGGCTCGCACGCGTGCTTCTCCACGAGCTTGTCAAACGTGTCCGTCAGGTTGCTGGTCGTAAATGTCTTGACGGCCGACGCGACGAGCTTGCCATCGGCACCGGGAATGTGCTGATAGAATACGACAGAGGCCTCGGCCTTGTTGTCCTCGCCCAGCTCGTACACGAGCTCCTCCTTGGAAGCCGCAGGGCCGATGTGTGCCGTAGGCACCCAGATCTGGCGCTCGGGAATGACGTTGGTGGCAGCAGCGTCGGTGCTCGCTGGCTTCATGCTCACGCCGTAGACGGCGCCCTCCGCGACACGGATTTCCTTGACACGGAAGCTGGGACTGAGCTCGGCCGCACGGAAGCCGGCACCAAAAACGGCCGCTTCGTCGGCGTTGACGTTGGTGCGCAGCTTGCTGGAGCCGCCAAAGATCTGCTCGAGCTGCTTCTGCACAAACGGCGTGCGGGTTGCGCCGCCGTGCAAGATGACCGAGTCCAGATCGGCCACGGTAAGGCCAGCCATGCGCAGGGCGTCCTGCACGGCGGCGTTGACGCGCACAGCGTGCGCCTCGGCCATTGCCTCGAAATCGGCACGGCTGATCTTGTAGCGGAAGTCGATGTCGTTGTAAAGACCCTCGAAGCTCGCGGCCGTGTTGGTGTTGGCGCTCAGGACGTGGCGGACACGCTCGGCCTCTTTGGCAAGCTTAGCAATGGTGCGACCGTGGGCCTGCACCGACGCAGCCGTGATCGCCGCGGCCTGGGCGGCCTTGCTGTCCACAAACTGGGCCACCATGTCGTCGACGATGAGCGCATTCAAAGCGTCGCCGCCCAGCGTGCGGTCCCAGCCGCTGCCCAGCACGTCGACCTCCTGGACGGTCTTGTTGAACTTGCCCACGTCCTTGATGGAGCGGCTCTGGAAGCGCAAGACGGTGGCCTTGGTGGAGCCGGCGCCCATGTCAAAGACCATGTGCACCTCGGGCTTGCCGCCCTCCTGGACGCTGGGGAACTGGCGGCTGGTGGCGTAATTGAGGCCGACGGCGAGGCCGTCGCTGATGAGGGAGAGAACACGCAGGCCGGCGAGGTTGGCGGCGAGCTCGACGGCCCGCTTCTCGTCGGCGGTGTAAAACGGAGGCACAGTGATGACGGCGGCACGCACCGACGTGTCCGGACCAGCCAGCGCCTCCGCGTTGCGGCGGACGCTCTTGAGCTCCATCGCCAGCAGCTCCTCAACCATCCAGGCGTCTTCGCTGTCGACGAAGGCCCCGCTGCTCTTGAGTGCAACGGTCTGGCGGTCCTTGTATGCGGCCTCGAGCTTCAGAGCCGGGTGGCGAGCGGCGTATTCTTGGATCACAGCATTCGCGTCGTCGCTGCCGTCCATGGTCAGGCCAAGCAGGGCCTTGAGGTTGGGGAAGACGTCTCCGGGGAAGCGGGCCGCCAGGGCCATGGCATCGGAGCCGTATGCGCGCTCGGGGTAGACGCCGGCCTTGGCCCCGCCTTGTGGCGTCTTGAAAGCAACGGCGGAGATTTCTTTCCGCCGCGAGTCCTTGGTGAGGACAATGTCGAGGGGGATGCCGGGCTTGACGAGCGCCGCTTTGATGTATTCTGTACCGAGGTCGACACCGAGAACGGCCGACGCAGCGAGGGTGTGGCAGGCAAAGAGGAAGAGGCCCGCAAATGCGAGCCGCCAGGATATTGTGCGTCTTGCCATAGTAGTAGAGGGGCTGTGATGGACGGAGAGGAGGGAAGGTGTTGACAGACGCTGAACAGTGCGTTGGAGGCACAACGGGCTAGTCAAAGACGGCCAATGCAATGAGAGGAGGCCAAAAGAAGGCGAGCAAGCCCGGCCTTTGTCGTCGAACCTACAATGAAGAGGAACACAGACCCGAAATGAAAAACAAAAAAAGCAAAGAGAAGACGGAGGGAAAAAAGAGGCAATGCAAAAATAATAAAGAAAACGGGAATGAGGGAGGGTCCAGGTACAGTTGTCACGGTATGATCTGGCCTGTTTCCAGAAATATCCCGCCAACGATCGAGTGTGCTGTTTGCGCCGCGATCGAGGGTTGCGGTCTGACGTCGAGACAAAAGGACAGCGACAACCAGAGCAAAAGGACAGCTTGGAGGTCTTGGCCGTTGTGACAGCTGGGACCGTCCGATAAGCGTGGCAGGTGTGCGATAAGAAAAGACCCACATATTTTGCCAGCTGTTGCCAGCTGCCATATCCTCCGTTTTACTTCCGGGGCACCCAACAGCGAATAAAATCAGGAACCAGAGACCGCTACACGTCGCATTCGTCCAGATCTGTCGGTTGCTTGTTGTACACCGTACTGTGAGTAGGGAGACGGACCTGTTCCAGTGTCGCACAACATGCACAATACGAGAAGCCCAGCTTTTATGGTGTCGACTGGCCAGTCAGCGCGACTAACCATCGCAACGTGAGCATGCGTAGCAGGTAATTACGGAGTGCCTTTGCCAGCCCTTCTTTCTCACCCCTCCTTGCCGTGGCTTCAAACGGCAGGGGCCAATCCACCAGCGCGGAAAGAGCTTTGCACGACCAGCCGCCCCTCTATTTCTCATGCTTCATATGTCGTAGAAATATACGTCGTAATAGTGTTCCCTTCCAATGCAATATTCGGTATTACCCTGTCGGTGTCATTTTGACTCACAGTGCTTGCCTCTCTAGCGCCGAAAGCCGGCGTGTGTCAAATAATACACCAAGAGACCAAATACACCAAAGTGCACTCTAGTGGGCGCCAACACAAGCCGAACGGAAAAGTTTTGTTTTGGCCCGGCGCTCCTTCCTTGGCTGTTCAGTTGGATTTCGGCCTCTGGCTTCCGGCTTGCACTTTGCCTTCTCTTTCCTTTTGGCACCACAAAAGCAACTCGCTCTTTTGTGCCGACTGCAACCTCTTGCAATATCGACATCGACATCGTCGTTGTTCCGATCTACCACCCTCTCCCGACTCCTTTCCGCATATCCCCGGACCTCCTCCCTCTCTCCCAACCCCGCGGCTAGACACAATGTCTGGCCAATCCAACGGCGTGGCGGAGAAGACGCACACGGCATCGCAGCGGTATCTGTCGACCCGCGGCGAGGATGAGGATGTATGTTTTGCTTCCATCGTACGCTGCAGAGCGGTGTGCGCATGGCACCACCGCGTCGTTTGCCGCCCTTGCGTGTCGTCCATGACCAATTCGACGTTTGGCTAACACCCCTCCCCCCTTCAGCTCTCCTTCGAGGAGGTAGTCCTCCAGGGTCTCGGCTCCGACGGTGGCCTGTTCATCCCGCAGGACATCCCCAAGGCGGCCGACTGGCAAAGCTGGGCCGGCCTGTCGTTCCAGGAGCTGGCGTTCCGCATCATGTCTCTCTACATCTCCCCGTCCGAGATCCCACCAGCCGATCTGAAAGGTATCATCGACCGCAGCTACTCCACATTCCGCACCGAGGATGTCACGCCGCTCGTGCACATGAAGGACAACCTGTACCTGCTGGAGCTGTTCCACGGCCCCACGTTTGCGTTCAAAGACGTCGCGCTGCAGTTCCTCGGCAACCTGTTTGAGTACTTCCTTGTGCGGAAAAACGAGGGCAAGACGGGCCGCGACCGCCACCACTTGACTGTGGTGGGCGCCACATCGGGCGACACGGGCAGCGCGGCCATCTACGGCCTGCGAGGCAAGAAGGACGTGTCCGTGTTCATCCTGCACCCCAGGGGTCGCGTCAGCCCCATCCAGGAGGCCCAGATGACCACGGTGCCCGACAAGAACGTGCACAACCTCGCGGTGACGGGCACCTTTGACGACTGCCAGGACATTGTCAAGGCTCTGTTTGCCGACCCGGCGACCAACAAGGCCCTGCGTCTGGGCGCCGTCAACTCCATCAACTTTGCACGCATCCTCGCGCAGATCACCTACTACTTTTATGCGTACTTTAAGCTCACGCAGGGCCCGCTCGCCGCCGAGGGGTTCAAGGTCGGCGACAAGGTGCGCTTCGTCGTGCCCACGGGCAACTTTGGCGACGTCCTGGCGGGCTACTTTGCGCACCGCATGGGCCTGGTTGTCGACAAGCTTGTCATTGCCACCAACGAGAACGACATCCTCGACCGGTTCTGGAAGACGGGCCGCTACGAGAAGCACCCCCTCTCGCAGCGCGAGCAGCAGGCACAGCAGGCGGGCACGAACGGTGCCGGTGGTCTGGCCGTCGACGGCGCCAAGGCGCACGAGGACGGCGTCAAGGAGACGCTCAGTCCGGCGATGGACATCCTGGTGTCGAGCAACTTTGAGCGCCTGCTGTGGTTCCTGGCGTACGAGTTCGCGGCCGTCGCGGGCATGGACGACGCGTGGAACAAGAAGCAGGCCGGCCAGGAAGTCGCCACGTGGCTCAAGGACCTCAAGACCAAGGGCGGCTTTGGCCCCGTGTACAAGGACGTGCTCGAGACGGCGCGGCGGACGTTTGAGAGCGAGCGCGTCAGCGACGCGCAGACACTCGAGACCATCAAATCTGCGTACCGGAACGGCGCCGAGGGCTACATCCTCGACCCGCACACAGCCGTCGGTTTCACGGCAGCCGAGCGTTCGATCGGCCGCACCAGCCCCAGCGTGCCGCACGTGGCCCTGTCAACGGCGCACCCTGCCAAGTTTGCCGGCGCTGTCGTCACCGCTCTGAAGGACGAGGCCGGCTTTGACTTTGAGAAGCAGGTCCGCCCGGCCGAGTTCATTGGCCTCGAGGACAAGGAGCGCCGCGTTTCGACGGTGGCCAACGACTGGAAGGCTGTCAGTGCCCTGGTCCAGAAGCAGGTGGACGAGGAGCTGTCTGCTCCGTAAATCCTGTCATCTTCAACATTGACGGCTTTCTTTTTTTCTTTCCAGCATCCTTTTCCATCTTCATATCCTGCTCCCATTCCCCTATTCCCCCTTTTGATGCCGTTAATCTTCAACACAGATTCTTCTGTCGGGTACACTTTTTATTTGTTTATTCATTTTTGGACTTAGAACGGTGGATGAGGTTGCATAACGATACAGCGGATCCAAGCGCAACGAGAAGTTCGGCACTCGGTGCTTCCTTTCGTCGCGTTTGGGGATCGTATTTGCTTTTCTTTTCACGTTTTCTTGCATATATGGCTGGAGAGTCTGGCAAGTGCAAAACACTCATTGCTTGGCTAGATGCAATGAACTCCAAAATAAAGAGAGAGAGGAGAACCAATTAGGAGGGCGATGCCACTTGGCCACATGTTTTTGACTTTGTCTCTTTGAGGCCGACGGCGTGCATTATGCATGCAGAAAACGCCTCTTATCACATACTGCACCCTGGCTGCCCTGCTCACCATGATTTGTGCATATGAGACAGGGACGAACCGGAAGACGATAGAATGAATTTTCATCCAATCATACCATGCAGCTGTGTCCTGTGTCCTGTGTCCTGTGTCCTTGTTCTTTGAAATATAAGACCCTTTGGTAAATGGCGCCCTGTCACCGAAGCGGGCGCTGCTTCCGAAGATGTGGCAGCCGAACACACTAATGTGGCTGCTTGGCACCTTCCCCCCTCACGTCATTGTGCTCTCCAGTCTCTGTTATTGCTTGCGCCCCTCCTTCCTTGGCAGAATGCAGCAATGCGCCGCGGGGCCCCTGCAGCATGCAATAATACGCCTGGATGGTACAAACGGTGAAGCATGTGCGTGCTCAGAATGCGGTTGGCGGTGAGGGGGGGCAAGTGAGTACCAGTTGCTCTGTTTGTCCTTTTCAGCCGCTCGTTTTGTTCGTTTTCTACGTGTTTCTCGTCCTTTTCATTGCTCCTTCCCTGGCGGCACTTTTCTCTGTCTTCACACCTTCCTTCTCTTTTTGAGAAAACGACCCCGCGACCCCCACTGCCCATCACATGCCCCTCGCTGCTACCTTTCAATGCATCCTGCCACCTCCGTACACTGGTAATACAGGAAGGCGCAGGTGACGTATGGGATAGTCCATAGGGCACTTTGGAGCACACCTGCCAGAAATGTATGAGAAGGAAACTGCAACCATCACGCCAAGTCAGCCACTAGACATCCCGGGAAGGCCCAACCTGGCGCATTGCAGGCAGATAAAAAGATAAGGACAAAAGGACGAAAGAAGGTTTAGCGAGGAAGGCGGCGACGGCGGGTAGTGTCCACCCCCCACCAATTAGGGCCGACCAGCGCCCGCCAGCAACGTCGGTCTTGCCTTTCCCGTGCAGTGCCCCACTGTTTTCTGCACCGTTGCTTTGGAGCTATGCTGTGGAGAGTCCCTTCCCTTACACGCACGTTCACCCGTTTGTCTCTTCGCCCTGTTCTTCTCCTCTTTTACTCATCCACACCAACAGACAAAGAGCGCCAACCGTTGCAGCATCATCCATCCTCGGCCACCCCAGCACATTCCTTTCGGCAGGTCTTTCTGCAGGCGCGGCCCTTGTCTCGATGTGTTCGTGCGATGACACAGCTCAGCCTAGCCGGCCAAACAAGCTCAGCCTTAGCCCTGCAATACCAGCCGACTGTCTTCGGAATGGCTTTGCCTGACCAGTCACTAGCTGCCACTCCCAGCGAACAATGACGCTCTATCTAGTCTCTCGCTGCTGCAGGTGGGCGATCACAGCTTAGACGAGCTATCTTACGGCTGGCTCTGTCACTCCCCCGTGCTGTTGTCTCGTGCTCGTCTGTGCTCTTTGTCTGATCTCGGACCGTACGGGAGCTTCGATCCTATGCGCTCCTCACTTTCCCCCCTCATCTTGTCTCGTGTTCTGTTCCCTGCACCTGTTCCTCTTTTCTTTTATCTTTAATGTATTCTGTAACAACATACCTGTTTTTCTCGAACTGACGGCATCGCATCCTATCCCACACTGGCCAGCTCGCTGTAACCATGGCCGCCCATTTCACTCTTCCGAAGAGCCTCCTTCTTCCCCTGCTGGCAGCGACAGCTGCTACGCCGGCCATGGCGTTGGACATCACCGTGTGGTCCGCCGTCGCATTTATCATGTACGGCGAGCGCACGCCGCTGGTCGGGCCCACAAGCCCGGAGCTGACGCCGCTCGGCGCCCAGCAGATGTTCAGCCAGGGCACGGCGTTCCGCAATCGCTATGTGCTCCAGGGCACCGCGAACGCCAGCTCCGCCGCCGACTTCCCCGTCTACGGACTCGAGAGCAATGCGCTGGACACCAACCAGGTCACGGTGCTCAGCACAGGCGACAGCTACGTTGCCGCAGGCGCGCTCGCCTTTATGCAAGGGCTCTACCCGCCGCAGACCCACGACTACGCCTACGACAACGGCGGCCGGTCGGCGGCTGTGCTTGCGAACGGCGCCCTCGTCAACTTCCCGCTCGACGGCTACCAGTACCCGCTTGTCACCACCGCGTCGCTGCAGGATCCGGCCTCCTCGTGGATCCAGGGCAATCTGGCTTGCACCCTGTACCAGCAGTCGGCCATCGACTACCACAACAACAACGAAGCTGCGGCACTCTACAACGGCACGCTCGGCCTGTACCAGTCGCTGTGGCCCACGCTCTTCCAGACCGTGTTCTCCGAGACCAACACCAACTTTTACTTTGCCTACGAGCTCTACGACTACGCCGCGTACATGTACAACCACGATCCCCAGGTCGCCAACGCGCTCAATGCCTCCCTGCTCGAGGACCTGCGCATCTTTGCCTCCGCCCAGCAGCGCGACCTCAATGCCAACCTGACCGTCTCGGGCAAGTACACCGGCGACATGATCCGTGCCGTGACCGGCCGCATGCTTGCGCAGCAGGTCGTCAACTTTTTCCGTGGCAACATTCTCAACAGCGGTGCCAACAACAAGCTCAGCCTCATGTTCGGCTCCTTTGAGCCCTTTTTGGCCTTCTTCGCCCTGTCCGGCCTCCTGGGCGGAGACGATTTCGCCGTCTTCGAGTATCTCCCTGGCAACGGCGGCGCCATGGTCTTTGAGCTCTACTCCTTGTCGGCCAACGACTCGACCGTGGCCAACAACACCGTCTACCCGGGCCCGTCCGACCTGTTTGTGCGCTTCCTGTACGTGCCGGACACCGATGCCGACAGTAAGTTGACCTCGTACGATATTTTCAACAGCACCCAGGTCAACATCCCCTACTCGGCGTTTGCCAGCGCCATGCAGGGCATCGGCTTCGACTCGGTGGCCGTCTGGTGTGACACCTGCGATGGTGTGAGCGTGTTTTGCCCCGGCATGCTGGAGAATGCTGGCTACGGCGACAGCTGCAGCAGTGGCTCCGGGTCGTCGGGCGGTGGCAGCGGAGGCCTCCGGAGTCAGAGCGGTGGCATGGCGCCCGCCGTCGCAGGCGTCATCGGGGCGCTTGTGACGCTGGCCGTGGTTGGTTTGGCGATTCTGGCGGCCATGCTCCTGGGGGGCCTCCGCTTCTTCTTCGCGGGCGGCCGCCGCGGCAGCCACGGCGGCAACAATGGCACGGACAAGTCGGGCATCTTCAAGAAGCGCTTCAGTTTTGGCAGCGGCGGCTTCAAGGGCGGCGAGCGCAAGATGGCCGACGCCGATGTGGCCGTCTCCAAAACGGGCGTGGGCCACGAGCGCGTCGGCAGCTGGGAACTGCGCAATGGAAGCAGCGCCGGCAACAACACGGCGGCCGCAACGTCTGGTACCTCTGCAGCGGATGCAACGGATGTCGAGTCTGGCGAGCCTGCGACGCGCACAGAGCGCGTCCGGTCAACCATTGTCAACCGCGACCCCGGAGAGGACGATGACGGTATCATGGCCGACCTGGGACTCAACCCTGTCGACCCGCGGGAGCATATCTAAGTTCATTCCCGTCAAGATCTGGACACCCAATGGCCCCCATTTGGCATATCATGAAGCTTCCTTTCTTTTCCATATTTTTACTCGTCGAATCGTCTTATCACTCCGTCTTGGTATATACCCTCTCATTCTGGCTCTCTTTTTGATACCCATATTATTGTTGGACTTTTTATACCCCGGTGTTTTATTTGCTGGGTTTCGAACACACGCATACACCGACCACATCGTGGCAATCGTTACCATTTGGCTCTTATGAGGTATTTATGTCCGGACAGGAGTTTGGAATGGATGCTGTTTTTTCTGATTTTTGTTTATCGGAACAACTTGGGTTTCACCCGAGAGTTGTTTCTTTAGCTTGCTTTGACTGCCACAATCCTGTATTTTGAAGCCATTATCGTACCAGGTCACTGTCCTTGCAATGTCATACTACATTCATAATACGTTACATTCGTTCCAATAAAAGTTATTGTCGTCTCATCCTTGTATTCATTTCGTATCAATCGAGTATGGGGGTATTTTAACTTGCAGCAAATGGAAAGAAGTGGTAGAAAATGGGTGGCCCCTAGGGAGTGCAAGCGAGAAGAAAGGACAGAAATGAAAGAACAATAACGTCCAAAGCGAAAACAGAAAAACGCAAGGGTCATGTGCTGCTGTATATGTGCTGCCAAGTGCCACTTATGCGGCGAGAGTCGGCTGGATGCCAGCTTCCTTTTCCTCGGCCTTGCACGCATTTTCAAGATACTTGAGCCAGACCCCAGGTTCAGCGGCGTGAGACAGTTTCAGGTGCTGGCCAAACATGTCCTCGCGGTAGAACTTCTTGCCACTGGCCTTGCAGTCATGCAGCTTATGGTCCACCTCGATATGCAATGTCAGGGCCTGGTCATGGGCGGTCTTGTCGTTGGCGCCGGCCACACTGTCTCCACCACTGTTCGACGACAGTGACGCCGGCCGCTGGAACTGGCGACCACAGAAGCCACAGACATCGTACGTGGTTGTGCCGTCGCTCACCCGTTGGAATGCCAGCAAGGGCGTCGCGAGGCGGCGGCACGACCAAGAGAACGGCCGCAGGTGAATGGTGGTGATGTGGCGCTCGGCTTCGTTCATGCGGCTGAACCGGCGGCCGCAGAACGCACAAATGTGTGGCTTCTTCGTCTGGTGCACCTTGAGCTCTTCCATCGTGTTGAAGCGCTGCGGACGTTTCGGGCAACACGTGCAGACCAGCTGCCCTTCGTCGTCATTAACGGCCATGCCACTATCCGCGGCACCGCTGGTATTGTCATCGCCGCTGGGTGCTACCACATTTATAGCCGTTGCGGTGCTTCCGACGCTGCTGCACCCGCTTTCGGAGACGATCGAACCGGCCTTTCCATGCGACACGGTGGCGCCGTTGCCTGGCTTCGATGGGAGCGGCAGAGAAGTAACGGGAGTCGCTGCAAGAGTACCGGGATTGAAGGACGGGAACGAGGCTGCAGACAATCGGCTTGGGAGCGATCCGATGCTGCTGCGTCGCTCGGTCATCAGCAGGGACGTGCGCGGCGACGACGCGGACGACATCGGGCCGACGGACGATGGCGGGCTGATCACGCCCGTTGTAGACCGAGGCGCCGATAAGGAGCTTGCAAAGCTCGTCGTTGAAGAATTGGGGCTGGAGTACGCCGAATACGATTCGGATTTGATACCACGGAGTCTCCGCAATGGCAACACCGCATCGGAGCCCTCCATATTGACATCGCCTCCTGCACCTGTCCCACCGTCAACCTGGCCCATGTCGAAATCCAGTGATCCGATGTTGAGTAGACGTGTCAGGAACTGGTATGACGACTTGATGCCCTCATCCGACCAGATATTGACCGCGCAGGCAGAGCGACCGGCGGCGAAATATCGATCCGGAACAAACATGTCGGATGGCGCCCCGTCCTCTTCGGCCAGAAGCGATTGCTGGAGCTGTAGCCCGCCGCTGCTGGACACGAGCGGGTCGTATTGGAACGAAACCGCAATGAAGAGAACCGTCACGAGATGGAGGTACTGGCTGCTGTAGAGGACGTCGGCGTCGTCCGAGTCGGGGTACAGCAATTGTTGTTCGATGACAAGCAGGGCACGGCGAACGTACGCCTGTATGCACAAACTGTAAAATGTCGAAAGCCACCACCGGCGGTCACGCAAGTTGACTTTGCGGAACATGAGCAGTGACAGCTCTTCGATGTACGTGTCGATGCAGTTGGCCAGCTCCCGGAGGCAGTTGATACTGCAGCGGTCACTCTGGCAGGTGCTGTGAAGGCGAGCATCGAGGATATGAGCCGAGTTCAGTCGTAAAGCATCGAGGCAGTTGCGAAGACACACCAAGGACAGGGACACCATGGGAGACTACAACAAAAAAGAAAAGGAAGAAAGAGACGTTAGTAATGACAGCAGGCACAGCAACCCACATTATCCAATTTTGCGTCGTCTTACCTTTCCGACTTCCACTTCATAGAGGCATGCTGTTTCCAAGAGCATCATGAAGCTCTCAACCGACTCGATCTCCAATACGTTGAGGCACTCGCTGTTGTCGGCCAGCTCCCAGGCGATGCTCGAGATGAGATCTGAGTAGGTCGAGGACGTCTCATGAGCCTGGCAGGTAACATTGAGAGACTCATTCGCTCTGTACCGGCCATTGCGAATGGACTGTGAGAAGTGCTGTGCGGCAACAGAGTGGCCATGCGTGCGCAGAAAAAGGGCCGGGTTGTCTAGGACAAGTTTGTTGTCGGACAAGCACTGCATCTCGGCTTCACGGAAGCAATGCGACACGACGTCGGGTTGTCCCGGTGGCGGGCCGCCTGTCAGGTCGTCGACGACGTTCTCTGCCGCCAGGATGGCTGGCATCTTATGAGAGCAAGAGGCAAGAAGGGAACGGGACTTGGTGCAAAGCACCTGTGGTGGCATTGCTTCGCGCAGGTTACCGCGCCGACAGCCAATCAGTGGCCACGGAGGGGCGTCTTCGCGGAGATCGGGAGCAGGGCAATTCTTACATGGAATGCCTGGGTCGCATTTTCGGCGCAGAATCTTGCATCGCCAACACGCACCACCTGCCCATTCCAGGTCCTTGATGTCTTTGCGGCTTTTTGCACTGAGAGGACCCCGGCGGCCTCGTGGTCGCCGTGACGATATGCCGGAATGAAAAATACTCCAGCTGCTCGACAGGCGGTCACCAAGCGACGGCGTGTCTTGGTGGGTTTTGTCGTCTTCGCCAGGGACCCCTTGTCCAGGCAGAGCCAGAGATGACACAACGGAGGCAGCAGCACTGCTGTCATTGCTCAGCCGCCGGGCCGGCGGGGGCGTGAGGCCAACAGACAGCCCGACTGTGTTCGTGTCTTGTTGCAGAAGGGGGAAAATGACGGGCGGGGTGATCGTAGGCCGTTTTTGGGGGCTGCCATCGCTGCCTGCCGGCCGTGGGCCGCGAGACGAAGGTACGGTAGGCGTCGCAGGTGGCGCTGCGGCGGAGGCCGGCGAGGCGGGAGGTGCGGAGTGTATGTCGCTCGCGAAAGTCGGTGTCGGCTGGGGGACCAGTTGTGATGGTACGGTCGGTGGTTGCGAAACAATGGCCGGAGTTGATTCGTAGTTTACAGGCCCAAAAACTGACGATCTCCAGATCGCCGCCTTCCGTTGCACAGGATCGTAACTGTAGCTGAGCTTGAACTTCAGAGCCAGACGGTGTAGCACAGCTTCTTTGGCCGCATCGCAGCTGTCGAATGTCAGCTTGTCACCTGCGAGGTGACTGCCGCGCGAAAAGATGAGCAAATCATCGTACAGCTCCAGCGTCGCAGGCTCGTTGAGGTCCAGGCCAGCGGCGGGTGCCAGCTGCGCACCGGAAGGCTGGGCGGCAGCTGGGGATGGGAGAACCGATGGGCCCTGGTGAGTGTTCTGTTGAACACTCGTGGTGTGGACTTGGTTTGAGAGCACAGCCGCTGTTTCGTCGTCCGGGAAGAGGAAGTCGTCGGGCCCCATTATCTTGCCAGTTTTGTTCAGGTCGGGGTCTGCAAAGTTGGATGGCAACGAGCTGATCTCAAACGACGGAACCGAAGCTTGGCTGCTAGAGAATGACTGCGTGTGCTGTAATTGTTGAAATTCGTGCTGCTGCTGCTGTTGCTGAGGCTGTTGCTGCTGTTGATGTTGCTGCTGCAAGGGCAGCTGGTCGCGCAAGGCTAGCTGATGCTGATGCTGTTGCTGACGCTGCTGGCTCTGGGGTTGCTGAGGTAGAGGACGATGGGGGGGCTGCATCTGTTGTAGTTGATGTAGCTGTTGATGGTGGGGCTGGTGGTGATGCTGGTGGCTCAGGTTCTGGTGCTGCGACGGTATCGTTGGCGACATCTGAGCCAGCGCAGGTGTCTGCGGCTGGTGCGAGGTGTTGACAGTCTGGTGAGGCGGCGGCGCGTCCCAAGAGCTCACCCAAGACGCGAGTTCAGGGTCATAGTCCAGGTCCATCGGATCTTGAGACCAGACCGCGTACGTGTCGTCGCCGGCAAACGATCGATGGGATGCGGTACCGTCCGGCGCCACCAGGCCACCGGCGTCTGTGCCAGGCGGCTGCATACCGTGTTGGTGTTGTTGCTCAAAGACGTAGAACGACAGGTCGGAACCGGTCGGATGTGCTGTGCCGTCCTGTTGTGGCTGCTGCGGCACATGGAGCCCCAAGGCATCCCGAATAGCGGACGCCGACTCTGCGGACGGGTCCATTGGCATATCCATGGTGAATTGCGACGTCGGCGAGCGCTCAAGGCATAGGTGTGCTGTCTGCGTCGCTGCTTGTTGCCTCTTGGTCGTGTGGCTGCTTCTGACGTCGAGATGGTTCGTTGTGGTTCTGGCCTGATTGGATGTTCCTCCGAAACACTGACACACGTCAACCGGGCCGCGGCTGTTATCGTAAATGCAGCGCTCGCTCGCAAGGGAAGCAAAGAGTGTGGCTGTTCCTCTTTCTCGCCCTGCCTTGTATGCCGTCGGTTGTCTGCTCGATCGACCCCCCGTCGTCTCGTTTGCCTTGGTCTCTGTACTGCGGTAAATGGGGGAAGCGGCCGCCGATGGACGCTGCAGGCGCAAATCAGGCGTGGCTTGACATTTGGCCTGATCACGGGTTTGCCAGAGCTCGGCAGCCAGGGGCTAGCGGTCGATGAGAAGCAGGCGTCGCAGGTTGCGCGTGGATGGTCAACGAAATCATTCAATGTGCATCTATGTTGAAAAGGTCAGGTAGCTTCAGTTAATAAAGTACGCGGGACGATGCATTTGTTTCTCGTTTCGACTTTTTTACTGCTAGGGAAGGGGGGGCCGTGGGCCTGGGGTGGTATAGGCCTCGTTTCCTCATTGCCCTCGCAACAAGCTCTTGTCCTTGGCTCCTTCCATCATCCATTTTCCCATTCGCTCTCTCTTTCCCTCCTCCTACCCAATTTTTTTACCAGTCGGCAGGTGCCAGCCAACCACAATAACACACAGAGGAAGGCGCATGCGTGACGTTCTGAGCAAGGGGCAGGAGCGAGCGTACAACCAAGTCAGCCACCTATCTGTGCCAACCCGCCAACTTACCGGGGTGTGCCTTGCTTGTTTGCTCCCACCAGCTTTTGTATGGAGATATGTTCGCAGTGCCTAGGTTCCCAATGTGAAAAACTGCCCTGCCTCCTACCTGCCCACGCTGCCCCCTCGTATCCCTGCAAGCTGCAAAGTAAAAACTACAACGGTGGCCGTTCCTGTGGTGAAAATGGGGACGTGCGACAAATGCCTGAGAGTCCAGGAAGGTAAGAAGGGGGAGTGGGGCAGTGTTCGCACAAGGCAACCAATGGTGCCGTTAGCAGCATGAACACCCGGTCTGCCGGTGCGGTCCTCCCCATTTGGGAAGAGCAGGCAGACAAGAAAAACAGGTGAGAGGCATGAGCGAAGCATGGGAAGGAGCGAGAGATATCCCATGAACAGTCACAACAGAGCGGGAAAGAACCAACCTCGTAAAGCGGCAGCAAGAATCAGGATAAAGTGGCAGAGGAAAGAGCGGAGAGGAGAGAGGGTCAAAACGCATGTGAGCCTACCTCTTTCCTGCTTGCCGGGAATGCGTCTTGCCAAGGATAAACAACTAGCCGACCGCCTCTCCCCACGTCGCTTCCTCTTTCGGCAATGGTCCGCGGACAGATGGCGTGATGAGTGGACAGAGCTCCAAGATGCGTAGGACATAGCATGCGATCCTCCTAAATACGATGCCCAGCATAAACAGCACAGAGTATACGACATGCTTGTCAATACGATGCCGTGACCTCGATACGACTGCGATGTACGACGTACGGAGTACGACGATACGTATTAAGTATGGTTTTGCCTTTGATATTTTCCACGTGGCAAAGCGTGGCTGTGGGTCGTCGACCTGTTTGAAAGGGAAAAAGGACAAAGCGAGCTACTGGTAAAAGGTACATCCGTACTTAAGTGTTCATTGATATTACTGACTAGAATTGGTAGACGGGAAAAGAATAGAAAAGAAAATGCATCGAACCGCCGACAACGCCATGCTCGCTCGCTTCCATTACCATGCTGCGCCCCAAACCCATCAAAGTGAACCTCCCGGAAAATAAGAGGGAAAGAAAATACCGAAAGAGCAAATGGAAAAGGGCCGACTCAGTTGTCTCGCAGAGGCAGCGAACCGCCCGGCCGCATCACACGTCCGCCGCCGCCAGCATTGACACCGCCGACACCCATTGACCGCTTCATCATAGCACGTAGCTGCTGCTGCTTCCGCTCGAGGGGACCGCCCGCCGTGCTGGCCAGGCCGATTGGACCGGCGGCAGCATTGTTGCCAGTGCTGCCGCTGCTACCGTTGCCGGCAGCACGCACCTCTCGGCTGTCCCGCTTCAGCGTGGCAAAGGGACTGACGGTGCCTTCCCGCAGCCATTGCTGTAGGCTCGGCTGTGCGCGCGTCGGGTTGTTTGTGGTGGTGTTGGAGCGGTTTAGTGTGTTGGTCATGGTCGAGGTGCCCGTGGCGTAGATGGACGGGGAGACCACCGGCTGCTGCGGCTGCTCTTGTTGAGACGCTGGCACAGCGTTGTTGGCCGGCCCCGTTTCGCCCGTTGGTGTCTTTGGGAAGAGGGAGAAGGACGAGCGTCCATTGATGCTGTTGTTGTTGCCGTTGTTGTTTGCTCCACCGCTGCCTTTCCGTCCGAATGGCCCTTGCGGTAGGCCGCCGGCCATGCTGATACTGCTGCCACTGCCCGATCCAAAGGCGCCAAAACCAAAGCCAGCACCGACATCAGCACCAGCAGTTGCACCTGCACCTGCACCTGCGCCAGGTTTGTTGGTCGTACCAGCGCTTCCGCCCAACATGCCTCGTATGTACGCTGCTTCAGGACGCTTCTCGTCGAAGCCGTCGCCCTCTGCGTTGGCGCCCGTCATAGACGGCCGCGGTGGGTCTTTGAGATCGATTGGGTAGCCATAGGTGCCCCGGTTGCCGCCGTCGCCATCACCGTCGCCTCCCTGCTGTTTGGGGTACCCAATTTCACCGCGTGTGGCAATGAGGCGCGTCCGGCGGCGTTTCCGGTTCGACTTGTAGCGCAAGACGAGGTAGAAGGCGAGAATGGTCAACAGCGATGAGCCGACAAAGGCGCCGACAATGGCCAAGGCCGCCTGCGTCACCGACACGGCCGTGCCTTGCGCTTGCTGCACTTGCGTGGCGGCATCGGCGCGCGCAATGGTCGCGTCCGCTTGCGCCGACTGCACCTGCGACGCAGCCGCCTTGGCAAGGCTGGCCGCGCTGACGCTGGCGGCAGCGATGATGGCCGACGCGCTGCTGGTAAGGCTGGCCATGTTGGATGCGATGGCGGCGTTGGCGCTGCTCTCGGCGCTCGAAATGGCACTGGAGACGGCCTGCGAGGCAGACTGCGAGGCCTGCCGGGACGCGTCCTGTGCAGACTGGGCCGACTGCTGGGCCTGCTGGACCGAGTTTTGCAGCTGGTTGATGGATTGCGAGAGGCGGTCGGTGGACTGCGAGAGCTGGGTGACTTGCTGGGCGAGCTGCTGTGACGTCTGCGAGACGGAGCGGCTGGCCTGGCTGATGGACGACGCGACGAGGGAGATGGACTGGATCTGGGCACTCAGAGCCTGGATCTGACCGCTGTTGTCCTGGCGGCGGGCCAGCGCCGGTGGTGGTGTTTGCCGCGGCTGGCGTGCGGCATTGGCGGGTGCTGCATGGTCTCTTTCTGCTTCTCCCTGCGCTCTGCGCATCTCGTCCCTCTTTACAGCCGCCTGCAGCATCTGCTGTATCTGCTCGTCGGCGTCGGCGGCCATGATGTTCGGTTCGGCAGCAGCCGCGGCTAGCGGCGCTGCCAGTCGGCGAAAGAGCTCGACCACGTTGTCGCCACTGCCACCGTCACTGCCGCCATCACTGGGTCCTGGTATCCTTGGTGCTACCAGGGCTTTGCTAGTGCTTGTATTTATGTCGAGTCCCCCATTTGCCCGTGCAGGACCAGCTGCTGCTGCGAGAAGCAGTGGCAGCCAAACTGCAGCTGGCCACCACCGCATGTGGCACTTTTGTCTCGCCATTCCAAGTATGGAGGTCGTATTAAGAGTGTGTACGCTGAGATTCGTAGATATAAAACGCAGCGGTGATGTAGAGTGATAAGGGTATCATAAACAAAAGGCATGCAAGCAAGGAATCATCGTCCTTGGTGACTAAAGTGATGATAGGAAAGTCCGAAAAAGCTCGGGAGGCAAGAAAATCAAGTAAATAGGCAAAAAGAGAGAAAAGGAAACAAAAAAACAAAACCCGTGGGAGAAAAGAGATGGGGGAACAAGAAGTAAAAAGGAAAAGTGGACAAAGACAGAAAGAGAGAGATCCGGGTTAGAAGGCTTGTAAGACGTACTAGAGGATGAAATAAGATGGACATATCGGTTTCCATTTGCCTTTTCCGGGCATCGTGAGCCAAACAATTCATGCAATCGTCGACCTGTCTCTTCTACAAATGGCAAACCAGGGTGCCGGCGAGGTTGCCTCCGGAAAGACGGAGAGTATGGGAAGGAGTCACAGTAACCCAAGCAAAGCATGAAAACGGTTGAGATTGTCAAGTCGGTCGAGACACCTGTAACCACCTGCGGTCGATGGGGCCAAGCAATCCATCTTTTCTCTTCGAGTTTCCCCGTCTGGTACTTTCCAAATGGCTCCATCGTCCGCGTATTTGGACCCTACACGTCGTGAGGGACATTGGGCGATCACGTCGTATGACCTGCGATGGATACCGAGGAGACAGAGAATAAGGCAGAGAGAAAACGTTCTTCATACGGTCAAGCCAATGAGATGCAATATGGCCCAATTCGTCTCCATGGAAGACATGCGTCCGCCCCCGTAACCTGTCAACCCGGGGTTTGGAACGTCTCATCGCTGGCCATCCCCCTTGTCGCTGTCTTTATCTATTTTGCAATCGAACTACCTTGTGCTCTGGATCCAAAGCGGAAAGTATGCGACGCGATGCCCGTTGCAACAATCAGAGGCAGAACAAGTAGGGATTTCGGCGCACATCGTTCAGCACTCCCCGTTCTCGAGAGTGATACTCTGAAACAATGACAGCTTTCTAGCAGCGAAAGGGAAGGGGGGAGACAGGCATCACGGTAGGAGTAGACAGGGGACAGGACAGGTAACAAATGCAAGCCATACGACGTACTAGAGTTGCAAAGGTTAGATACAAAAGAGAAACAGTAGAAATATCTTTGATTTCAATACCGCCCTTCGGAATCGTTCGTCTTGGTATATAACCATTCTTGTACGCCGTACAGCCGTTTTCTTTCCCAGGTTTGCAGACAAATGTTTGTTTCGTGATGTACTGCCTAAAGTGAGACTCGCCATCCACGCCAAACACCAGAACAGACGACAAACGGGACATTTTAGACAAGGTCTAAAGATCGTTGCTTCCAAGTCCAAAAAAACCGACATCAACGGGTAAAGAGGGCTTGTCGTAATGCTCGGCGCCGTCTACCTGGTCGACGCCATCACCAAAATAGTGACACTAGAATTCATCGCGAGGTTGTATTCAGTGCCCAAATCCACCAACTGTCCCGTTTCTGCCCTGTGGCATTTCCATTATGCGTTTGACATTTTCCTGTCAAAATCTGGCGATCTAAACGGCCGGGAGAGACAGGAACAAAAAGTGCGCGAGGAGCGATGTCGGATAGAGCGAGGATCGCCCGTCTCAAACCCGCCTGAGACTCGCCCAGAAATCGCCCAAAACCATGCGACAAGACCGTCTTTCATTTATGCGTTTTGCACTGCCAGACCCTGCCACCGTCCTCTCAGTGTCAGTATGTCGGTCTTGTCCCTTGTGTTGCTTATGCCACGTATTTCACCACGCAAATAAATACTAAATTAAAATAACGCAACTCAAAATCGTCGAGCTCGACATGGATACAAAACCAGAAACAACAGTAACGCCGTAGATAATACCGTACCACATAAAACCCCCGGCTCTTCCAGCAGAGGGCTGGGGGCTGAGAGCCGAAAGCTGCATTACGCATGCGCGCGCAGCATGCCGCCATGCTTCTTCTTCATATTCGTCTTCTGCTTCTTTTCTTTTTGTCTTCCACGTCCACGCAGGCATGCTAAAAGAGGTACGTTGGTCCCTACTTTCCACATACCGCTCTCCTCATCGCCGTAACCAACATCCAAACAAGAGACATAGAGAGGCACCTTTTTCGGCACGGCTCCATACTCTCCTCTCCCATTCTCCCATGGTCCATTCTTGTCCTATCATCAAACTCTTCTTCTCCATCCACCCCGGCGTCCTCATTCGAGTTCATCCACCACGCGACCTCGCTGCCAGCCGGCTTGGCCACGCGAGACGCTTAGACGGGCAGCTTGAACTTCTTGCCCTTGAACACCTTCTGGTAGTAGATCCAGAAGAAGTCGCTGTACAGGATCGTCTGGATCACGCCTGCCACAATGGCAATCCAGTCCACCTTGTGATGGGGCTCCGTCACGTAGCGGTACACCCAGTTGGGAATGTAGAGCGCGCGGTACAGCCCCAGGGCAAAGATGTAGTGGGTCGTGATGGTCTCGGCCTCGCCTGTGCGCTGCAGCATAAACAGCTGCGGCAGGATGGCGACGGCTTCCAGCCAGATGGAAAAGGCCCAGAGGATCTCGGACACGGTGTACTTGTACGGCACGAGGATGCCCAGCACCGCGGCGCCGCCCAACAGGTACTCCACGCGGAAGGTGTCGAGGTTGGGGTCGTTGGTGGGCTTGTAGGACGTCGTCATGAGGTAGAGGATGTAGCCCTGGGATGCAATGAAGAGGACCTTGAAGATGAAGTTGTATGCGCTCTCGGTCGAGAAGAGGTCTGCCGCGGTCGGTTAGCAGGGGCCGCCGGCGGTCGGTCGCCGCTGCGAAAGGGAAGAGACGTACCAAGGTATCTTGTAATGTAGACGATAAAGTAGAGAATTTGTGACTTGAACGAGATGCCCGAACAGCTCTATCCCAGTCAGCTGCCAATCTACGTGCGATCGATGCCACCTTCTCTCAACGTACCTTGAGCTGGATCATCTTGTGCAGTAAAATGCCAATCGACACCAAATGGGACAAGTCCCCTGCAGCTGCTGTTAGCCCATGTGCTCTCCGCCTCCTGCCATCGGCTCTATTTCTGTCATGGATCTTCGCTCCCGCCGTCGTTACGTACCAAACACGCGAAAAACATTCAACCCCATCGTGGCGCCCTTGTCTCTCGGTCCGCTGCACTTGGCAGGATAGGAGGCGCAGCGGCGCGGAAGGCCCAGTAAACAGTCCCAAACGGGGGCAAAGCAAATGAGCTGCTGTCGTCGCCGGTAGTCGTCGTTGGTATCACCGCTGTCGTCCAATCGTCGATGCAGCTGTTAGCTGTGCCGGTTTGGTTTTGCGTCAGGGGAACGTGCGGGAGCCGGATTCGTGGAAAGGATGCGCAGGTTCGCAAACGCGCGTATCGTCGGGATCAAAGGCGAGGAGAAAGGAGCGAGAATCCGTCGAATGCAGCGATTGAATGACAACGACTGCCGAGTGTTATCTGTCCCCTTGTGGAAAGTGGAAAAGTGGTGGATTGTTCTTGCCGAAATGAGAGCAGAGTGCAGCCCGCGCCGGGAGGTGCAAAAGGGAAAGGACACGAACGCGATTTGCTCCTTATTGGCTGCATGGCCCACCGAGAGAGATGAGAGAGAGCTGTCCCGCGTTGTGGCCTCTAGCGCGTTATGCCCACTGAAGGTGCCGAGTGGATCGCCGCCACAGCGGCACACAGTGAGCAACGGCCGCCCTTGTGTGGCAACAAATCTCAGCTAGCCGTCCGCCACAAGTACCCCTTCTACCAAAAACTGCTACAAGGTACTTCGGCTACTGCTCACCAAGGCGAGAGGCGGTCCGCCAAATCTTCCGCTTCTGGACGTTTCCTTGGCCCCCGCCATAGGCCCCAAGCTAGCGCCTTCCCGTCGTTGTCATTCAACATTACCAAGCAGGCGCACCAAGGCTAGGCGGCCGAGGCGTTGCGCCAGACGCTCACGGAAGCTTCGACGACATCCCATAAGACGCTCCTGCCCGCCTTGTTGCCCTCCCTACGGGGGCCCTGTGATAACAAAACAAATATCTACGGGGCCAACGGCCAGTTGCAACGACTTTTCCACTTGCTCCGCAATTATACTCTTCCGACTGTCTTTTTCTTTCTCAGCTGGCCATATCTTTACTACGTCATCCTACTCTGTGTACAAGATAAACATAGCGTACAGACAACCGCCACACGTCACCATGCCGGCAGACGAAATAACAGACGCTGCCTCTCCGGCCGACGATGACTACGTCGAGATTGTCGTCACCCATGGCAAGAAGTCGTACACGTTCCACATGCCGTCCCAGGCCACCGTCGAAGACATAGTGCTCCTTTGCGAGATCGAGTTGCAGGGCCAGGCGGCGGACGGCGAGCCAGCCACGCACTACACCGTCACAAGACTGATTGCACCGCCGCCCGTCGGCTTGATCAATGTGACAAAAGACGGAAACAATGTCCTGTCCGACTACATTGCTCGCCTCGCGGCTGCGGGACGCCGTTCGACCAAAACACAGCAGCAGCAGCAGCAGCAACCGCCCAACCAGCTGAAACTCATTCTCATGGCCACGCCGTCCAGCGCCATCCGGAACGTGCGTGAGGCCAGTGAAGAGGCCAGGCGGCGCATCTCCCGCATGTCCCTCCTGCGGCAGCGTGCTGTTCCCGCGAAGCGGACTGCACGACAGGGCGTGCAGACCGTCTCCGGCGCCAGCTCCTACACGTTTTCCGACATCAAGCCGCTGCCCCACCTCCCCGACCCGGACCGCTCGCTTGCCTACCTCCATCGCCTGCGCGACGACCCAGGCATCCGCCATGTCATGCAGACGCACCAGTTCCGCGTCGGCCTGCTGACGGAGATGGATCCCCGCCTCTACACCGAGGCGAACCACGAGGGCACGTCGCGCACGCTGGGCCTCAACCGCAACCACGGCCAGGTCATTGAGCTGCGGCTTCGGACCGACGACTTCACCGGCTACCGCGACTACAAGACGGTGCGCAAGACGCTGTGCCACGAGCTGGCGCACAACGTGCACGGCCCGCACGACAAGCACTTTTGGGCGCTGTACCGGGAACTGGAGCGGGAGGTGGAGCGCGTGGCCGACAGCCGGGGTGGCCGCGCCGGCGGGCGGACGCTGGCGGGCGGCCGTGACGGAGACTTCTACGAGCCGCCGACGGCCTCGTCGGACGACGACCAAGAACACGACCACGTCGATGCTGGTGGTTTAATCGGTGGAACCTTTGTGCTGGGCGGCGCTGAATCCAGCGATCTGGGAACGTCGACGGCGACAACGACCGGGCCTGTCGATGGCATTGCCGTCCCGCCTGCGATGGGCGACCGCGAACGGCGTGCGCACGCGGCGGAAGCGCGGCTTCGGCGGGGCACCGCCGGCGAGGGCGGTGCTGCCGGCAACGACACTACGGGCAATGATGGCTCTGGCCAGTCCGCTCGCCAGTAGCAGGTGGCTGATGCTTTTCACTTTCCTTTCTTTTTCTTCAGCCTGTATTTTGGCCTTTATGGCATGGCCTGGCATGGCATCTGTTGACTCTGCATTGCGAGGGCGTTTTGAGGGTATCTGTTGTTTTTGTATGGTTTGGTTTGCTGGTTGTTTATTATTATTTACTAGAGATGCATTTTTATGACAGCATTGCATTTGATGCATTTGATGCATTTGAATATACTGTTGCGCATCGCACCACTGCTAGAAAGCAATTGCACAAGGGGAACCTCATGATAGTGAACTTGTAAACTTGTTCGTTGCTTTTGGCCCTTCCATTCGGCGTGTCTGCACATTCAAAAGGGTATCTAACACCAAAATGTAGCGAGAGCACGAACAACACGCTCGTCCCATCACAAAGCGTGACTTCTAAAGAGAGCTCAGGTAGTTTCGACAGAAATAGCCCTGTCGGCAGTAGCCCCATACCCAAACGCCATGTATGCAAAAACATTATGCTGAATAACATGACGAACTACATGAACCAAAAAATAAAGGTAGGCCGTCCGGTAACGCCGTCGTAGGTTGCAGGAAAAGCAAAGAATATAAAAGAAATATGTCCTGGTCGGAAAACGTAGGTCGACGAACAGTTCGTGGTCGCAGTAGGACGTATGTCGATGATGTACGAGCGTAAACGATGCTCAGCGGCTGAAAATGCCGCCGTGGTATCCGCGCTTCGTCTGTGCGGCGTCCTTTTCAGACGAAGCGGCTTCCTCGGCCGTGGCATTGATGTGCGCCTGCTTCGTATGTGGCGGGTTCTTGACCCATTCCTTGGCTTCGTGGTTCCATGTATGTCTGGTTGGTTAGCAGGATGCATTTGGCGTTTGTGTTTGTCTGTGTGTGTGCGTATGCGTGTGTGTGTGTGTGTGTGTATGGCACATACCCCTCCCATTGCGTAGCGACGAGGCTCTTGGAGCCATATTCGTCGGTCAGGATCTTGTCGAAGCTGTACGGGATCGTCGCCGGCACGCCTTCAAACTCGGTCTCGCGCATGGGGTACAGCTCGCGCGTCCGATAGCGGTGGAAGTTTTTGCAGCTCCAGATGCCCGGGCTGCGCTTCGGCTCGCGCTCGGCCAGGCCGGTGATGTCGATGAACATGCCGTTTGACGTGTCGATCCAGCGCGCGTCGATGATGTTGAGGCCGTCGCCGCGGGGCAGGCCGTGGTTGGGGTTGATGTCCAGCAGGTACTCCTTGACGACGTCCTCGCCCGTGGCGTCGTCGCGGTAGCGGTACGTGTGCAGGGTGCGGTTGTAGTGCTTTGCCAGATAAAAGAGCGTCACGTCCGACACCTGGACGTCCAGGTCGTAGTCCCAGGGCATGATCCGGCCGTTCCACCACCAGCCGAGCAGCGTGCCGTGGGCCAGCCAGGTCTCGACGTTGAGCGAACGGAACGTGGTCAGGTACGAGCGGATCAGATGGCGGAGGGCGGGGCGGTGTTCGCCGTAGGGGACGAGGCCCTTGAAATAGCGAATGTCGTAGTGGCCGAGCTCGTTGTCGCTGCCCGGCTCATGGAAGTACTTGTCGCCTTTGACGGGGCGGTTGGGCGGTCGTCTCTTTGCGAGGCGTGGTGATGCAGGTGGCTTCGCCAATGGCTGCTTCGCGGCGGCGGTGGTTGCTGAAGTCGGGCCGGGTACAGTAGCTGCAGCAACGCGTGCTGGTGACTCTGTTGTCGCGAGCACAGCGCAAAACAAAAACGAGGCGACCAGGAGAAAGATATGCCGCAGGGAGGTCATGGTGGGCGACATATGGGCGAGAAACGCAGTTCAACGAAACATGGAAGCAGACATGAATGGCGCACTAGATATGTCGTCCAGGCTCGTGGGACACAAAAGAGTCACGATATAATTTGTAGAGGAAACGCCGGGGTGTGTTCTGCTCAGCTGGATCTCGTCTGGGTCGGAGATCTGCAAAGCCGAATCGCAAGCCGAAATCCGTGACTGAGAGGATGAAATGACAAACAACAAACGAAGTCAAGAAGACAAGAGAATGGAAAAGAAAGAGAGGCAAGCCAAGGAGTGTCGAAAATAAACAATATGTGAAAAAAGGAGAACACAAAACAGACCCAGCCCGCCTCCGAGGCTGGGCGATGGTTGGTTCTTTGTACGTCTATGGTCGGTCGTTCAACTCAGGGACAGAGCATCAAGCGAAACGAGAAGCGAGAGTGAGGACACGAAATATGGGCCAAACTACGTAACTACTTATTACGCCGCCCCTTACGAGGCATGGCAAGAGCGGCCAAGACAACGCGGAAGGCGGCCCTGGGTTGTGTATGGACAGGAAGGTGCAAACGTACACATACCCCGAAAGTGAGAGGCATGCTTGGTGCAAGTACAACTCACCGTGCGAGGAAGCTGACAGAGACTTTTCAGACGAGCAAATGCCCATCGGTTCTGAAAACAGAGTTCTGATGACGGGACTTGGACAGGACTCGGAGAAGCTGAGTATTTCCTTGAATGGCAAAAGGCCACGCGGTCAAGGGACCATCTGC